AACGTGTATAAATATACACATAAGGTTTTATAGTTAAAAGTTTACACGTTAGAAAAATAAAAGAAATAGAGAGAGAAGAAGAAGAGAAGGCTGACAAAGAAGATGCCGGAAATGGAAGAGACAATTAAAACTTGAAGTGTCGGTTTCGTTTCGAAATCTTCAGGCGAGTTATTCTCTAACTTTCCTCTTAGAACTCATAAGGATTTCACCTTGAGTATCAAGGCTTTAGATTAAATTTATTAATTAAATAATGATTAGAACGGATTAATCAAAAGTATGAATTATTATATTTTATTATTATTTTTTTAAACTTTGGATTTTGAATTGTTAGACGTGTGTGTTGTGTTTATTTTAAAAATCAACTGATATGCATGATCTATGACCCAAGAGGGTTAATTAGGGTTTATATAATTTTTAATAATTTTCTGGAATTTTTCTAAAATTTTCTGGGATTTTTCTATATTTTTTTGGATGTTTTAGAATTATATATATAATTATATATGTGTAAATATATATAGCACGGATTTTTCTGGAATTTTTCTATAATTTTCTGGGATTTTTCTATATTTTTTTGGATGTTTTAGAATTATATATATAATTATATATTTGTAAATGTATACATGTATATATAAACTATTTATATATACGCGAGGCTTTGTATAATCTGCGCATGAATAGGGGTACAATCCTGTGTGGGGCGGCTTAAGGTAGGTTGTTGTGCACACTGATCTAGGCCGTAGGTGGAGTTGATGGATGGTAGAATGATTCGGTGCATTGCGGCGTATGGAAAAAGGTGCTAGTGTGCATCTTGACCGTTGACTTGGTCTGGTCAATAGTTGAAGTGATCTAGTGCTTCACGGCTCACAATAACAGAGAGAAACAACCAACCAGATGCTGCCAACATGCGCCGAGAGTGGAACAGGCGCGTGAAGGAGCGTGGCAACGCGTGGACGCGCCTGCCAATGAAGGGTAAGGCTGCAAATGAGCCGAGCCTAGCTAAGCCAAGCTTTGGGTTGCTCGGGCTCGACTTGTTATATCCAAAGAGGTGCTCGGGCTCAGCTCGACAGAGATTCAACAAGCCCGAACCCGGCTCGAATCGGTCACATACACAACAATCCAATCTCCATCTTCAATAAATCATCCATGAAATCCGATCTCCGACAAGAATGAAATCCATCTGATCTCCATCTCTGATACGAATGAAATCCATTCGAACTCCATCTTTGACAAGAAAGAAAAAATAGAATTATAGAACAAATTTTCAAAATGATAGCAAAGCTTCCAAGGTTTTACCGACTTGATCTACAGTATTGTTGCACAGTTCTATGTTAGATCCTTTAAGAGAGAGAGGAGGTCTGTGTCGTATGGTGAGGACTGCTGGCGATAGCATTCGCGAAGCTGAAGAAGGGAACAGAAGAACATGCGGCTCTAATAGACTTTTAGTTCTAGGTTATACATATCTCTTAACTTTAGCGAATATACGGCTGAGATGTATTAACTTCAGTGAATATACGGCTCAGATGTATTACATAACAATGGTAAAAGAGAGAAGGTTATGTGATCATGTGTCAATACCTAGAGAATCCAAAGAGGTGAAAAAAAGTAAACAAAAGAATGCAAAGAGATAAGGTTACGTATATATGATTTTAAATAATCAAAGATTATTAAGGAATGTGTTATACATATATATATATATATATATATATATATATATATATATATATATATCATTTAAGATAGTTAATATTATTAGTCTTATTTGGTATATATGGATAGGTTGGTTATTAAATTAATTATATGCATAAGATATGCATAGAATGCCTAGGTATGAATTGTTTTGTTGATAAGTTAATTTGCCAATGTATGAATTATTTGGTTGATAAATTAACTTTTAATGTTTGCAGACATGGTTGAATTGTCAATGTATAAATAAATATACTTAAGGAGACATGGTTGATTTGTCAATATATAAATAAATATATTTATAATGGCATGATTAATTTGCCAATATATAAATAAATATATTTGTGGAGGCATAGTTGATTTGTCAATGTATAAATAAATATACTTGTTGGAGGTATGGTTGAATTGCCTATGCATAAATAAATATATTTATAAGGTAATGGTTGATTTGCCAAAGCGTAATTAAATTGCTATGTGATAGATGATTAAAATATCATCTATGGTTATTGTATGTATAAGTTGGATTATGATTAGAAATACTTAAATTAGAATAATCGAGTACTTCATGTTAGCTATTTATTTTATAATACTAATAAAATAATATTGGTAGAGACTTGGATAATTTGTCAAAGCATAGTTATTGAATATGTGATTTAAATAATTAAATCATTATTGGGTTTTGAATTAATTATATTATTCCTTTAATTATAATTTATTATCTAACTGATTAAATAATTATTGAAGTTGGAATTAAGGTTTAAGAGACTTTTCTTTAAAAGAAATGGTGGACTGTTTAGGAATGATTATTTTTTTAATCATTGTTAATGGTTTTAGAATTAATGAACCTAGTAATAGATGTGACTATTATATTGTATATAATTAATTATATATATGTATATCATTGTATATTAAAGATAAAAAAAACTTTATTACCTCAAATTAGATATATAAACATGCTCAAATGATAGGAATGCAACTCACAGCAAAATATCAACATTATATACTTATATAGGGTAAACCAAAAAAAAAAAAAAAAAAGATGCACAGATGGAGGTTGGCGACGTCAAAATGAACTATAACAATAATATGTGTATGAACAATGACTATGTAGTTGTCAAATGACAAAAACAAAAAGAACAAACAAACAAGCTTGCCTCAACCCCTAGAAACCCTTGCAATGGCCTTAAGCCTGGATTGAACCTCTGAACCTCTATTCTACACCGGCAAAACAGTACACAACAGCCTTAAACATCCTTCACAAGCTCACACTCACTATATGGATCTCTAAGATGAAATTAGCATATAAATTGTTCTCAAATCTCAGGTGAAGTTCATTATTCTTAGTGTCACAATGTAGCTCACAAGGATGCTCACAAGGGTGCTCAATATGGCTTGAGAGGTTCATTGCTATAATAGGATATATATAGGGTACATGGATCTGTAATCCTACCCTAAAGAGGAAATCCACATGGCATCATTCACCAATCATTGGACAAATAATGTCCTAATATTCCCATAGCAAAAGGACCATAAACCTTTGTAGCCAAATTAGACCTTTTGAACCTGAGACTGAAACCCTAGAAGGTTTGAAAATTGAAGTACAATGTACCTTCCTCAAGTAATATGAATTGATCTCTCATGAATGTAAAAGGACCATATTACCCCTGTAAGTCATTGTAATGCACCGAGCACTCCAAAATCACTTAAAGTTCATTGAGATGGACCTGTGATAGTATTTTGACATTTAAAGTGCAAAACCTAATTCAAAAGTGGGACCAACGGTCTCCCTCTTTTGCCTTTAAATGTCAAAAACTAAATAATTATTGAATATCATAGAAGCACTTAAAATAGCAGCAATGTACCATTAAAAGTAGTGAAAGCATATTAAAGGATATACATATCCTTGATTTAGATCAATTTCTCCCGCTTTTTGACATTGAAAGTCATAAGGTGAAAGGAACAACAATGTAAAACATGGAGCGGTACACCTTGCCAGTGGAGGACGTGCGGAAGTATAGCAAGGCCAACGTCACAAGGAGTCGTGACAAGTAGAGAGCCAAGCTACACATTGAGGCCATGGAAGGGTGTGCACCAAGAGGCACTAAGAGTAGAAGGCTCCCGTGCGAGGAAGGAAGTGCAAAGACGAGTAGAGACGAGTAGCATACAGAGAAGACACACAGCTAGAGTATCTCGTCAAGTGGAAAGGTTCCCAGACGAGTTTGTAAGACAAGCGTTGAGATTACGACGAGGGCGTCACAAGAATTGGGTGGGGGAGAATGTCACGCCCTGCCTAATTGCAAGGAGTGGCGAACATGTGTACGCGGATGAGGCGGCTGCATGGCATGAGAAGAATGTAGTAGAGTTCTAGATGGTAGGGAGTTTTGTATAATGTAATTAATTAGGACAATTATCTAGAAAAATGTAAGTTAGTAAGATGCCCATCAATTGGAGAGGAGTTAACCAACAAGCTCTGGTGTGAGAGAGCATTGTACACTTGAGTAATAATAGACGTATTATTCCTCTGGCCAACAATTGCCAAAGTGCGTGTGTGCAATCTGTGTAGAGGGAATGAGACATTACAACACGGGTTGATTGTGTTGGCACGAGCAAGTGTGAGAGTTAGACAGACCAAGGCCTCGGCGCCGCACGGGTGTGACTGGAGTAGCAGTGAAACCCTAGGCCCTTGACACAAAGCTGGTAAGCAAGCCACTACTAATTGTACAAATGCCCATGGCAAGGAAACAGGAGTGTGACCTGGCCCTGCCTCGGAAACTGAGTTCATATACGGACACACATGGATAAGAAATCTAGTTATTTTTTGTGTCAAAACTGAACCATATAGACAAGGAGGACCAGTTATTTTACGAGTATTGTGAGGTTGAATAATACTGTATTTAATTGTACCTGAGCTTATCCAATGACTTATACTGTGTACCAAATAAACATGTTTTAGTTGACTAATACAAGTAAAAAAAAATTATCTCTACAATGATGTGACTAAATTTGAGTGAATTCTAGGTTCTTGGATTCTATAAAATTTACCTTGAAAGCTAACACATCAAAACGTTCCCGTACTATATGGATGTGTGCGCGCGTGTTATGTATGTATACTATTTGAGCGTGGATGACATTTTTTGGATCCCAGCACTGAAAAATGTATAATTCTTTTTTCTACAAATGGGAGCAGATAAGAGCAACTAAGACCAATAATAGGTAGAACAATATATCTATAGCCACAGAGCTCATCAATTGTAGTTTCAATTTCACCAATTCATCAAAATTATTTCACTAAAGCTGCAAGCACACGAACGAATATGAATTGATAAAAGTTATACACATTTAAGCAAATGTTACATTAAGTACATGACTCGTACATATATAATATACAGCAAAGTCGTGAACAACACTAATCTATATTGACCAAAACAACTACTCAGGTTATACAAAGAGCGTTGCACTGGCTCCAGCAACCGAATATCCTCTTGTAACTCTTTAAACTTTGGGATTGCAATTTCCTTTAATGAGTCCGCTAATTAAATAACATGAATAAATATTAACCTGAAATTTATCCACTAATCGAACAACATGAAAACATATTGACCTGAATTTTTTTTAGGTCAAATAGAAGAGATTTGCACTGGCTCCAGCAACAAAATATCCTATCTCAGAACTCCAACTTCTGAATTGCCATTTCCTTTAGTGAACTCACCAACCTACAGAAAACTTTAAGGCTGTGACCAGTTTTATCCTGTGAACACAAGTGAAAGCCACAGAAGAACTAATTAGTATACAAAATTGCTGAAAATTATGGGCGAAAATATTCCAAACTCAGATGATGGATGCATGAAGCTTTTGAAAATTTAGTGCACCCAGGTACACAAGGAATGAAATGAGTAGAGAGTTTAAACAAAGTCTTCCCCAAAACCCCCAAGTAGCTAAGGTAAACAGCTAAGAAAATAACATACAAAGTCTTCCTTGACATCTACCAGAAACTAAAATTAACAACTAGGCAAAACACCCATTTGTAAAGAGCAAATAAAAATGAATGTTTTGTCAATGGGAACAAGAAAGTGTTTCTAGTACATACTCATGGCAATATAACAAGAATCCTCATTTGAGACACAAGAACATGTATATACGTTGTAAAATACGAAAATTACCGCATTATTAAATATCTAATAGGCAATGAAGATCACACCATGTTCATATGGCGAGCAAGGGATAAGATAACAGTCCTTATAGTGTATGTAGATGACATAGCAGTGACTGTTGATGCTGAGGAAGTGTCCAAGTTGAAAGCTCACCTAGTCCAGAAATTTGAGAAAAAGAACGAATATGGAATCTGTGTTACATAATTTGAATATAGGTTGCCAGATCAAATAAGGACATTTTTATCTACTAGAAGAATCATACATATTAGGTGGCAGATTCTTCTATTGAGACTAATCATCATCTTCAAACTGGTGAGGGTGATCAAGTGGACAAATTAAGATATTAGGGATTGGTTGGGAGACAAAATTGCTCATACTCGTCCTAACATAGCATATGCAGTAGGAGTCGTTAGTTAGTTTATACATGATCCTCACACCACATATTTAGAGGTGGTTTTTGTATTCTGAGATATCTAAAGTCTCCATGTAGAAGGGATATTGTTCTCCAATCATTTGAAACTTGAGCCCTTCACAGATACAAGATAAGCTAGTTCAATTGATGGTAGACAATCTACCTCAGATTATTGCACCTTGGTAGGAGGGGACTACTTACAAGGGAAAAAAACAAACAGCAGTAGCTAGATCCAGGGCTATGGCACATGAAATATCCGAACTCATGTGGCTTTAGACCTTGATGAGTGATTTGCGAGTTATTTGTATTAACTCATGAAACGATATTTGCAATAACAAGGCAGCCAACAATATGACGCACAATCCGATTCAAGATGATAGAAAAGGCATGTTGATATTGACATGAAGTTCATCAAAGACAAGATGAATGATGGAGTGATTTGCATAATTTTCGTGAAATCGGAGGAACAGTTGGCTGTGCTAACTAAAGGTTTGAGCTAAAATTTCCACTAATATATGCAAGTTGGGCATGAAATATGTGTGTGCGTGCACCAACTTGAGGGGGATTGGTGGAGATTCAAACTGATTTTTATTCGATAATATAAATAGATGGGGTGTAGAGATCTTAAATTAGATCTTGAAACCATTGTCTTATGTCTGCTCTCCTCACCCCCCCCCCCCCCCCCCCCCCCCCCCCCCCCAAATCACATTATTGAATTCTAATTGGGTCAAGTGTTCTACAGTCTATAATTCTCCTCTTTACATTCCTACCCTTAGCGAGAAATTACCCTACGGACTATGTAGCGGAATGGGCTAAGGTGATGATGGAAAAATCAAATATCTTAAGCTTTGATTCTCCTGGAATCTTGACCTAGTGAAAATTAGGGGACACTATGGACGGGCTCCTTTATTTTGTTAGGTTAAGGGGGGAAAGGAATGGTATTTCAGAATGCAGCACAAGCAAAATTCGGTGTATAGCAGATCTTTAATGGATAAAAAATGGAAGGAAACTAATTTCTTCTCAATTTCATTTTCAAGGAAAATGATACAATCTTTTCCTTGATTTCATTACTGTTGAACTAAATGAACCATGAAACCTCACATTAACAAACCAAATCTCAAAAAATGATTGAAAATCCAAGAAAATAATAATCGATACAGGATACATAAGACTCGGTCGCTTGATAGGATGACCAGGAAAAACAAGATACCGAGCAGTGAGATTAATAAAGGAACATTGCAGCGTACCTCACTCAGCAATTCTAGTCTTTCTAAAGTTGGAATTAACTTTTCACACAACAAAGGCAACTCCTCTCCAGAATCAGGCTTGGTGCCATACGTAATCATTTTCAAAGCTTCACTGGAATCACCAAGTTCAAAACTGCCAAGAAAAACATTGATCAACAAACAAGAAATAACTTTAACAAGTAGTACAGCTGCAAGTAATAACAAGCATACCCATCCTGGAAATGGATGAGGATAATGTTCAGCACATTCTCTGCAAGCAGAAGTAATAGAGTAATAAGCTGATCCCTGTTTCCAGCAATATGGCACATCTCCACCATAGCAATATACCTCCTGTAGAAATGTAAGCAATTGAGAAAACAACTAACATATTGCACACACTTTAAATGACAAATTAGGTTAAAAAAAAATATATGTAACAGAACATTAAATTGTGATTCATGAGCAGGCCTATTCCAGATCAAGCAATCATGTTAGACAATATTGCTTCCAGCAGTACGCATTGTTCCATATTTTTTCTATGTCAAAAAGGCCTGCATACCATGATATGCAGAATGAAAAAATTAAATGATCTTTCAAAACTGGAAAATCTTAAAAAATGTTGAGATGTTCCAGTTAAAGTAAATGTTTAAAAGTTTAGACTTCCAATGGGGTCAACCATCCTAGTACTACTCACACCCAAGCACGCTTGTGGATTTCTGATGGGATCCGGTGCAGTAGTACTGGTATGATCACATCCAAATGGATACAATTTCTTAAAGTCAAATGGATCCAATTCCTTTCCACAGGAGCAAGACCAGGATTGTATTATCAAAGGCTTGGACAGCAAATGAAACCAGATTCGAGTCTGATTCAAAGGTGACAGAGAATCTTATATCTTGGATAAATTCCAAACTACTTCAATAGATATCCAATCTGATTTTGTTCACATGTGCTGACATGGAGAGTAAGGGCGGAAGGATATCGATCGTAACATCCAGGGGCGGAGCCAGGATCTTGAGGTTGGGGGGGCCAAAATTATAAGCAACACTACTTAACTAGAACTTATGGAGAAAAAAAAAAATATTACGTAGGCAAAAATATTTTACTATTTATTATATTCATACTAAAATATATCTATCTAAATTTTTTTTAAAAAAAAAATAGACACACTCACACAAAAATACATATATACATACAAAATTTATATAGAGAGAGGATCAAAAAAAAAGCTTTGAGATTAACCTGACTGCAGTTTGCATAAAAATTATCTACATCCATGAGCAAAAAGTGATTCCTTAGGTCAAACAAGGTTATGGAAAGAATCGTGATTGAGTTGGAATTTTAGGATAATAAGGTTATGGAAAGAATCGTGATTGAGTTGGAAGGATTTTAAAATAGAACATTATGGAAAGAACTCTGTTTGAGTTAAAATTTTAAGATAGCCACATTAAATTTTTATGAGTCATTTTTTGTATTACTCCGTATCTTTTAAATGCTAATTAAAGAAAGAATTATTTTTTTTGTTTTTTCTTAGGGGGGCCAAGTATAGATTTTATACCATATATGTTATACTAAAAAATAAATTCCAAAAAATCAAGGGGGGCCATGGCAACCCCCAGCCCCCCCCCCCCCCCCCCCCCCCCTTGGCTCCGCCCCTAGTAACATCCAATTTCACTGACGCCATGGCCTTAGATAGAGCGGAATGGAAACAGATTTCAAATATAATCTACTAGCAAATTATGTTTACAAAAGCATAAACACCTCATGTATCCTTCAAAAAATTTAATCCAACATCATGATTCCAAGAATTTTATTAACAGGACAGTATTCTGAGACCTTAGTTGATATAATATCAAAATAAATAATGTTGAAAAATAAAGCATAAGATTTCTTCTACAGTCTCAAAACTCATTTTTTTTTGATAAGTAATAATAAATTAAAAAGGGTGATCAATAGGGAAACGCGTCACGTGGACAAAGGAACCGGGGTTTAAGGCCCCAAAGAATCCAGAAAAGAAATTAAATCAACAGAAGAGGAACACGAACTTCTGTTCACATAACAAAAAAGAGAGCGAATGATAAAAAGTTTCAGTGTCGCTGTAGACGACTCCTTCCCTTCAAACATTCTACTATTTCGCTCCTTCCAGATGCACCACCAAATACAATGTGATACAGATCTCCAATAAGCACAAACGCTCCTACTCACACGACAACCTCTCCAAGTATGAATTAGCTCCCTAGTAGAACGTGGCATTACCCAACACATGCCAAATAGGCCAAGAATGAGATTCCAGCAATCGCGCGCTATAGAGCAATGCATTAGGAGATGATCGACTGGCTCCCCATTCTGCTTACATAAACAGCACCAATTAACAAGAAAATTTCCCCTTTTCCTCAGATTATCGATCGTTAGAATTTTTCCCCAAACAGCAGTCCATACAAAGAATGCCACCCTAGTAGGGACCATGGAGCACCAAATAGTCTTCCAAGGAAAATCATAGGATGCAAAATTAGACAGACAGAAAAACAAGGACCTAACTGTAAAACGCCCGTGAGAGGAGGGAAGCCAATTTAAACTGTCAAAACCCCTGCCAATTCCTTCTTGCCGATACAATTGATCCAAGAAAATGCTCACCTCTTCCAACTCCCAATCCTGAAATGAACGCCGAAAATGAACATTCCACGTAATCCCACTATTATCAAGATGATAACAGTTAGCAACAATGGCATGTTTATCAACTGCAATACTATATAACCTGGGAAATGTACAACATAAAGGCTAGTTCCCACACCAAAGATCATCCCAAAAGCGGACACAGCTACCATCCTGAACTCTAAATCTGATATGAGAGGAAAAGGCATCCCATCCTTGTCGAATGGATTTCCAGGCCCCAACTCCTCCCACAATAGAAACCGGACGTGTAGTCCAACCACCAACATCTTCCCCATACCTACAAGACACTAATCAGCGCCAAGGACGATGTCTTTCCTTCCCATATCTCCACAACCACTTACCCAAAAGAGCTTTATTAAAAGGGATCAATCGTCTAATACCAAGACCCCCCAACTTTATAGGCTTGCAAACTTGCTCCCATCTAACAAGATGATACTTGAACTCATCTCCCCTACCTCCCCAAAGGATATTCCTTTGAATTTGTTCGATTCTATCAGCAACGGAGCATGGAATTTGGAACAAAGAAAGAAAATAAGTGGGAAGGCTTGATAAAGTGCTCTTGATAAGAGTTACTTTACCCCCCTTAGATAAATATTGCTTCTTCCAACCAGCCAACCTCTTTGCATACCTATCAAGCACAGAATCCCAACTCCCCACTAACCTGGAAGAAACCCCTAGGGGCAATCCCAAATAAGGGATGGGAAAGGAGTTCACCCTGCACCCAAGAACTGCAGCTAAAGAAGACATATCCTCAACATTCCCGACCGGGACAAGCACACTCTTGGCCACATTCACCTTTAACCCGGAAACTGCCTGAAAGCAAGCCAGAATGCATCTCAAGTATCTAAGTTGAGACACATTAGTATCACAGAAAACCAGAGTGTCATCTGCAAAAAGTAGATGTGAAATCTCCACCTGATTGTCAATATCTCTTCCCACCCAGAATCCCTTGATAAGACCAAGATTCTCTGCCCGTCGCATGAGTCTGCTTAAACCCTCCATAACAATTAGAAAAAGAAAAGATGACAATGGATCACCTTGTCTTAAACCTCGAGAAACGAAAGATAGCTCTCAATCCATGTCATCCATCTACTTCCAAACCCCATTCTTTTAAGCAAGTAGAGAAGGAAATTCCAATTGACATGGTCATAAGCTTTCTCAATATCAAGTTTGCAAAGAACTCCAGGAACACCACTACGCAACCTTGAATCCACACATTCTCCAGCAATAAGAACTGAATCAAGAATTTGCCGTCCTCCAACAAAGGCATTCTGGGAATCTGAAATAATCACATCCATAACTTCTCTCATTTTATGAGCCAGCACCTTAGCTATGAGTTTGTAAATACAAACCACTAAGCTAATAGGACGAAAGTCCTTAATATTTGAAGCGTTTCCCTTCTTAGGGATAAGGGCAATAAATGATGCATTGAGCGATTTTTCAAAAACACTAGTAGAATGAAACTCCTGAAAGGTACTCATCACTTCATTTCTCACAACCGCCCAACTCATTTCTCACAACCGCCCAACTTTCTTTCAAAAGGCGCATAGTGAACCCGTCTGGCCCCGGGGCTTTATCCCCATTACAACTGGATAAAGCCTTAAGAACTTCTTCTTCAGTAAAAGGAAGCTCTAACCCATCTCTCTCCAATACAGAAATGGCCTCAAAAGGGAGACCATCAAGTTTAGGTCTCCAATCTAAAGGTTCTGTGTAGAGCTTCTGATAAAAAGAAACGATCCCACTACACACCTCTTCCTCCCTCCACAACTCCACGCCTTCAACCCGTAGACGTCCTATATGATTACTCCTTCTGTGAGCATTAGCAAGTCTGTGGAAAATTTTTGTATTGCGATCACCCTCTTTCAACCAAAGAGCCCGGGTTTTTATCGCCACGAAATCTCCTCCATGCGAGCAATCTCAGCAAGAACTGCCTGACAGGAAGCTCTCCTAGTAGAAAGAGACTCCACATTCCCACCCGCCTCCTCAAGCCGATCAATCTCAGAAAAATTAGCAAAGACTCTATTCTTCCTCCATTCAAGATTCCCAAAGACATCCTTATTCCACTGCTTAAGAGCGAGTTTGAGAGCTCTTAATTTCTGTGTTAATATGAAGCTGGACGCACCTGTAACAAACACTCCCTCCCACCAAGAACAAATAGTCCCTTGGAAGTCCTCCGCTCTCAACCACATATTCTCTAAACGGAATGGGGTTTTCCTAGAACACAAACCCCCGCAATCCAAAACTAAAGGAACATGATCAGAGGTAACCCTTTCTAAGACACCTTGAACAGCGTCTGGGAATTTTTCTTCACACTCCCCAGATATTAAAAATCTGTCTAATCTTGAGAGAGTAACTGGGTCTCTACCATTGGACCAAGTATAGGTTGCACTTTCCATTGGTAAATCAATGAGAAGGTGCTCATCAATGAAGTCTGAAAACTGATCCATGTTTACGGACCTTCTTCCTCCAGTAGACCTCTCTGACGGGAACCTGACTGAATTGAAGTCCCCACCCAAACACCATGGTAAAGAGCATAAACCTTGAACGAGGCTTAGTTCCTCCCATAAAATAGGTCTCTCAGCATCGTCAACCGGTCCATAGACCCCAGAAAAAACCCATCTGAAATTATCCTCTTCCATCTTAAACTCACAAGAAACAGAAAATCTCCTCTTCCATACATTCATTCTAGACAACCACCTGCTATCCCACATAACTAAAATACCACCCAAAGAACCTGTAGCATCCAAGGCCTCCCATTCCACAAACCTTCCTCCCCACAAACTTCGAACCACTCCGTTAGTAATGGATGCCATCTTGGTTTCTTGCAAACAAATAACCTGTGCCCCCCATTTTCTTAAAGCTACCTTCACCACCCTCCTTTTATTCAGGTCATTGAGACCACGAACATTCCATATAATGATTCGTAGCTTCATTAAAAACCAGTTGAGATTAACTCCCCTCCCCCCCTCTTCAAACTCCTACTCCTAGTCCTGCCCCTTTCCATCACCACACCTTTCTTCTTGTCGTAATTGACATGAGAGATGAGATTCTTAATCTCATGAATCCCTTTCCAAGACGATATGGGTTTCGTGTTTATAACTTCATTAGTGACTGCTATCTCAGTTCCAGTCACAATTGATTGAAGAAGAGATAAAGTCTGAGCATTATTACCTTCTGTAGAAACTCCCAGCAACTCACTAGTAGTTCCAATGTTATCAACCACCCAATCCCTCCCCAAGTCATCTCAAAACTCATAAAAGGAACTTAAACTTCTATATAGTATATGTGATGTGGGTTCAAACTAACAACTTACTGTTGGCTTTAGCGATGATATTCCATGTGTCTTAAATGTAGCACGCGGATCAGGATACCATTCAGAAAAGACTTCTTTTAGAGAAGGGAATGGAAATTACTTCCTTATTTCCCTTAAATTTTGAAGTAACTTAGATTTAATAAACTTTTGAAAGAAGTAAACCTTGCCATGCATCATAAGAAGCATACATGTACACTACTATGAGGTTATCACAACATACTGCGAAGATAGTGCCATCCACAATAATGTGCATATTGATAACTAGGCTTAATATTTGAGGGGCTTTAGGGAATCTTCGAAAATTCCCAGCCAGGAAACATTGAGTTTGTTATACTTTCTTATTTTTTAAGTGACCTTGAATCCAGAAATAGATGACTTCGGCTGTCACAGGCCAACATAAAACAAGGATATCTTATCCTTACCTAATTGGTTCTCCAGTTTCCAAACAGTCCTTAAGATATAGTCTTTCAAATTCCAACTGGAAATTAATGTTTTGATTCTTTAATTATTAGAAATGAAGAAGAAAAAGAAATTGCAAGTGTACCTTCATGTTTGAGCTTTATTGAACAACCTTTTTTCAGCTTTTTCTAGTTTTATTACCTCCTACAACACTTTTAGTTTGCATGTTTTATTGTTTTAATATTTCTTCCTTGTTTACCACAGGGGTATTGGCCCTGGTGCTGTGAGCTCTACTCCCCAAAGGGGGGATGAACAGTTTGAATCTCACATGGTCGCAGGGTAGTGTGTGTGAGTGTGTGCGTATGTTGCTTACTTATCCAAAAAAATATTTCTTCCTTATTTAAATTGCACATACTTAATGTAGTCCTTTGTTTCATAAGGTTGTGTACCTTCTTGCTTTTGTTACTAAACAATATGTTACTTCAAGGAAGATCTAAAAGTATCCTTGGGCCAAGAGTAGTGGTGAACTTTGATTCTGTAAGGAGACTGCTTAATCCCTCCCTACCCCATACTATATCTAGAAATCAACTTTGGGTGACAAGGGGATAAACCTTAACCATATACGCAGGACTAAAGGCTTCTGACCAGGGTCCAGACTAAAGAAAACTAGCATTTCAGATGCTTTGGCTTTCTTATGTCAGGAAAAAATCCGTTACAACAAGAATTAAAAAATATTGCAAGGATAAACTTATCAAAAAAAAGATTGCAATGAAATGGCAAAAAAGTAACTATAAGTAAAAAAAACATTTGAAGTCAATCAGAGATTAGACCATTCATGTTTGTCATGAATCCGGAAAAGGTTATGCAATGAAATCGTAAATTTTGGTGAAATTTAAAACCAAGTAATAAACAACTTCAATATGCAAGCATGATGAAATTACGACAAATGTCATAATACAACTATACATTCAACCAGGCACAGGCTGCATTGGGTTGCCTAAGGCCTTAAACAACGCCTGTCCTGCCCACAACTGGGGATGAGTTTTCTCAGTCAAAGCCAAATCCGGTTTGAAACTACAGCCCAATTTTATCTATTGGTCAAGTTTGGCCACATCCAAACCACCAAAGTTAGCACACGGAATGGCCAAAGCACGCAGTACAGATGGTAGTTGACAAGAGGGTCTAGTTCGTTATGTACTCCATAAGGAATTTACTTCAGCATGACATACATTTTAACTTTTAAACTTACATAACTAATGTCCATAAAACCTTTAGCACTTCTGCATAAATGCCATAAAATAACCATATCTCAACATTCATTTACAATGACAATTCCAGAATACTCCACTGTAATTATAGACACGAGGCACAGAACAACAGGGAGTTGATACCAAAATTTCACAAGCAATAGGACACTACAACAATAAAGGTGACAAATTTTCAAATTCCAACACACGTGACTGAAACCGGACAAAGAATTAGTGGGTTACAATAGAGCATAATTGTATTCGTGTTGAAATTCTAGCGATACAATTAACTGGTTGTTTTTATGTTTCTTAACTTGACAAGAATTACCTGATTTGATCCATTTATTATGTCACATTAATGTCATCCAAAACTATGTAAACTGCTCTCATAGTTTATAAACGATAAAGGGGCAAAGAAATTTGGACGCTATTGGAACTCTAATTCCTTTTTGTTCAAACTGAAGAGTTTCTATGGTGGTCGTTTCTTACCATTAAACCTGATCACAAACTAAAATCTGCATCAAATGTTAGATCTTCAATCTCCATATTGAAAAGGTAACCATGATGACTCCCCCCTCCTACTCCTCCTGGGGGGGTTTTAGCTTTTGAGTTGAAACCCTAACCTTGAAAAAACCTGGCACCTATTTCTCTCTCTTAACAGTCTCAAAACCTTGACCTAGGACTTGGAAGTTAAGAACCAAAGTCTCTCTCTCTCTCCCTCAAACACACTAGTTCTTCTTCAAGGACTTTTCTTGTTTGATTTCTATGAAACTGTATATAATATATGATCCTAATTAATGTAATTTTTTCGAGGATATCATTGGTAAGGTAATTACACTTTTCTTGACAGATGTTAATGCAAATTTGAAATTGAAATTAGAGGATTATGTTCGTAAAGAATATGTTATAGTCCCTACAAGGGTATGAACCAAATCCGATATAGTAACAAATAATTTTATAAAATTTGGAAAATGTTCTTGGCTGGCTAGTTGTTTGAAGTAGGATTAAAAAAGTTAATATGTTTTATAACTGATTTGTACTTGTGTTGGGCTATGTTACATGGACTTGGGGAAGTGCATCAGGTGCACATAACAACCATCGGATATATCAAATCTGGGTAAATATTTATATTACTAACAACTCTTCTGTTTTCTACAGTAAAATAATTATTTTACGGACACAGCGTCTTCATTTTAGTCAGTTCAAATGTAACAAAAGGAATATATTTAAAGAAACTCCGTGTACAACTGTACAGTGAACTTAAATTATTGGATATGCTTCTTCCGTGCATGACCGACCAGACACGTCGCACACATAGCTCATGCCAATGTTTGAGAGTCTCATGTCCAACTTCGACATGAGAAGTTAACAAGAAATGAAAGTGATGCTGGTCTGACACACAACTCCTTATATGAGGCCATGATTCTTAGAAAACAATTCAAATTTAAACCTTGATAATGCACAGAACTTCCACATAATGTACACCACTGAAATTCATCAAAAAATGATAACAAAAAAATTGTAAAGCAGGCCAACTTATCCATCAAAAAGATTTAACTAATTCCAAGAATTAATTGATCTAGATATTGCATAGGATCTCATAACATAATCCAACAACAAGGCCTAAAAGGAGAAACAAAAGATAACTCAAAATTCAAACGACATAAACCGAACAGAATATTTCCTTACTGACTTAAGCGATTGAAAACCAAAGCAACAAATGCAAACATATTAATACCTTTTCTGTATATTGTCGTTCGATTTAACACAATCTTGTCGAACACACATGTTGATAATTTCATCCACCTCTTGTCTGGATAGTTCATTTATGTCTTGAATCTAGAATACCAGAGGTATAAATAATTTAGTTGTGACTTAAATGAGAGTAGCATAATGTCAACATAAATATATATATATATATATATATATATATAAGTAAATAATGAGTGAAGTCAACATATGAGAAGCATAAAAAAGTCACAACTAGTCCACACACACTTTCACCTTGTTAACTAGCAATGACTTTTCCTCAGCAGCTCTTTCAAGAGCAGTTGTCGCAGAATTAAGAACAACAATGAGTGAATTCAATGTAGGCTGCTGCTTTTCAGCAGGTGCTTGGTAGTTGGTGGGAGCATCTGAAACCTGGAACGAATCATGTTGGTTAGAAGAGAATATACGTTTCATAACATTAACAAAGATTTGGAATGATAGCAGCAACAAAGAAAAAACCATATTGCTCCGAGCTCGACCTTTAAACATCTACCTGCAGTCTAAGGGATTTCTTTGTGACCAGAAAATATAGATAAGAGCTCAGGCTGAAGGAAAGGCGAAAAGTGCTCAGTTCTGACTTCCTCTGATTCTGAATATTCATAGTAAAATTTTAAAAGAAAATAAAGGGAAAAAGTAAAAAAGAAACAAAGCATAGTTAGATATACATTCATTTTGAATCAGTCTGTACCCTCCACAGTAGCTTCAATAGAGATTATATGACTTACCTCCACAGAACGTGCTGATCGGGGAATTGAAGAAGATTCCGAATCATGCAAGAAAAGCGCATGCATCATACTGAAAAGCCCTTGAACAAAACCATACTCACCACTTTCTTCATATGGCCAAACCTATAGAAAAATCAGAAGGGTGACAAAAGGCAAGATTCATGAAATAAATAAGGACAGAGTTATTGAGGGGCCACTGTCATCCCAGAGTCCATTGTAATTTTCACTGTGCCCCAGCAGTGTTAGTTTCAAGGCAGCTAAATTTACACTTCTGTGCTAACAATTCTCTAACTCAATTAAAGGGCCTATACCTTGCTAAGTATCCCAACAACAAGATTTATCATCTCCATGGTCAACTCATCAGCTTCAAGAACATCTTCCCTAAGAACTTGATCAAAAAGGAATTGATGCCCTTTGACAAAATTAATGACCTCGCGAACAATTTTATTCTTCACCTGTCAGATAACCAGATCAACAAGAATAATATTTACCAGATGCTAGAAAACGAAAAAGAAAATAGAGGGTAAAGAATAGCATCAAACTTAAAGGCCCATTTTTATACATCTTAGGGTTGGAATTAGATGGCTTGTCTCCAGAATACGTGGATATAATTTTTGACTTGCTCAAGCTTTCATCCCAATTTAATTGTTGTTCCAAAAGTTATGACGTACTTTCCATTAAAGATAATAAGTATATGATAGTGCAGTTTAAATATTAGCAAATCATTTCTCTATAAGCAAAATTCAAGTAAGTGGCTATTGATCAGGCATAGATGAATTAATGCAAAGTACTAGACATCAGCACTTGCTTCTGATTCTTTCTTATAACAGCACCTGTTCAAGGATACCGTTATTTTGTTAGCTCAAGGTTCTTGATTTTATCTAGCTAGGTCAAGGTTCTAGAATGACATAACCATGTTCCTGTCACCAGAGAGCTGATATATTCGTCAGCCCCTAATTGTATCATGGAAAGACACAGATAATACATTACTAAACATTTAAAATAATAGCAAAGAATACATAAATTAGAACTTGCATATGCAAAACACAATGCGACAACAGAAAGTAACAATTGAGGAAATTATTGGAAGCTGACCTCAAAGAAATCAGATGTATCTACCAAAGAAGTCAGAGAAAACACCAATCTCAATATTGGAGCTATGATCATACGTTGCTTATCAACATCCGCAGATAAATCTCTTCCAAATTTAGCATCAACCCGCCTTAAGCTTCCCTGATACAGAATCGAGCATCAATTTAGGCCCATTGAAATGAAAACAAGATTAACAAGCATAAGTAGTACCTTAATCTGCATATTGACTGCCCTGCATGAAGCAATATGCTCCAAGGCACCCATGGAGAATAGAACCTGAGCCCCCGATTTCCCATACTTGTGGCTGATTCTCAACAATAGAGCAAGTTCTGCCTCAAGAGTACACACCCGCTGCAATGAATCCAATGACCGCCCGACATCCTAAAAATTAAACGTAAGCAAAGAAAGAGGTAACATATTATCAGTAGAATTTACATACAACTAGCAATAGAATTTACTGGCAATAATACAAATAGGGAAAATTACCCTGGCCTATCCTGAGATTTGGGGTAATCACTAATGGATGGAAGTTTTAGAAAAATCATTCTAATACCCCTTATCAAAGTTTGGAGCCTATTGACCCAAGACATCTGATTCTGATGTGACTATATTCATTTTTAATTTTAATGACAGCATAAACAAAATAGGATGAATTTACCAGTTAAACCCTCCAGCAGTTTGAGATGTAATCAGACTCTCCCTCTCTATTCTCCCTACCACCACAGCAGTTGTCCCCACACTCTCTCCTCCCTCCACCACCACTGCCGCCCACCCCCACATTCTCTCCTTTCCACCATGACCACCACACTCTCTCTTCTCTTCACCACTGCAACTGTCACTATCAATTCTTTTACAGAAAACCCCCATGACCAAACACTGGTCCGAATCAAACTTTCATTGCCTTGTTCTCTCTCTCTCTCTCTCTCTCTCCCCCTATATATATATATATATATATATGTTTCTCCTCCCCTGTTTTTCTTTCTAGAATTTCTCTATCAACATTTATACCTACACCTCCTCTGATGGCCAACGGAAAGAAGCATACAGGTCAACTGCAAATTGGGTTTGCATATAGCTTGCTTCTTGGACCTTTCCGTGACATATATATAGCATTTAAGAATTTGCCCAGATCTACATCACAAGTGTTATGACAAACGCAATGAACCCAAGTTGAACCTAGAATCACGACAAAAAAGTAAACACGCCACACAAAGAACACAAAGATTTATACGTGGTTCGACAACAGCCTACATCCACGGTTAGAATCTGGCGAAAGTTTTCACTATGTGTAAAATCAGGGATTACAAGTTTACAGCCCCACTCTGTTTCTGTACGAATATCAGAGTCTCTCTTGTCCACCACTCCAAACCCTAAGCGCCCTTATATATCGGGCTACAATTGGGCCCACACAAAGCTCATCCAACGGGTAATCGGGTGACCCGGCACCAAATTCGGGCAACAATATCACAACAAGGAAGCTAGCTCCTTGCATATTTCAACACAAGACAGAGATATTTAACTCACTCTTTGACTCATGCTTAGTCTCAAATTCTTAATATTAAATGGAGATTGGAACTGTGAAGCATCCTTAAACCCTTTATCAGCCCTTCAATTCAATAACTTCTGCCCAAACTTGCACCACAAAAGAGGAAGTAAAAGGGGCCATCTATAGAGGGAGAAATTAGAGAGGAAGAGATTGAGATCTCCAAGTTTTTGGTGGCACGGTTAATGGTGGAAATGCATGTCGTTGCAGTTGGCCTTGATCTATCCATTTGGGGGTTACAGAGGGATTTGTAGAGGAACGAATTATGATGAAGGGTGTTTACGGAGGCAATAAACTATACGCATTATTCAAAACTTAACTTTAGGGACTGAAAGTTGGGCATCAAAGAAACAAGTATGAGCACGACTTAGATGTAGGTCTTGAGATGGATGTGGTAAGACAAGAAATAACAGAATTTAGATGCGGATACTGGATACATGTATGAGATGATGGATGAAGCACCAACTGAAATAATGACAAAGGTTAAATATGTATCCAAATCTGCCCCGTCTCTCGCACGCAGACATACAATAGGCTTACAAAAAATAAATAGTTCCAATAAGAATAGTTAACCAAGTTGACATATTTTGATTGTATTGTATTTCAGTTGCTACAGAAATAGACATGTGACTTCAAACAAATTTCAGTGGTTCCAAATGAGTAATTACTTCAAGGAAATTTTGTGGAAGCTAATACCAATTCAATAGATTAATATTGCCTGGACAATGTAATTCCGGAGTTAACAGGTTCGGAAACAGAACAGAGAACACAACTTACTCCAGAATGCTGTGAAATTTAGAGTTGGTCAATCAAAAGACACATACATAGTTCCAAACATGAAGGGGTTTCAACTTATCAAAGATGATTTTGGTGTGGTGGTGGTGGTGGGGGGGGGGGGTGTGTTGTGGTGTTAATTTTGTTGTAAAAATTATACGCATTTGATTGTATACATTAAGAACCATAGTACTATATCTTGCCCACATGGGCTATTTCTGCACAATGGCCCTTCTTTTTATTCTACTTTTCACATTTTCCGACAAGTTTATAATCCTAGAGGAAATTCAATGGAAAAGACAGCAGCAGTTTCTATTTATTCAAAAATAATCATACTCATCATATTAATGAAAAAGAAAGTAAGTGCATGCTCGAAAAGACACGAACCATGTAAGAAACATTGCTGATGTTCATAAAGCAAGATCTTAGAAAGCCTCTGCTTTGAAGTTGGCTTAAGAAATACTTATCATGATCAATACAAATCAATGCATCGAGAACATAGAGCGATATTGTTTTCCCAGATTCACTGCCTTGAGTTGCATCTTTTATGACCTGAACAGTAAAATTTTAAAAAAATAAAATAAAACAAACATAATTATACAAAGCAAAAGGAAGTATTGCAGTTAGGGTACACAAACATAACTACTCTAAGTTAGAAAAGTGGAAAACAAAGGAAGGTAAAAGCTGCCCCATGAAAGCAATAAAATATACACTATACAGAAACCATCTTATTCAAGCCATTTATCCTATAACACTTAATTTTAAGTCATTCCCAATTACATCATTCCATATTAGTTTTGGTTGGTCTCTGTCTATTACCACCACTAATGTAAACACCATGAATATTTAAATTTATTTTTTGAAAAAAAAAAAAATTTGGGGTAAAATAGAAAATAAGGTTATTTTGGGATTTTGATCTCTCATCTTCATTTATGATAATTAAGTTTTGAAAAAGTCTTTCAAGTAGATATTGATACTGTACTTTTTGGATGTAAATGCATGTTCGCTGTAAGATTTTATCAAAATTATATGCTATATGCAAATTTACATGATCATGAACTTTTGATTTGAAAATGTGTACGCAAATATGTTCCTTGTTTTGAATTGGAAATAAATTGATTTGTGAAAAATCTGAAACTCTTTGTATAAGGGTATGTGACAAGGTCTGTGATGACGGATGCCTGAATTATAGCTGCGAGTTGAATGGCCAAGAGCTCCTTGTACGCAAAGTACAACCACCATGCGGTGTTTAAAGGGACTCCTAGTAAGGGATGCCTTCCAGGGTCACATGACAAATTAAAGGGAATGGTTGGTTAATAAAAAATAGCAACTTTGATTCGAAGAAATGGGTTCTGAATGAAAATCGAATTGGTTTTGCAATCTATATTACTATGTATTGTTTTATTCGGTTGATACTATGAAAATCTATTTGATTGTACAAACTTGTATGAATTAGGGGATGAACAGTTTCCTACTGGGATTTTCAAAGCTCACCGCCCACCCTCATTACTTCTCAAGATATGGAATTGGGAACACGTGGAGAAACTACAAGTTAAGATTTTGAGGTTTTTGTCGCTGAATTTTGTAGTTTTTTATGAGATTGGATACATTGAGAAGTAAAAATATGCAAGTGTCAACGCCTAGTTGATTTCTGTATAATATTGCGTAATCAAAGTTCAGGGTGTGAAACCTAATTTCTCCGTCACACATTTCACTTCTAGTCTATGTTATGATCTATCAAAGCAGTCCCATTTCAGCTACATGAATGGTTTCTTTTCTTTCATTTTAAATGCCAAACACTCTGCTCCCTATAAAATACATGGCCTAATACCAATCATGTAGAATTTTCCTTCTAACTTATTTAATTTTTTTTTTTTCCCTTAATTAACTTATTTGAAATTCTTTTATCACAAATTAAGAATTTATTAAAAAATAGCGGCCTAAAGAAATATGGCACATAAAAAAAGAAAACAGGAATCAACGCATAAAATGAAAGCAAAATATAACATGTTTAAGAAGGAAAAAAAAAAAAAAAAACGACAAGGCACCCACCAAATCTAGGACGGCCTGAGCATCTTTCTTTAGAATTGAAAAATTGGCCCGCGCTAACTCTGCTTGCTCGTTGTCAATCTGGAAAGCACCTAATTTAGTTAATTTTCTTAAAACATCCACAAGTGAATAACTTTAAGAATAAGATAATAGAACTCCACACCTTCTGGAAATCCAGATCATCGGAGTCCTGCTCATCAAGCAACAAGAACTGCAGAACTGTTGTTGGAACATCTGGATCAAGCATATGTCGACAGTACTGGAAGTAGCTAAGAAGCAACGCATATTGGCTGAATTCAGAATTATCAACAAAGGTCAGATGTGTACTGCCATGATTAACACATAGGAATACGATTTGACTGCCTAACTAAACCATACCGTCTCCTTAATGCTTCCGATGATTCATGTCGCAGAATTGCCATGATAAGCTTAAACAAAATAGAGTGACAGGCCCCATTTGGTAATTGTTTTGCCATAATAATATCGAGACATGTGACAGTGTTGGAGTTTAAACTGCCAGGGTATAAAAATCTTTCATCACGTAGTTTGGCCATGCATGTAAGAGCAACCTAAACAGAAAATGAAGAGGTAAAAACAATAAAGCAACAATTGCCAAAGTTATTCTGTGATAATGTGCTAAGAATAGAACTGGTACAGGTAGATTAAACCTACCTGGATCAATATTACTGCCATCTTCAGCGAACAGTCCGGAGAAGCAGAAGCACTCAAAGAGGCATCAAGCAACCTGTCGGTAATAAAATAAACAGTTACATAATGACAATATAACATAGAAGAAAATTAAAAAGGCTGACAAGATGACCCACTGAAACAAAATTTCAGATCGATTTTCAAGATATGATATTCTTCTGGATGCAGAGATCTGCAAAGACCACAATTAAGATGAAAATTACAGAGTTGCAAATATAAAGTTAGAGGGAAAAACCTGTAGACCGATAGCACAACACCCTTCGAAAAATTCAATATTTAAATTAAATAAAGACATTAACCTCAACAATCTGAGACCAGCCAGCTAACATATGAAGTTGGGCAGCTTGTTCCTCAAGGTTCTTATTGTATTTCCATCCCCATCTTAACAACTGTTGGATTGTATCTCTTACTTCGTTCAGCTCAGCTTCACTTCCAAAAGAGCTCATCTGGGGATTAACAACATTGCATTTCTGAAACAACAAACTTATATCAGGATCAGAGAATTTCTATTGCAAGTTCAGAGACGAAGATTCACCCCAGGAAACTTTTGGAAAAAAATGAATAAATAATCACCCTAGGAATACTGCTAAAGTATAACTGAGCAAAGACAATTCCATTTTAAAGAATTTATAGACTAAAGGAGACCACCTGCCAAAGTTTGTCACGAAAAGCAGCAAGATCGATCAATCTGTCACCACGCTCGGAATAATAGTAAATACCGCCCTTTCCAGATGTTGCTGGATTCCCAAGTATATCTTCAGCCTAAAAAACAAATGGTATAAAACGCAGCAAATAAAAAAAATCAAAAATCAAAAGACCCAGAATTTGAATCTTACCAGAAAGCCATACTTCATATTAGAAACTGCCTGAGTATACTTCATAGTGGTGTCAGGGGATCTAAACTGGACAATTTCAAGCAACTCAAGCACCTATGTTTGAATGCAAAACGATAAAAGCAAAACAATAAGTAGCTTCCTTCCAGCAAAAGAGTAATAGAGCACGTCCTGATACCAAACAAAATCTACCGAAGCCAAAGAACTCACACTGTATTCTCATAAACCATGAAACATAGCAGCTTTACTATAAACCAGAACGTCATATAATGTAACGGAAAGTAGCTGTCTAACTGAGAAAAAAAAAAAAAAAAAAAAAAAAAAAAAAAAAAAAAATCCTACCTAGCAGCAATGTCCACAACCAGCTAATGCAATTGGATAAGACCATTCCTGGTGACCACACATAACTACTAACAATGACGACTACATATAGTCTCAAATAGGTAGCTCCTTAGAAGAAAGGTGGCAATATTTGGCAAAAGCATACAAAACAAAGGAACCAAATGGAAAATCAATGCATTATATGAATCAACTGAAAAGATATTTGTTTGTCAAAGTATCAAGGGAACAGCATGCAAGACAAAACAAGGGGAGCATTTGCATTTTTAAATACACACACACACACACACACACACACACACAGAGATATAAAGAATAAAGAAATGAGAAAAAGGTGGAAAAGAAATTACGTTCCTAAGAGATCTATAAATAGTAGGGGCCATCTTAAGATTATCATACACAGCACACTTTCCAAATTGTCAAAAGCACATATTTGCCAGAATCATGTGTGTTTTAAAACATCCTTTGTCCTAGTAAAAATTATGACAGTTAAAGTAATCCTAGGAGTACCATTTATCTATCTGTTATACCCCTTTACAACAGATAGAGAAGGTTTAGTCTCTCATCCCTTTGGGCAAGTTCAATTCAAATTTCTGAGACAACCTTCTAGAAAATAATTGAAAGCCGTAATTGATTCCTCTGTCTCCAAATCCATAAATTTGCTCCATAGTAAAACCCAACAATTACGTTTTCTTAAAGTAAATTTTAAAAGAATAGAAACTCAGTTAGCGGACCCAGTTCTCCAGCAGAAAATTAAAAATTTTGAAGAACTCCAAAGAAAGGTTTGTTCTAATATTCCTACGGCCTTTTGGCATAGAAAAAAACATTCGATTAAGTTACCATACATCAAAGGATTTAATGAAAAAGACATCCTGACTTTTATTTTTATGAGTTTTTAATAGTATAAATAGTCATGACTAATATAGTTGATGCTTTATTTTGATAATCTGAAATGCTTTAAATTTTAGTATAATAGCAAAACATGTGTCCTGATCCACAAAAAGGTAACAAAGTCCTGCTTCCATGATAAATAAACGATCTTCCTGCTGCAACCACCAAATTTAAGAGTGAACCCTCAAAACAAAAGAAGTGTATCAAGAGTATGAACATAGAGCAATTATAAACCATGATTACAGCAATACGTAAAACAGAAAAAGAAACAATAACTAGCAATTATGAGTACCTTACTCTTACTGATTGTCCGGGTTCCAGCATTTGCAGCGCTATTTTCAAGGAGGAATGAGTTTGATATATTAAAATCAGTGCCGTATTCAATGATCTCCTGCCCAAATATATGGGCGACAATACTTTGACATGCTTCTCGATGAGTTGAACTAGCCAAATCACCAGCGTGCAATTCTACAGCTAAAAGTTTCAATAGCCATGCTCTCTGGGAAAGGCAAGGACAGACGGAATACATAAGAATAGAATTTAAGTAAAAAAATCATACAGAACCACTCAAAAGAAATTATCATAGTTAAAAAATATAGAATGAATCAAAATTAAAGCCAGAAACATTTGCAACAGAACATTCAGAGCCAGCCTTGCCAATGCCGAGTGCTAGAATTGGCAAAATACAAAAATGACCTTCAGATTATTCTGACAAAGTGGCTCTCTTATTTATTACCTATTATAGCCTCGCAACAGGCATACACATTACAAGGACATCTCTGTGGACAAGCCTCATCCCCTTCTTTTACAAAAGTTTCTGAAGACTATCATAAGAACCTTCATTATATGGACAAGGCTCGCTCGAAGGCAAAGGCATCTCGGTGCATCTCATGCACTTAGTTGAAAGCCAGACACATGGAGACTCTACAACTTGAAGTAAGGCTGTAGTCAAGTCCCACCTAAGGATAAGTAGATATGGCACAACCTCTGTTGTGTGGTCTCGTCACAGTCCACATTGGGGTAAACAAGCATATCACACTCCACCAGGATCCTAGGAGTTAGTAGGTTTACTGAGTAAAGTCCACAACTTGCCTAGATGACCTCCCTTGAGTTTTAGACAAGCCTCAACTAACCTAAAAAGAGAGACACTGTACCAATGTGCCCACCCTGACATGGTGATACCATATTAGACCACTATGAGATTTTCTGGGGAGTCTTTGCCTTAGGATTAGTCAGTCCTATTTCTTGATGGGGCCAGGAACTTGCGACACGATATGGCCAACATAATGCCGTAAGAGCCATTCTGCAACTGCAACATGGTTCCTATCATGACTCAGTCAAACAAGCCCAGTGCAAGTGGAGGTGTCTCATTGAGCTGTAACACCAAGACGTGTCATGACCTAACTGGACCCCACGTCAACATAAGCAGCGTCTTACTCTCATGTCCAAACCATAAAGGCAATATCTTAGAACCCTGAAACACCTCAAAATGGATTAGTTGATTACATGGTCACTTGAAACTGATACAACCTCTCTGTTCTCTAATTTAACCTCAACATCCACGTAACCCAATTTGCTTGGAACATCCATCATATTACGTGCAATACTGTCATTCCATACTCATCATCAAGTACCCACATCCAGAAAACATAATCGAAGTTAGATAGTAGAAAGGTATGTTCCACACATCAGATCAATATAATAATAACAATTCTATAGGTTTTCTCTGACAAAATAAGACTATTCACTTTTGCATGATTTCAACATTTCTTGGGACAAAACAAATGAAATAAATTAGATGTCAGTGAATCTGAGTAGAGACTCAGTTCTTAATTAGTGTAATTTTATATTATGGACTAATAAATATTAGTCAAACCTGCTTTACTTCTTTGATCAAATTTACTTCAATATTTGTGGAGATGACTTGGTATAATTATAACAAATTTGGAAATAATGCAAAACATATGTTGGAATAATTTGAATGTGGTTAATAAGTAGTCCAATAATATAATTTTGAATATTTTATATCCAAGAGAAATGAAGTGTGGTCCAAAATACACAAACAAAACATGTAGGGGGAGAAGAGAGGGAGAGATGATAAAAGTAAACTAGAGGAGGTACTGTCAGCTATAAATAAAGTAATTAATTTGAATTATGTGTCCTGCGCACTCACAAGCACGTGTATGTTTCATGCGCATGCGTATGCGTGTGCAAGTATAACACATTGATATCAACAATAAATGGTAAGCATCAGAAATAATTAACAATCACTATGAGATATCAAATGCTTCAATCACAGACAAAATTGAAATAAAGAAACTCAGAAATAAATTACCGCATCATAAAGGTGCTCACGATATTAGAAATAAAGCAAACAATACTAATTCATTAATTATGGAATTATGCTTCTCTGTAATTAGCTGCATAAAAACTAAAACAAAAGGGCACCAACTGTTCAGTTGCTTCAGAGTAAACATCCATAGGAATCAGAGAAACAGAAACTCACGACTTACAATATAACGCATAGGAAATGCCAACTCATTTTCTATGTGAAATTAAGATACATGAATTGTCTACCAAATTCACCAAAGAAAAATCCAATGGGGTAAAAGCTCTTTGACAATGTTCAAAGAAGCTACAGAGGACCACACTCAATAAAACTGGCCTCATACATGGACCACTTTTCTAACACTGCCAAATAGCAATAATTCCCAGGATAACATTGCTTCACAGATAAAACATAAAGGCAAAAAAATGATGCATAACACAGAAAGCCAGTAATAAACCTGATGGAGGGAGCTGATGCGAAGTGCCTGAGTGCTATTTCTTTTAGGAAGTGGAGCAACACCAATTGAATCCAAGTGCTTTCAAATGAAATGAGATATTAAAAAATACAATCAATTTGCTAATTCAGCAGAAAATTAGCCACTGAAGAGCATTGCATATATATATATATTCATACTGTAGTAAAAGTTTTACCTTTACAAAGAATTGATACTTCTTAGTACTCAACAGATCCATGGTCGGACCACATGTTAATGGATCCATGCACAACTCATAAAGAAGCTGCATGCGCCAATCAGTCAAGAGTTTGCTAAAATTTTGAGGAAATAAAACTTTGAAAAATAGGAAGGACTATCAAACCTGGAAACCGAATTCATGAAGCAATGCATTGACATCAGACTTTAAATGTTTTTCCAAGATATCAAGAATAACCTTCAAGCAACTGCCAATTCACAAAAAATCCGCAAGTAAAAATACAAATATAGGAGCAACATACACCAACATGTTGGTGAAAGTCATTACAGATAAAAACCTGTAATGAAACTTTGGCTGCAGCAACGTCCTTTCAACATGACTGTCAAGATCAAATTTGAGTAACAAATGTGCAATATTTGGGGCTGGACGACTAATATTATCAATGAGAAGCTGCAATTGTTAAAGACGGTAAACAGATGAACCCCACACAATAAACTGTATATAATGGCTGCCCTGCCCTATGACAGCGGAAGAGATATAAAAGCAAAAAGCCAATAGCACATACCTGCAATATGAGAACACCCGGATCTTCGCTGCTGTTCTCTATAATCTGACACTCATCTGATCGTAGCTCTAGGCAGGCAGCATAATCCTCGATCAAGAAGTTCGCAGCATTGGATTTTAACAGCAACTGTACAAGCCCGGTCATACGAGAACTGCCACAGGCTCAAACATCACAAAATAAAATAGTGGATACAAATCATTCAAGTGAAAATATCAAAGCAATATCATACATCATCCACTCATATCAAAACAGAAAACAAGAGAGCATTTGAATGAAATGCAAACCTTAGAATACTCATAATTTTGATGGAGGATAGCTGAATTTGTGGCAGAAAATCATATCTGACATACTCCAACAGAGCTACAATTTGATTATGGTCTTGAGAGAGTATCATATCCAAAGGCTGCATGTTCATGGAGAAACAAACAGAAACATACAGGTAAATGTGATAAACCATGGACACAAAAAAGGAATTTGGGTAGGCAATTAGACTTTAACCAGGTTAAAAGTACATAAAAAAATAATATAATAAAATTAGACTGACACCAAATTGTGTCTTTCACTAATATACTAGCATTTATTTGCAATCAGCAGCTTGTTGATTCACAGAATTCCACATACGCTAGGTAATCAATTTGGTTTATGTTGGGATGATTCTCCACAGACCTTGGTTTCTCACTTACATCACAGATGGATAACCTAAACAGAAAATAGTAAAGAACATAAAAAAGGTCATAACCTAGTGCTAGTTTCACATATCTAAGGTGTTGAAGGGGAAGACCTCTTATATCGAAAATATATATTTAATATAGGAAAGACCTTATATAGAATGTATCCGAAAGAAGACAATAACAATCCTTGACGGATAGTATGGCAAGCTTTAGAAAGAAAGAAAATCTAAATCAGACATTAAAAAAAAAAAGTGAGGGTAAATTCTGATAATGGATTGCCTCAGGCCCATAACCTAACAAAAGTAAGCAGATCTAGGGATCATTAAACACAACCACCCAGCAAAAAGATGCCTACACCAATTAAGGAAGGGGGAGATAGATTCCAACAAAAAAGCTTCTTCCTCAGTACAAGGAGACAATACCTGATGCCCCAATGTTGGAAATACTCCTACAGAAGGAATGGAGGGGTAAGTCAAAAGGCCTAACCACCTAAAAGATACAATTGAATTAGGGAATATGGTGCAACTACCTAAGGTTTTCAAAGAAGGGAGTGTCACTCAACTAGAGAGCCAGATGTCAATTGAAATGGGAAAAGACTTCCACAATTATTGGTTCAAGGGGAAAAGCAGGAACAATAGTTTGATTATAATCTCACACTATCTCCTCTAAGGAAGCAAGCACCTGCTTGGAAGGGGAAATCTCTGTTCAGATAGAGAACAAACTCATGAGGACAGGGGTTTCAACTCCTAGGGAAGCCCCTTGATGCAGATAACACATATGGTTAGGACTCTCTCCTTTCTTGACTACCCAACATCCAGCATGGCCGGGATCAGTAAATATGCCAAGTATTGCACTTATGAAAAAAAAATCAAAGGCGTGTGTGTAAGCATCGGCACATCAAGAACGATACCATTTGCTCAACTCGAATAAAGGCATATAATGTGAGTATATATATAGAAATTGGGTATTCCTTTTTCTCTTGTCTTTGTGAAAAAACTTTCATTTTCACTTTTCTCCTGTCCTTGTGAAAAACTTCCATATATTTTGGTTCAAATGAATCAGCTTAAAGTTAACATATGAATTTCAATTCTTCCACCGACTTTCGTTGTGGTTCACTAAAGATTGGAAACACTTTGACAGTTCAGATGGAAAGAATGGCGAATTTGATTCTTGCTTGAATTAAGTTTAACAAATATAACCCTTGGATGACAACTAGTCGCTGTTGTGCGGGGAAAATCAGATACTGTGCTGAAGGTACAAAAGAATAAGATACCTGGTATAGAGGGCGCCAGAAATCAGAAACGATTAAATCTTTCTCCAGAACAAGGATTATGATTTCCACAGAAAGAAGCACAGCTTTTTCTAGAAGGTGCCCATAAATTTTATTCGTGCGTTCAGCGATGATAAAATTGACTCCCAGCAAAAGAATACCCATGATATTTCGAAAAACAGTTTTCCCACTCATGAAATCCTGCAAAACAAATAATTTGAACATATTAAACAAAAGAATAGAAACACAAACACAAGTCTTGAGAAGTGTAAAAGATGAACTTCGTTCTAAACCAAGAGGAAGAATAGTAAAGCAAAAATAAATTCCAATAAAAGAAGCGAATATGTTTTTAGGTATCATATCATTGGCAAAAAAAAAAAAAAATTACAACTAGAAATATTAACATGTGACAAACGGGATCAAAACATACATATCTTTCACTTTAACAAGTTTGCAAGTTAAATAAAAAATTCATGCCTGCATTAAACAATTTTTGTTACTTCTAAACTAATACTCCCTGTACCGTTGTTATATGAGGAGTTGGATTGTCCCTAGGATCCTTAAGTCCAGAAGAGTGCTACTAAGTAGACCCCAGTTACATGTAATGGACAACTGCGGACACCAATATGAGATAAAGCAGAAAAATTGTGTAAGGTGAACATGAAATGTGAAATTACATAGCATCCCACATTTGGAAATATGCACATGGATCAATAACTCTAAAGTCTCCAACCATTTTTAATAATAAATAAATAATTAAAAAGAGTACAACAACAGCAACATAATAATAATTAAAAAAAGAGAGAGAGCAGACCACAAACAGGAGTGGATGTTGTAAAACAACGAGAGAAATAAAAACCACAATCGCTAAATAATAATATAAACAATGACAAGGAGAAAAATAACAATAATGACAACAAATGCACCACTGAAGCCCTAGTTGAAGTGGTATTTCATCAAACTCCCCAAAGGAGAGGTTTAGGGTTCAAACCCCAGCAGGAGCAAGTGTTCATGATTTAATTTACCAATCAGAAAAAAAATAAAAATAAACAAATGCACATACTTTCAGTAACTCTATGACAGGGAGCTGCATCTGAAGTGGGGCAGATTGTGCAATAGCAGAGAGCTGAGGTCGGTCAAGAACACTTTCAATATCCTCATCCTTAATATCATACATGCTCAGTATCCTGTACATTAGGTTACATGAGATGAGTAATAAATTTCTTTACTAACTCATAGATAAAGCTCTTTAAACAGAAATACCATGTGAAACTAAATAAATAAATAAATGAAATAAAATAATCAATAAAACTGCTCCAAAGGAAGCAGCAAAGGACTGTAGATACCATTTTAATAGATGTAGTGTCAATTCCATGATTTTATACTCATTCCATACCGGACCATACTGGCATAGAATTATATACATTCTTTTTTTGATAAGTTAGAATTATAAACATTCTTATAGTGAGAAGTGTCATTCAAGGGTAACAAAATAGATGCTACATTTACATAGGGATTCTATGGCTTTCCATTCAATTTAGGATTAGGGATAATCGCACTAATCAGACAAAATCAAAAATTTATAGTTAAAACACCTCACAGATTCAATCAGTAGAGGATAAAATAACAGAGCTCAAGATTGAAAATGTAGGACTCACATTCGGAAATGCTGAAGACAAGCAATAACCAACTGCCATTTCTCACAGGGATCTGCATATGCTCTTTGTGGGAATGGTCCAAACACGTGATCATAAATGAACCTAAAGATACCAATGAATCTGCAAAGTATGCGTCACTTACTAGAGTGAGGCCTCAAGGGTAAAAAAAGTTCAAATGCTATAGAAAGTAGAAACATGAAAAAGATTATTAAGGGCCAGTACCTACGACCTCTATCGCTTACATCCCTTTCTTCAGCAATAAGAGCATTTAACAAGTTTAGGAATGATATCGTTGAAGGATACTGTTCTCTTCTTGCTTCTATTTCATTTAATTCAAATCGCATATCATAAACCTGCCAAAATCATAGTTAGGTGACCTTGCTATAAATTTTTAACAAATAAGTGCATAGTACTTATGAAGAGTTTGTCAACTGCAGTTACCAAGATCTATTTCCAATTACTAGCTAATACATAAAATAGTTTAATCATTGGGATATATTTAACAAAAAGAAAAAGAAAAAAAAGACTACCAATGAAACAAAAAAAAATTAAGAGTCAGAACTAAAGCATTATACAGACAAGAGGGACAAAATGTTTTGAGATACAGGACTACAGCATTATACAGACACAAGGAAACGAGCCAATTCACTGAAGCATAAAAATTAAATTCAAAAAAATTCCAAATCACAAGGCTTAGTTCAAGGCTTCAAGCCGAAAGCCTCCTACTTTGTAGGGCAGCAAAATGTGTAAGATTGATCCAAATATTAGGCTGGCAAGATCTACTCAGATGACAAAAAATATTTCTATCATTGTCACTAAAACGGTTGTAATAGAAAATAATAGAAAATAAATAAATAAATGTGGCCAACCCCATTCATATGGAAACAAGGCATATATGATGATGATGATCATTGTCACTAAAACTGTTACCGATGCCAATTTGAACCAGGTTTGGAGAAAGCAACCAAGAAACAGCAAAATACACATAATTTTACATAGATGCTTTTTTCCTTAGTTGAAACTCACACACACACTTTGCCTCTATGGGAACTTGAACCATCATCAACCTTCTACTTTGGAAGGTGAGGAAGTACCACTAGGCTAATAAAAACGAAAGAACCAAAGAAAATTGATAGATTACCAAATTCCAGATAATGCAATGTAGACAACAATACTTTGATATAATAACATTATGCTTCATAGGTAATCTCCTCAAACATAAAGTAATTTAGATATTATGTACAAACCAACCTGCGCTGTCATCGGTTGTGTGCTGCTCCCAACATGTGGTCCAACAACAACTGGCAGATCATATTGCTCAAGGTAACTCCAAATAGTATCTTTTAGAGTTGGAGAAACTTGAATGAAAGTAGCAATGGCATTACGCAAAGCACCCTATAAATGAATTGAGTTAAACAAAAAAAAATGATAAAATAAAATCTGATGCAGATTCTAATCATCATTGGAGACAAGAACAAAATTTGAAACCAAGGTACTCATATGAAGAAGCATGCATTACCAACAACAACAAAAAATAAACAAAACAAAAACACAAAAACCAAAAACCAAAAATCAAAAACCAAAAACAAAAACAAAAACAAAAAACAAAAAACAAAAGAAAAAGAATAAATAAATAAATAAATTTAAAATCAAGTAACAACAACAGCAACAATTAACACCTTTAGATAAGGAGGCACGTTCTCATAACTAAGGAGCCTGAATAACGGCTCAATATCAGGAAACCAGTTCTTCCTTTCCACGGGATTTCCATTTTCCACCACCTGTAACAAAAAGAGAAAGATGTCACAAACCAGGTGTTCCTTAGAAATTTTAAGAAGACCATAAAACATACAAGATACCTGTCAATTACCATCCAATCTAAAAACTTAAGCTTTTAGAGAGGGTGTAACTTTACTATTTATATCCTCTAACATACACCCTCACGTGTTGCCTTCGAGCACAAGTTTTCAATTTTAATTATCAAGGTGACGGTGAGGTTTAAGCCAGAGACATTTGGCTTTGATACCATGTTAACCCCCATTTACCCGACAAGCTTAAGTTGTTTGACATAGTGCAGCTTTAATTTTTATATCCTCTAACAATAACAATGAAAAGCAATCAAGCTATACAGCCTGATAATAAAAAAGAATCAGCAAGTTAGTTGGCTACAGATCAGAACAGATTTAACCCTAGACATTCAATATAATAAATATAACAGTAACTATTATAGCAACAACTTTTTACTGGAAACCTATTTTTTCCTTTGCCCGATACATTAGAAAAAGGAAACTGCACAAACTTGGCCCAGTTAAACTGGAGAGCAAGGAGGGGTATTGGTTAAAGACCAAATCACCGATTATTCAAACAGAAAAGCTGCTCTGATATGCAAATCCGCATTTTTCTTTGACCTTAGCCTCCCCAGTGCTTATCAACACATAGATGCCTTATTATCTTTCGAGACTTCTGCTGGTTATCCAAAGAGAGAGAAAATATTGGGAAAGACCCACTCTGAATGAGACCAGATTTTATTACTAGACGTGTATTGCCACACATCCAATAATGACACCAGTTTTTTTGTTACTAAAGTAACTAATTGATAACCTTACCATTCAACCAATTAGCACTCAGGTATGCAACTAGAAAAAGAAAACAAATAAATGGGGAGGGGTGTGTGGTTGGATACTGCAAAGTTCTTGAAATAATAACAAGATCACATGCCAGGTTTAAGAACTTACAACTTTTTCAGATGAACAAAGAGAAAGGGGATAGGATCTAAATTACAATAAAGAGCCATTTGAAAGCAACTAGTCTCTTCTTGAGAAACTCCTCCAAGCTATGGCGAAGCTTAGAGAGGTGGAAACAATAGCTTCTAAAAAGAAGCCAAACCAATACGGTAGCCATGCAAAGGTAGTGAGACAAAGCAGAGCCACTAGCAGAGAGGCGAAGGAGGCCTACTATATGTAACTGTTTATAACAGTTGACCAAGCTATGAAGTTGGTAAGTTCACAAAAAGAATCAACTTATCATAGATGAGTAGGCACTCAAATAATTAACTGCGCAGCTGATGTAAAAAGTGTGTTGAACAAGATGAAATCAAGAAAGGCTTCAGAACCAAATGGCATTACTATTGAGACTTGGAAGTGCTTATGTGATGAAGGCATATCTTGGCTAAAAAAATTATTCAATATAATAACTAAACAATGCCACCTGAGTGGCATAAAATATTGTAATACCTATAAATAAAAATTAGTGCAATATTCAAAGATGTAAAGATTCTGGGGTACCAAATTAATAAGTCATAATACAAAACGTTGGGAAAACTAACACTTGAAACTACAATTTCAGACAATTAATTTGGATTTACGATAAGAAGATCAATAATGGAAGCTATTTACTTACTAAGAACATTAATGAAAACATATAGAGAGAATAGGTAAGATATTCATGTGCATTTTATAGAATTAAAGAAAGACTGTGTTAGGATTCTTAGAGATTATCATATGGTGTCCAAATAGATAGTAAAAGCAATTGTAAGACAAAGAAGTGAATTCCAAATGTTGTAAGCTTACATTAAGGATCGGCATTAAACCAATAATTTTTTGCTTTAGCTGTGGATGAACCAAAAATGCATCCAGGATAAGGTCTCGTAGTATATGCTATGCTATTCGTAGACAATATCGTTCAATCAATAAAACTAGAGCATGAATAAGTGCTAAATCAAAAGTTACGTGAGCTGCTCTAGTTACATGAGGATTTAAGATAAGGCTATAACTGAATATATGGACTAGTAAATCTAAAAATAAAAGCGAATATGTAAAGAAGACAAAGGTAAATATATAATAAAACAAGAACATTTTAGTTAACTCGGGATGTACTTTAAATAGTTAAAAGAAATACAAGTGGGGATGTACTGTTAATAATTTAAAAAGTTAATCCAAAACCATAGAAACAAGCTGAAGTTTAAAGGGAAAAAGATATGTAAAGTTTATTGGTCCATAACATATTAATAGTCAATTCTGTTATTATGTCATCTAGAGGCAAGATTGGAAGAAAAAGAACAACACTTTGTTTTATTTTTTACAAACCCTTTTACCATTCTTGCAAGCTAGTTTTCGTATTGCAGACAACTTCTATATTCACCCTCGAATTCAGAATGATGCAAGCTGAACATAAGAGAGGGAGAGACGACCACACCTTCTTAATCTCGATGCATAAATATATTAATTTATAATGCAGATAAAAGAAAGCCAGAGGACACAGCTAATGTCAACATATCATCCCAGATTTGTATTATTATCTTATGAAAGCATAACTTAAGGAGCCAAAAAAAAGGATCAAATGGGGAAAATAGAAAATAAAACAAGTTAAAACCTTCTGAAGAACATTCAAGTATGCAACAAGTGCTTTGGCGTCCCCCTCCTGGAACTCCGGTAACATCGCCCCAGCACTTTGAAGGGATTGTTTGAACTTCTCCTCATAAATCGATAAACAATCAAACAAAGTGCTCCATCCAATAGACCGGAATGTTTTACCCTGAAGTAAGTCAAAAACCTTTGAAGCACCCTCTTCACTAGAAGCCTGAAAAAAAAATGACAAATTAAAGAACTCAGAGTACACTAAAAACTGCCTCACCTGAATGAAGAATTCATAAATGATACTTATTCGCATACCAAAGTACTCAGCATTTTCAAGAATGCTACGAGTGTTTGAAAATTAGTATGATCCTCTCCAGCAAAATTTACAAACGTCCATAACACATCGTTGCCAGACAACAGCTCTGGTTCCTTCTAATGAAGTATAATGCAAAAAGAAAAAAAAAAAAAAGGTGATCAATACTTATGTGACAAATCATAAGACAAGAAAAGCTGAAGCATAGCAACAGATAAAAAAACATATGAAACATAAGAGATTAAAAGGGCTTTTTTGAAGCAAAAAAAAAAAAAAAAAAGATTCAAGTAACAACCTGTACCAACAAATCTGCCATAGCTAGAGTTTACAGACTATACAGCAGATGTCCAGAATTTTGTCAAGCTATTGCACGATAAATAGAATACATTCAAAACTAATTTCTCAACCCAGCACAAAATTCAATTCTTCCAAAATAAAATCAAATAATCATATGCCATAACACGAAAAGCAATTACAAAAATAATAATAATTCTAAAAAAGGATGAAATTGGAGGAGCGTGAGAGGTAATCCTAAAAATAAATGAACATCAAATAGCTCTCAAACATCTCAAACCCAAAGAAATTCGCTGATGCATATCATCCAAATGAGAAAATTGATGATTTGTCTGGAATTCATCATAGATGACTTTTAGAAAACATCTTCATATAATCACCACATAGAAATGGAGTTGTCAGCATAAATGAGCTCATATAGGTGTAAAGATTTGAGAGTAATCAAGGATAAGTTGAGTTGGAAGGCATCATGTTCACAAATGAGTAAATAAAAGATCACCTAAATGGGATTAAAGCCAACTCGCTTGAAATTAGGTTAGTTTTTGGAATGCAAAATGGAATGGAAATGTGATCTGCTACACACTTCAAGACATGGTGTAAGTGGGGTAGACATAAGTAGCTCTAATAGTTAGAATGTGAGAGATTGTCTTTCCACTAGTAGATGATTAATAATATATTAGAGCTTGTCATTCTACTAGTAGATGATTAATAATATATTCTATTACAAAAAATTCAAAGATGTCATGTTAGGTAGATTGTTATATTTAAATTTGATAAAAGCATGGAAGTGCATATAAAATGATGACAAGAATGAGAATATTGATCCGGTTTTGTTTTTCCTGACCTTTGCCCCAAAATGCAAGTTTCCGAAACATACAGTAAAAAGGAGTCCGAATTAAAATTTCTTTGTAATGTTTGAGGAGCACAATTAGAATCTTTTCCATATTATGAAAACCTATCATTCATAGGATACCTAGTTATAGAATTTTTTTCAGAATTTTGTGGGGGCAAGGCATGTCCATGTACACAAGGTAGAACATAATTATATCTTCCCCCGTCTCTTCCTTAAAAAAAATTAATTCGAAAAAAGATTCGAGCACCAAGAAGAATAAACATTCAAAGATCAAAAATTTTAAATAATTATTAACCATGCAAATATATACACATATATGATAGGTTTTCACTCCAGTGAACGTATCGCAAATTTAGTCATTGTAGAAAATTAGAAATATACTCTACTCAACAAAACCTTTTCCAAATTCCAACTACCTGGAGTTGGCTACATGAATTCCATTTCTCCTTATTCATAAAATCAACTCAACAAAGCCTTTTCCTAAAACATGAATCATATTTTTCAATTCTGTAGAAGAAATCCCCAACTGACACGATCATAAGCTTTTTGAATTTCTAATTGCATATAACACTCAGCTCGGAACATCTAAATCTAGAATCCACATGTTTAATTTTACCAACAATATGTAAGCTGCACTATTCTATGTTCGCCAGTGCCTTCCTGCATCATAGTTTGATCATCCCTCACGCAACCAAAAAATTTCTAGGGAAAACTACACTTACATAGAGTTAGGAGCTTAAATAACAAAATAGTCTATTTTAAAAGTTTATTTTTCACTTTGGTTGAATTAACTAAAATAATTACATATGCATCAATAACTATTGTTTAGGTCCAAAATACCCTCCAAACACTTATTCCAAAATACTAAAATTATTCCCCTAAAATCAAGTGCTTTCTTTAAATAATTTCTTTCCTTTAACTTTGAACCATAGTGCTGCAACTTTCAAATATACACACACGATAACTTATACATATAATAAAAAAGATTCAATATAGTAAAAAATGGGGCAATCAAAGGTTAGTCCCCAAAAAGAAAAATATAATTAAACTCAAGAATATATAAATTGTCTTTGCTGTGGTGCATGGCTTGAGATGATCATCTATTTTTTGGCTCAATTAATTACACTTGTTTTATAAAAAATAAAAATAAAAATGATCGCTAGTGTATCATTTACTGAAGCAACCATTTAGTTTTTTCATGATCTCCCTCTCTCGCCATTTAGTTTTTTCTTAATCTCCCTCGTGCGTGTGTACAGTATGTATGTGTGTGTGTGTGTGTGTGTGTATATTCATAGAAAAGTTTTCACATTTGCAGGTTTATATTGGTATGAATTAGGAGATATGGTTAAAGTTATGTGCAAATAAAATTATATATATATATATATATATATATATATATATATATATAGGATGAATTTCCACTTACTAAAAAAAAAATTATATACATAATAAATTTCCACTAAATTATTTGTATAGTTCTAAATTTATATTTGCACGTTTGAACCGATATGGATTAGGAGATATCGCTAAAGTTTTTTGCACAAAATTTATATAATATATATTTTTTTTTTAATTTATTTATTTTGGTAATATATACACCATATGTAGAAATGCCAAGTTGAAAGTCAACTCAGAAATCTTGTTTTTCTAAATTTTATGAATGAAATAATTTTTTTTTTTTTTTTTTTTTTTGATAAGTAAGATTTTATTGAAAACGCTTAAGAGGGGAGCGGAACCCAAAGAAACAAGGGCCAAAGGCGTCTTAAACCTTCAAAGAGGCCAAAAAAATAAAAATCTCCTCAAAAGATCTATAATCTCTCCCTGAGACCCAACAAAAAAGAGTGGAAATAATAGAGAACTTAAGCATAGAAACAGGTTTCTCCTTTCCCTCAAAATATCTCCGATTTCTCTCAAGCCAAATGCACTACCAAAGACATAGAGGCGTAGGCCTCCAAGCTTCCTGCACGAGAACCCCAACTGAAACACCTCTCCAAGCCTCAATCAACCCTCTAGAGGAACAAGGCATAACCCAATGGATCCCAAATAATCCAAGCATCAACTCCCAATAGTCTCTAGCCATGCCGCAATGTAAAAGAAGGTGATCAACTGTCTCCTCATCACTCAAGCACATATAACAACGATTGACCACCACCTGAATCCTCCTTCTCAAATTATCCTAGGTTAAATTCTTGCCCAGGACGGAAGTCCAAGCAAAGATGACCTTAAGGGGAGCCTTATAACGCCAAATAGACTTCCAGGGGAAAGGGCCTCCAGCACAAACCGAAAAGCACCTAAAAAACAGACCTAACCTCAAAATGGCCTTGAGAGTTAGGATCCCAAAGCCAACAATCCGAATCCCAACTATGATCACCTGGCGATACAAAACCTCCAAAAAACGAGAAACCTCCTTAATCTCTCGGTCCTGAAAGTGTCTTTTAAACTGAACATCCCAAGTCAATCTGTGAGAAGCAATCCTATAAAGCCGAGGGAAAGCAAGAGCAAGAGGAAGCTCCCTACACCAAAGATCCTCCCAAAACATGATCCTCCTACCATCCTTGATCCGAAAACGAACATGCTCGCAAAAAACATCCCACCCCCTCCGAATGAAAGTCCAAACCCCCACTCCCCTAGGACCACGCACCTCAAGAGAGCTCCAACCACCTCTGCTCTTCCCAAACTTGCTCGCGATAACTCTCTTCCAAAGCTAATGCCTCTCAACCCCAAACCTCCAAAGCCATTTTCCAAGGAGAGCCTTATTGAAAGGCAACAACCTCCTTAACCCTAAGCCTCCATTCCGAATCGGACGGCACACTTGATCCCGTCGAACTAGATGATACTTGAACTCCCCCCCCCCCCCCCCCCCCCAAAAAAAAAAAAAAAGAAAGTTGCACTGCCCCCCCCCCCCCCCCCCCCCGCCCCAAAAAAAAAAAAAAAAAAAAGAAAGTTGCACTGCAATCTCTCAATTCTCTCAGCCACCGAAGAAGGAATCTAAAAGAAGGAAATAAAATAAGTGGGGAGGCTAGAAAGGGTGCTTTTAATTAGCATGACCCTGCCCCCCTTTGAGAGGTACTGCTTTTTCCACCCCTCCAACCTCCTTTCAAATCTATCCACAACAGGATCCCAGCTCCCCACACATCTCGAAAGGGCTCCCAAAGGCAACCCTAAGTAAGAAATGGGAAAAGAACTAGTGCGACAGCCAAGAATCTGAGCAAACATCTCAATCTCAGGAACATCCCCAACAGGCACAAGAACACTCTTACCAACATTCACCTTGAGGCCAGAGACAACTTGGAACCAAATCAAAACACATCTCAAATACCTCAGTTGGGACGCATCAGCATCACAAAGCACTAAAGTATCATTAGCAAGCATCAAGTGGGAAATCTCAAGTTGACTAGCAACATCTTGCCCACCCGGAAACCTCTCAAAAAACCCAACTCCACAGCCCTCTTCATCAATCTGCGAAGAGCCTCCATCACAAAAAAGGAACAAGAAAGGAGAGAGCGGATCCCCTTGTCTTAAGCCCCTCGAACTAGAGAAAAAACCCGTCGGAGCCCCTTTCACAAGGATTGAGAACCGAATACTAGAAATGCAAAACAGAATCCATCTCCTCTAACGCCCACCAAACCCCATCCTCTCCAACAAGTAGAGGAGGAAGCTCCAACTCACATGATCATACGCCTTCTCAATATCCAACTTGCATAAAACACCCAGGACCCCACAACTCAAACGGGAGTCCACATATTCACTAGCAATAAGAACTGAATCCAAAATTTGTCTACCCCCCACGAAGGCATTCTAAGAATCAGAGATGACTCCATCCAAAACCTTTCTCAACCTGGAAGCCAAGACTTTAGCAATCAACGTATAATTACATATGAGATAATTATTTGATTTAGGAAGGATATTTTGATTTTTTGAAATAAGAGTTTGGAGGGTATTTTGGACTTCAATAATAGTTTTTAATGCATGTAATTATTTTACCTAACTAGACCAAATTGAAAAATTAACTTTAAAAATAGACTGATTTGTTATTTAAGGCTCCTAAATCTACTTAAGTGTAGTTTCCCAATTTTCTATGTATGTTGACTACTTGAACCTAAAAAGGTGTAAAAAGAAAATGATTTAATATTTTGGGGGGTGGGGGGGCGGCGCCTATAATTTCAATGTAAATTTAAATCGTGAATAAACACAAACAACTGAACAAAAATTATTTCCTTTTATCTAAAAATATATAAATGGTATAAAACAATAACAGAACAGCATGGAAATCAATCCCTTGTGTCACAAGCCAATAGTTCTGACAATTTAAAGTGCACTTCTACTTAAGCCCACACCTTCTATTGCATTCCAATGTTGTATATCGCATATTTCAAAGAATGATTAGGGTTTGTAACAACCATAAGGAAACATTGTAACTTAACTGCACAGTCAAATAAGATCTCTTCTAGATTTGAAAGCTTTTACAAGATTCATTTAGCACTATTACATTCTTATTCACTATGAATAATTCTATCATTGTTCAAGTGGGTATCTTGAGAAAGAACTTACATAAATCACCATTCAAGCTTATACTAGCAGTTACCCAGGTCTTAACTTAGATTTAATGGGAGTAATGATTATGAGATATATTGCTTTATCATAAAATATGAGCCAAAATTACTATTCTTGAAACCACCAAAATAAATTGCAAATGTACAGAAACATTAAACAGTAGCAGGAGACCAACACAGTTAAAACACCCAATGAAGATAACTAGATTAACATAAATCATAGTACAAATAACGAGCCTACTGACCTGATAAATTTCACTAACAAACTCCAAGAGAGAGACAAATGGTTGAGAGACTGTTTCAGCGGCATGCTGAGAATGCACACCATTGTCACGCATATAATCATGTGATCCAGCCATCCGGTATGGGCTAAGTGCAGCCATTGCCTTCTCCTTTGTTTCTTTTACCTGGCAGAAGGTGTTACAACAACCATGACAATAGTGAAAGGATGCAAGCAAACATAAATACATTTGGAAATTAAAAATAATAATAATAAATTCATACTTTATTAACTAAAAGAAAAGACAACAACAAAATGTACTTCAAGGCCTGAATGCTTGAAGGCCCCCTATAAAAAGCACCCTATAAAACACCAAAAAAAATAATTTATATGCAAGAATTAATACATCTATTTATGTTGGAAATTCAAACTCAAAAACACCAAGTTATAAATTCCCACATATTCTTCAAATGAATAAAGGACACAGATTAGAAGTCCCACATACTGAGCAACACAACAAGAAGCTTTCTTCATAAATGGGACAAAATTTTAAAATGAAACGGTTCTTTTCTGATCACCTACATCCATATCTAAGTGAATAAATATATATTAATGTTCTAAAATATACATATGTGATAAAATGATGAATATGATTGGTAAAGTAATAGGAAACAACCTCCTTTTCAGAGATTTCGGACATAATATTAAGACCAGCTACTGGGGGAAAAAATTTACTATATTTGAAGAGCACAAGAAACGGAAAACTTCAACTGACCTTATCTCTAGCAAGTGGATGAGAAAGAAAGCATGTAATCAGCTTGTGCAGATAAGCATCGTACATATAGATCACATCCTCATCATCATTCTGTACAAATAACAACAGACATTAAATCGAAGTCGTACTTGAAAATATGCACTAAAGAAAAATGAGAAGTAACCTCAAAATGACCAAAACAAACATAAAATGCATGAATCCAAAAAAGACTAGAAACCAACAAGATGACATGTCCTTGGAAAGTAAAAAAGCGGAATTTGGTGGTGTATCTGTGAAGTGAGACATTAGGAGAAAGGAGGCAAATAAAAGACACAAAGCAAAAGATGAAGAAGATAAAGCAGTAGATTGTCTGAGAACAGCCACTTTGGATAAATAATGCCAAAGAATAGATCCATACCCAGTCCACAGCGCCCTCAGCCAAAGGAACAAACTGGATAATGCCCTTCTTTAGTAGAAAGCAAGGAGGAAATTTTTGTTTTTTTTCATCTTGAAATAAATGCAACTTTCTTCAAACCCATAAGGTCAACTTAGAGAAAAGAAGGGGGAAAATTTCACAGCAAAAAAGAAAGAAAGAAAAACAAAAAGAGAAATAAGAGAGAGGAAGGGAAATTAATTACTTGGTCTATAAATATATTACAGAAGAACAGTTTGAAGTAGGCATTACAAGTCACAAATTAGCAAACAACTAAATTGAGGAGGGGGGGAATGGAAACAGTCAATAACGGAGGTTCAGAACATTTCAATACATTAACAGAATCCTTTCGTTGCTCGTATACATAAAACAGCCGTTCAATCAATAAGTAAGTTTGGTATTGAAAAGGAACACTTTCTGAAAACATATGGTTCCCCTATGGCTCTTAGCATAAACTGAAACAAATCTGAAATCTATCGAAAAAGAGATAAGCACGCTCCAAATGCAGTGGAGGTGATGAATATAGATAAAACAAGGGCCAGTTCTATATGCGGAGAACCAAAATACCCATACGATAATTCAACTTCAACAAATCTGACTAACAAATTAGTGAAAATAACAAATTTAATTCAGTTTCATAGAATGCAAAGAAAAACCAAACTAACTAATATATATATATTCTTTGTTGCGTTGATCTAAATGAATACTAAAATCCACTAGAATTTTCCAAAAGATCCCTTAATAACTCTAATTAGTTAAAATAACAGTAGCTGATTCCTTACAAAAGTGCCATCCACTCTTAAAAGTCACAAAAGTCCTGATCAACAAACCTTCACGCCAACGCCAAGTGGCCTCCATCACATCACCTCTTAGGGATGATCTCATCAAATTTTGGTAGGTATTTTCTGTTGACATTGCTTCATGTAATTAAAAATATACATATTATTAAACTTGGTTGCAAAGTGGCCTCCACCCAAAAGCAACTCTCCCTGTTGGAGCATAAATGCCTCCCCAGCATCCCTGAGATTGAGATGTTTGCTCAGATTCTTGGTTGTCGCACTGGCTCGTTTCCCATTTCTTACTTGGGGTTGCCCCTGGGCGTCCCTTCGAGGTGTGTGGGAAGTTGGGACCCGGTTGTTAATAGATTCGAGAAGAGACTGGCGGGATGGAAGAAACAGTACCTCTCCAAGGGGGGTAGGGTCACTCTGATCAAGAGTACCCTTTCATGTCTTCCCACGTATTTCATTTCTCTTTTTCAGATTCCTTCTTCTGTGGCTGAGAGAATCGAAAGATTACAGCGTAATTTTCTCTCGGGGGGTCGTGGAGAGGAGTTCCAAGTATCATTTGGTTCGTTGGGAGCAAGTGTGTCGTCCAATTCGGAATGGTGGTTTAGGGATTAGGAAGTTGTTGCCTTTCAACAAGGCTCTCCTTGGGAAATGGCTTTGGAGGTTTGGGGTCGAGAGGCGTTGGCTTTGGAGGAGGGTTATTGTGTCCAAATTTGGGGAGAGCAGTGGAGGGTGGAGTTCTCTTGAGGTGCGTGTTCCTAGAGGGATGGGGGTTTGGACTCTCATCCGGAAGGGGTGGGATGATTTCAGTAAACATGTTCGTTTTCGGATCCGTGATGGTAGGAGGATTAGATTTTGGGAGGATGTTTGGTGTGGACAGCGTCCTCTTGCTGTTGCTTTCCCTCGGCTCTACAGGATTGCTTCTCATAGGCAGGCCATGGTGGTTGACTGTTATCATCTTGATAACGGGAGGCTGACTTGGGATGTTCAGTTTAGGACTCATTTTCAGGACTGGGAAATTGAGGATGTCACTCGCTTTTTGGAGTTATTGTATCAACAGGCGATTTTTGCTGGGATTCGGATTGTTGGCTTTGGAATCCTAACTCTCAGGGTCGTTTTGAGGTTCGGTCCTTTTTCAGATGTCTTACAGTTGGCGCTGGAGGTCATTACCCTTGGAAGTCTATTTGGCGTTCTAGGGCCCCTCTCAAGATGGCCTTTTTTGCTTAGACCTCTGTCTTGGGTAGGATTCTAACCCAGAATAATTTGAGGAGACAGAATCAGGTGGTTGTGAATCGTTGTTATTTGTGTAAGAGCAATGAGGAGACTGTCGATCATCTTCTATTGCATTGCAACATGGCTAGGAACTGTTGGGATTTAATGCTTGGTTTGTTTGGGATCCCTTGGGTCATGCCTTGTTCCTCTAGAGGGTTGATTGAGGCTTGGAGAGGTTTTTCAGTGGGGGCCCTCATTCAGGACGCTTGGAGGGCTACGCCTCTTTGTATTTGGTGATTATTGTTTTTTTGGCCTCTTTGAAGGCTTGAAGCGCTCCTTGGCCTCTTGTTTTGTTCTTGGGCTTCGCTCCCCTTCTGAGCGCTTTCTTAATAAATTTTTACTTATCAAAAAAAAAGAAGAGAGAATGAAATTACCCAAGAGTTTGTTCTTTTCAAAATACATAGGCTAAATTACACTTACACCCCTTGAGGTTAGACCAAATTACACACGGTGGTAGAAAATGGGCCTAATATCACTGTTTACCCCTCAGGATTGGCGCGTATGCTCAATGACCCCTTAATGTCAAAGTGCAGATAGAACTGTTAAAAAAATTGACGAAATGACCAAACAGCCCTTTCCTTGTCCAGAAGACATTAATGGCCCTATAAAGTAATATAAAATTACAAAAATTCCATTGTATAGATGACCATAACATTCTACCACATGAAATCTAGAAACATCTTCCTACCAAAACCTCCATGACTATTGAAAGAGATTAGCATAGATGACCATAACATTCTATTCGAAGCTTTAAATGCCCCACACTGATGCAAAACAACGTCTGCGAAAGTGTCGTTCACAAAGGAGCACTGAGTGAGACTCAGCAAATCTAGAAATATATTTATCAACTCCGGAACTACTGTAAACCCAAACCATCATATATGTGGTTTCTAGAATGAATCTCCCATCCATCTCCATTGCAAACCATCTCCATTGCAATTTCCAGTAAAATTCTCTTTCTAACAGGTAAAGTTTTACCTACACAAGAATTTTCATTCAAAAAATTAAAAAAAAAAAAAAGGGGAAAAAAACAAAAAGAAAGAAAGAAAGCAAAGAAGAAAAGCTTTTTGTGACTCTAAAGGTGGCCAATTTAAACTAGATCTTGATCAAGATAATCCACAAAGAAGAAAAACCAAATTAATTCCAAGCTAATCAGATAAGAACGAAAATTAAATCTTAGAAATTTCCATGCAATCAAGCTCGGTGGGTCCCGCGGCCATCCTTCTGCCATCCACTTTTGGATTCTCAAGCGGCGGCAGCCAGCTCCCCACAGTCCCATATAGCAGAAGCACAACAAAAAAATTGAGTCAATGAACAAATTCAATCACAAATTACATACAAACGAAAATGATGTAACATTTAAAACGTACAAAAATTCTAAAGCATCGCACAGCGCAAGCTATTTCAATTTGTCATAAAATAATCTGCCAATTCCTTCTCCAAACACACCACCCTGCATTGGCGGCACTGTCACCGCCGAGAAGAACGACAGCTGAAGATTCTCCTGCAGTGACCACAAGCTCGGGAACGTAGACACTGGTGATGGCTGGGTATTTTGTGTTGCAAGGGTGGAGGATATTGTGATTGGGTTTTTGTTTGCGACGGTGATGAACAGAATACTGCTGAATTTTGTGATTGGGGATGGGCTGTGATGAACAGAAAGAGATAGAGGGAGAGAGGAAATGGAAGGATACTGTCATAATTTTTTTTAAAAGACATTTTTTTAATTTTATTCTTATAAAAATCAGGGGTACAACTGACATTTCATTCACATTTTTGACGTTCGTAACCACTTAATGGCCATAAGGGTTCTAAATGTAATAAAGGCCTATTTCGACCACCATGTGTAATTAGACCTAACCTCAAGGGGTGTGAATGTAATTTACCCAAATACATAACATGATAAAGCTGATGTAAATGACACAAAATCTCATCCTTACCCTCAAGAGTAGGAGAATCAAAGAAAATAATTAAAGGAACTTAAAAAGTGAGAAGGACAAAAATAAATAAACAAATTATTTAAACATAACTATCCTATTCTGTTGGTTGGAAGGAAGGACAGTAGTTAGCAAATATTTCAAGGTAACCAAAGATTGATATTCGACTTACACAACAATGTATACAAGTCAACACATTAACAGAACATATGGATTATGCACTAATTGGAATTTGCATGTAACCATAATAGAAACAATTACAAATTTTTTACAACAAATTTAATCAAAGACAAACCTGATAGGCTGCTGTCCGGAGAACCTTATCCAGCAAAAACTGGAAAACATTGTTCGAGAAAATAACTTCCAAGCATGAAGAAATATTTCGCATATCATTAGATGAAGCACTCAAAACTGTCTCCCTTGAATCCACACCATCTTGTATTAAAAGCAAATGTATGGCCCATGCAAGTCTAACACAATCAACAAAGCCCTCAACAACTGGGTCATTTCCGGCAGCTATCACCTAAAGGAAGCATGATCATCAACAACTTTCTGATAATGGCAAAAATTCTACTCCCTCCATCCCAAAACATGTGTCCCCTTCCTTTTTGAGATGTCTGAAAATAAGTGTCCCAAAAAAAAATCTTTCCTAAATTATCCTCAAGTTTTGACAGGCATGTCCCCTTAAAAAGTTGCGAATCACCAAGAGACACTTATTTTTGGGATGGAGGGGGTGGGGGAAGTATAACTACATTAAGAGGGCGTTGATAATTATTCAACTTACAATTTCCTGAAATTCATGCCTAAAAGAAGCATCATGTGACAGGACAGATGCTTTACCGGGTACCGCGCTCAAAGCATCTGATATGAAAGTGATTACAAGAGAAAAAAGAAGGCTATATGTGATCTGCACAGACCCAAAAAAAAAAATGTAAACAAATAAATAGTCGATAAAAAAAAAAAAATCTAATATCAAAAAAATTGGATCAAATAGGAGTCACTTTTTTTTCTAACTAGATGAGTATATCAACAACATGCAAATTTTAGGTTATTCCGGAACAAAACTTGACCATGCATTATAATTGACGGTTTTAGATGAATAAACTATAGGAATCAATAAGGAGAGAAGTGGTTAGAAAATAAAGAACTAAGTGGTGAAATTTAAAAAATAAAGAAAATAGAACTATTTGAGAGCAAGATGCTAAAAGAACTGACATATAATTTAGAAGACAAAAATAATATATGATAGGATGGACAGCTTTATAAAAAGAATATCAAAATAGGCCTTCGAGAATTAAAAGAAGCAGCTTATCTAAGGAAACTTGGTGGTGGAACAAGGAAGTCCAAACCACAAGTAAAATATGGTGTTAAATTGGCAAACCAAAGTTTCGAACCCAAAAAAAAAAAAAAAAAAGTACTAATATATGCATACTATGTATTTATTCTAATTTAATGATTGAGACTTTTTAAAAGATTTAAGTATAAAATAAGATTAGAGATGAAATGAATGAGAGCCTAATACGATAGTTTATTTGCATGTTGTCATTAAGGAATAGTAACATGATCCACATTGAGAATAAAGCTACTGGAAATGGAAAACCAAATTAATTAGGGCTAATAATATATATATATATATATAACTTCAAATAGTTAGGATAAAGCTTTATTAAGTTGATTTGAGTAAAATGTATTTCAAAATTTGTTTTAAAGTATGTATACATTCTTGCATACCTACACTCTAGTCAAATTTTTCCAAATTTTGACATGTTATGCTATATATATATATATATATATATTGGTAAGTGTTATGCTATATATTTCAACTACCAATCCAGTAATGGTATGTTGCTTAAAGAATTTCCACCAAATCAAGTTAAAATTTTAGGTACCCCATTATGTGTATATACACTGTCTTGAACGCTTCTATCCTATTCTATGTTTAGAAAAATACATATAAAAACACAGATAGTGCAATACATAACATCACAAATTAGTTAATGATCCCCATAACATACAATTATAGTGCTTTAAACGCACAAAAGAAAGGAGCACTAATGATTCAGCCAAGATGGACAATATAGTAAGACCTGATGCTTTAGGACATCAGCACTACTATTTAGTTCAGCTGCGCTATTTTTAAAAGTGGAAAACACATCTTTTACATCTTTTGGACCTGCAAAAGCCAAAAGAAATGGCACCGTTAGAAAGTGAAATTCTTGGAGGAAAAGAATTAAAAAAAACTCATACATTACATGTACATTCCGCTTGCTAAATTATGTGCAAAAATGCAAAAGAGATTAGTAAATCTTTTTGTGGTCAGAACTTCAGAAGGAAATACTGAGCTATGAAATAGGATGTAACACCACCTCAAAAAGGAAAAAGAACAAGGCAGTCAGGATTTGACCCCAAGCCTCTCATTAACGTACATAGATAATGTACCAATAAGCTTGCTGACACCTTCAACAAATTGGTAACTTTTAAAATATTTACATACGCCTTAAATATGGAAACAGTAGGAAATGATTAAATATAAAATTGTTAGGGGATTTAAATATTAAAGTTACACCATCTCTAACAGCTTAAGCTTTTAGAGTTGATGGTTATCAACATGGTGTCGGAGCAGGATAGGTTCTGTGTTCAAACCTCATTGTCACCCTGATTTAAAATTGAAACAACATGCGAGGGGGCGTGTTGGAGGATTTAAATATTTAACTTACACCCTCTAGTATCAAAGTAGGGTAGGTCTTGTGTTCAAATCTCACTGTCACCACCTCACTGTCACCCTGATAATTAAAATTAGAACACGTGTTGGACCAAAAAGAAGATCACACGTGAGGTGGCGTGTTGAAAGATCTAAATATTAAATTTGTGCCCTCTGTAACAGCTTAAGCTTTTAGAGTAGTTGGTTGTTACCATGGTATCACGTGAGGGGCTTGTTAAAGTATTTAAATATTAAAGTTATACCCTCTCTAATACCTTAAACTTTTAGAGTAGATGGTTGTTAACATGGTATCAGAGCAGACAAGGTCCTGAGTTCAAACCTCACAGTCACCCTCGTAATTAAAATTGAAACAAGCATTGGACCAAAAGGACACACATGAGAGGGCGTGTTGAAAGATTTAAATATTTAAGTTACACCATCTTTAAAGGCTTAAGCTTTTAGAGTAGATGGTGGTCAACATGGTATCAGAGCAGGGAAGGTCATGTGATTTGAACCTCACCGTCACCCTAATAATTAAAATTTAAACACGTGTTGGACCTAAAAGGCGGCCACACGTGAGGGGGGAATGTTAGAGGATTTAAATATTAAAGTTACACCCTCTCTAATAACTTAAGCTTTTAGAGTAGATGGTAGTCAACAAAAATCAATGCTGAGAAATCAGAGGCGGCACCAAGCGAGTGAAGGTCATACATGATTCATGAAGGTTTCACCACGTGCACCAAAGACATGAAGGCAGCAGTAATGAGTTGTTTGAGGTCTAGTTAAAAAGACCAAATAGGATAAAGGGAATGAAAAAACAGAAGGGTGGGAATGATCATGACAAGGATTCAACAAAGGAGATGGCTGTAGATTTGGCTGATAAAGGAAAACATTTGTGTATCGAAGCCCAATGGCTTGGGTCAACCTTTACGAAGTTAGATGATCACAACAACAATGCTGATTGTGGTGATGATCGTCATCATCACCACAATTATGTACAACAGCTCAGAGTAAGTGTGTGACCAAAAACCAACCAAATGGCCCACCACTCAAAACAGTGGATATTCAAGTTAGTAACGACTATGCCAACAGCACATTGTATGGCAGAGCCCTATAATTGGGATGAAGCCTTTGTGAGGTTGAGATACCACAGTGATAATGATGATAAATATGCAGTAACTTCAAGTTTGTCATAGCTACACTCTGGATAGCACACATATGATAAGACTTCCATCTAAAGAACATTAGGATGCAGAGCCTATGCGAGCACAAGATTTTAACAAGGCTGTCTTCCTTATATAATCAAGCAAAAAAGAAACTAATAACTTGCAGCAACTCAGGAAAAAAATATCTCCCAAGAAAACAAAAATGGAACTCGCATTAAGTTATAAATCACCTGAGAAGCATGGAAATTGATATAGGATACAGACACGCCAACATATAAAGTCTTAAAAAGTAGGATATGAGCAAAAGAGGAAACTTTAATAATATACATAACTATTATATAAAAAATATATATTATATATGCAGGCGTTACTTCATGACAACTAAATTTAATACTATATGACAAGATGAAATTTATGATTCATCATACAATCATACTCACACTTCTCATGTAGAGAAAGTTATAATGACATCAAATAGATCTGTTTGTGTATGCGTATGTACATAGTTATGTGTAGGTATGTCTACACACAATTGATGACTTCTCTGTCCTTTCTTACTCTCATCCCCACTCCCCTTCAATAAAATTAATTGTACATATTTTGTTTCTAATACGATCGCACTTTTTATAAATTTAACATAAGCCTATAATTTTATTCTTTATTACAATAACTCTTCAATTCATGCTAAGTCTTATCCATTGTATAAAGTTTATTGGTCACATGTTGGCAAGTATTTGATAAGTATAGGCCATGTGCCTAAAATTAAAAACAAAAATAAAAACTTATTTTTAAACTTTAGATGCATCCAAAAATGTGTCAGACAAATGTTTGGAAGTCCAAGAAGCATCAATGTCCAACATGATCCAATCCAAAAACAGCTCCCCGATAGAAGTGTCTGCGCTTCTTACCAAATCATAAGATGAAAAGTATTCAGGCTTAAATTTTAAAATTACAAATATTCCTATAGAAAACCAATCTATTGTGCATGAAAACCTCAAAAAGTAGGGCACGATTGGCCTTCAAGATGAAAGCAACTGTGAAAAACCAACTGGACACAATGGCCATTTGTAGCTTACTTGTCCGCACAACCAGAACAGAAAGGACAAGGCAATGACCAAGGATGAGTCGTTCCCTAGAAACCACAGCTCGTCGTTCCACAAGAGCGCCTCTTGAGTCAAGAATATAGGGCTCAGAGTTAGGCCCACCCAAACCAGCTGGTTCGTCTCGATTGAGCTCCTAGAATGAAATAAATAGCAACATTATACACAAGAAGAAAAACAAAATAATATTAAAAAAATAAAAATAAAAATCACCATCAGCGTTGGCAATGACAAGGAAATTTTAAGTAGGTAATTTTGTATTCCCAACAAAAAAACACCAATTTTTTTCACCATTAACCATATCATAGGATCAAATTAAGCAGAAAATAGATCCCTCATGCAAAGATGGATATTTTTCTTTACATGACTAACAGTGTCGTATCATGGCAAGTTTGTTGGTCTTTTTGGTCAAATCAATGAATTTTGAATGTTATTGTAACTATATTTCTGAGCAACACTAGGAGGTTCCATAACAGCTTACTCAGAGGAACACAAATCCTAATTCTACCAGCAAAAGCATAAGTATACAAAAATGTGCCATATCTAAGATATAAAAAGGTAAATAAAAGTTTGCATGACAGCAAGGACCAAAAGAACTTTTATCCTCACTAAATATAATAATTCTACAATAGAAAAGGAAAAAGAACACTTGACAGAAATGTAAACTGCCCTTCGTACACTTAAAAATCACAGTTAACCCAACTTCATCAAAACTTAATGTAATTGTCTTAAAATTGATACCATGATAACCAATGAAAATCCAAATCACTTTTATTTTATTTAATTAAGAATTTATCAAGGAAGAACATGGTGGGGATGAAACATTTTCCAAAACCAATGCATTCAAATTACAAATAAGACCACCCCTATCATTGTGCATTTCTGAAAGTTTCCTGTGAAAGGAATTCAAAGACAGAAGCCAATTACATAAAAAGAGAATATCATCAAAAGTCAGACCATTGATGACAAGTTTTTCCTTCAAAACTACTCACTACTCAGACAATTAAAGAAGTAGAGAAGTACTAACACAACATTCCATTTTGATAGAAGCCTTTAATATAGCAATCCTAGAATACATAGCTAGGGAAGCAGTTAGCAGAACATCTCAATGCAGGAATGGCTATTTGACTACTTGAACAAGTTTGGTGAAGGACTAAACAAGGGGAAGATTTGGTGAGAAAAGTGCATACCTAACCGGAGTTCTAGGCAGGATCAGTATTCTACATTCTTTACTAGACCAGCCCTGCCCCAATTATATAAACAATATATCACTGTGTCCCCCATTTTGGGAAAATATATCAAATATCCCAATGCTATGTCAACCAAATTTAAGATTTCAACAAACAATCTTTCTTGATCCCCTCTCTTTCACCATTCAGCCTCACCACTATAACCTTTGCATTACCCTTGTTCATGCTGAAGCTTGCCCTTCCAAAAGGTGCCCCTGTCACAGTTTTAATCAAAATTTTCATATAAAAGGTCCGTCTCTTTTGTCAATTTCTAAAGTAACTCCTGAAAAGATTGCTTCCATATTTCCAATTTCTCCAACATCTCCGCAATATGTTAGTAGGTTTTCAAATCCAACATTAGCATGATTTGCAAATTAAACCATTGATATCCAAGGTTTCTCCACGCATAACCCCGTTTCCCAGTCAACGACAATAGGCAATCCAAATCAAGTTATTTCATCCTTCGGCTCTGATTACATAGCGTATTCAATCAAAGAATGTAAATGTACTCGCCCATCGTTTTTTTTTATCTTTTTAAGGAAATTGCTCATAATCAGCAATGCGGGGTTGGTTTGAAGGAATTAACTGGGATCGAGGATCAAATGAAGCCTAGTTAAGGTTAAGGTATTAGAATGGTATGGTTGTGAAAGCGGTGCACCTCATACTCCCCTAGTTGCCATCCCTGCCTCTAACGAATGACAAAAGAAAGATGACAAGCCCGGACCATATGACAACAATGATCCAATGGCAACTCAGTGAAAAGGAACATGACACATGAATTCACAAGAAACATATCTGGAAACTGAGTGAAAACGAACCTGAGACATAAAGTCACAAGACACATCTTATAGAACGAAGTAAGTTGATTAGATCAGAAGCCTACACAAAAAAACATTAGATCATGCGCCCATATTACATACTGGAACACAAGACCTTACTTTTCCTTTTCATAGTCCACCAAGACCATATGCATCTTCTTCTCCATCAATTCTGCCAAATTTAGAATACAAATCACAGTCTTTTTATTTAAATCATATGTTCGTAATATAAAGATCATGAGCCAGTTGGGATTCTAATTATCTATTTACCAAGTTAAAAGTTGGAGAAACAAAAGTAACTTTATCTGCAAAATAGACGAGCAACTGAGCAGCAACATATTTTCAAACAAATAATGCAAGTGGTACAGGAAAAAAAAAAATAGCATTCACAGACCCAATGCAACAGAGAAACCCTTCAGCACTTGAAGATGCAGTCAGAGAGCATACAATTGTACAATTTTGTTCCAGAGAACAATAGGAACTGACAAGATGCAAGCTCTATAACCAGCACGTAGGCAAGCTTAAAAATATTGTGAACTGACTAATTTTCTTTCATTTATTAAAAATCACTGATAAATGAAGGAACCATCCAAGAATAACTCATACCAGTAGAAGTGCCTAGACAATTCAGTGACTAACATCATTATGACCGAAGCTTGAGAAAGAATCAGTCTAATTTTAGCAGGCAGAGTGTGAAAGACAACAGGTGAAGGTAAAAACCTTTATGAGCAATATTAACCGTTGTCGAAGACCAGAACTAATAAGATCTTCCAAATATTTATGAATGTCAGCTACAAGATCAGCATCAAGACCCTGGTCTAACACAACAGCCTGCAAATCCCCGAGCATATATTTAAATTTAAGAAGAAAAGGAACAAGATCAGAATTCTAAATAAAACAAACTTTCACACTGGAGAGGGACGGGGATATATGATACCCTCAATAGTGTGTAGAGTGCTGTTATTAGATCTCTTCTCTCTGTATACAATAGTCCAGCTGTAAGGCGCAAAATTTCCAATGGCTCTCGGCCCAATAAACCCCACTGGGAAGGGAAAAATGACAATATCAACAAGATAGTAAAAGATCAATTATTGACATGTAAACTTTTGTTGATAATAAAAAGGACAAACAAAGAGGAGGACTTTACCTCTTGATTGGCTGAAACAAGCAAACGCACAGAGTCTATTTCATTAAGGTGGAGATCATCACTCAATTTCAGAGCCTAAAAGATCCCAGCAAAACGAATACATCAGACAGTAGCTAACAAGATATGCATTGTCTTGAAGAGAAAAACAAAATGCATTAGTCTAAAACACAAGTTATTCATAGAAACCAAAAAAAAAAAAAAAACCTTTAATGCTTGGCACATAAAATTTATTATCTGACGGCATGTTATATGCAAAGCATTCAAAGAAAAATAAAACATACTACGTAATAAATTTAAGCATGAGAACATGACTCAAAATTGAATGTGGAAACTATGAAATGAAATCTTGAAGTGAAACCCAAAATTTTTTTTTTATATATATAAGTAATATTGTAATAGAAAGCGTTCAAAAGGGAAACGCAGCTCACAGACGACGAGGACCAAATAGGTGAAACCTAACTCTCCATTTGGTAGTTAAGAAAATCAAGAAAGCAAAAGAATATAAAATGTTCAATCTTACTTATTAAGGGACTGTTAAGTACATGTTTTGTTTTAGGTGTTTTTGTTTTAGGTCGGGTACTGTAGCAGTGTTTTTGGAAGGAAAAAAAAAAGTGTTTTTGTAAAAAATGTTTTGTTTTGTACAGTGCCGAAACGTTTCGTGAATAGTGGCCAAAAGTTGAAACACCAATATGATGTTTTTACATGTTTCCGTATTGTAGCAATGAGTACTGTAACGACAAACAGTAAAAAAGAAATTTGAAAAACTCTTAAATGACATTTTTAAAATAACCATTATATTTTTCAAACATGTTTTCAATGCTTTTCATGTTTTTGCTTCTAGAAATCTCGCAACAAATGGATGTTACCAAACATGTTTCCGGTAACTATTCAAAACACTCTACAACAAAACAATTGTTTTGTTTCAGGTTAAAACAAAACGCGCACCAAACAGGCCCTAAGTTGGCATTGCTTTCCCAGGACAGTACTAGACCTTTTTTTTTCTTTTTCTTTTTTTGATAAGAGGACACAGAACTAGACTATTTGACAACCTATTAAGTGTTGAAAATTAAAACTTTTCAATCTTGTTCCATTTACAGTGTTTGAAACGTACAGTTAGTTACCACTTAAAAATAAAGTTTGCATACAATTGGTTATTTTTTTTTAATCAAAAAGACCTATTTTTTTCATTATTACTGAACAATTTCTATGGAAGACAGTTTTAGTGAATCAAGTTTTGAGTGAGTTTAACTCTATCACTTCGTTTTCAGGAAAGTCTTCTTGCTGAGGTTGGCGAGGGATTAGAAAACCAGTTAAGGAAAGGCAGCTACCTATTAAGTAAATGGGGTTCATATTGGTTTTACTTACAAAAAATCCCTCTAAAGAGGAGTCTAATCCCTTGGCTCTCGCATTACAGTGAAGAAACAGTCATGAACTAGGAGGTATCTTTCATTTGCAGGTACAATTCGATTAACCAAAGTAATTCCCTTTAGCATCCAAACATGGCTGTAAAATGTCTTTTTGCTTCCCAAAGGATAACTGCTAACTACTGAAATAGAATGTCATTCTCTCCTTTTCTCAATTCTCTATTAAAGCAAAAATTCTGTGTCTTCCCTTTGTAATTTTGTGGAGAGGGAAGGTTCAGGTATTTTCCCTATTAGTGAATAGAATGCTGCTGCTATGCTTCATCTTATATGGTATTACAAGAAAAATCTCTATCTGGACAAACTGGGAAGGGAGGTACTAAATAAGGAACATAAATTCTTGGGAAAATTTAAATTCCTAATTGTTGTGCTTGGTCTTGCTGCAAATATTGAAGTGGCAAAGTGAGCGTTTCTATGAAGTACAAAAACTGGAGATGACAAGTTAACAATGGGAAGAGGTCTAGTTGGTACAGCTAGCTAGTGATATTAGTAAAAAGAGACATTACCCAATTATGGTCCCGCTACTAGCCAATGATATTAGTGTGAGCAATAATTGCATATTGCCTACGGCTAATTCAAGAGTACTTTTAAAGGTTAAAAAAATTATTCAAATCCCAGCTCAGTTACTCATTGGAGAAGGAAAGATGAGTTGTTTGGTTCTAGTGATCAATACACTCAAGTCGTGACTGGATCGCAAAATTGGGGTAAGAATAAGGTCACTTAGTCAGAATTGGCTTAATAACTATGAATTAGATAATTGGTTGTGTATCAAAGTATAGAATTGCAAATATGTGCCTCACTCCCCTCTCTCCCACTTTCCATCTCTAGTGGAGGAACAGTGGTTAAATCAACCAGCTCTCTCTCTCTCTCTCTCTCTCTCTCCATGAAATATTAACATCTTGAGTTTTGTTTTCTAATCAACGTTCTCCATCCATGAAATATTAACATCTTGAGTTTTATTTTCTCTCTTTATAGTTTTGCAATCCCTCGACTTTTCTCTTTGATTGGTGTCTGTTCATGGATTTCTCATTATTGGCAAATTCTCTTATTTAAAATCTTCCACTCTAGATAAATTAAGCTATTTTTTCTTTGAACGGCTGAAATTTTTACCATTCATCTTCTCAATATTACTCATCATCGTCATTCTTGCCTTTATCCCATACGAAAGGAAACTGTGATCCTATCCATATTAAAATTTCCACAAATTGATCCCTAAAAGTGGCAAGTTCATGAGAAAATTATGGTGCTCTCTATAACGGATATTATGTTTTGTGACCATGGGTTTCATCTTCTGTCACAAGGGGATTGTTCTTGCATTATTTTGCTGAAAAAGTTACAAGAATTTGAGCTTTTGATTTTTAATTTTTTGGCACTAAGTTTCCTACTCTTCTTCTCATCTTTCTTCTAACTCTCTCCCTCTCTCTCTCTCTTCCTTACCTACGTGTCAACTCTGGAATCAGAAATCTAGCTTTGTTTCATCCAAACAATATATTACAATTCCTGCTCAAGTCAAATTCCAACATAACACAAATTTATATTGGAATTCTAAATCTTAATCTCAATTCCATGTGTCCACAACCATCAAAGAGGTATTATACTATTACACATATGTATAGCAGAATTTAGGTAATGTTTCCGGGGTAAAACATTCCCACAACACACATTTTTCCTCTGGACTAATGAAGATAAATATTTAATTAACAGAACTACTATCAAAAAAAAAGAATTCCATAAAAACTTGCCCGCCATTTACATATCATGAATCACAGAATGAAAGGAGAAAATGAGCTATTCGTGAACAGTCGTTAACTGAAAAATGGATTTGATGAGTACTAAATTCAATTTCATTCTAAACAAGAATATCTCAAGGCAATAATATTGAATCCAATGAAGTAAAAGATGAGATGCACTAACAATCCAAACATCCTGGTCGTCAAGTGACATAGGCGAAGAATTAGGAAGTCTGACTTCTCTTGACTGGACTTGAGCTCGGTCGGAGGGTTTAGGAGGCTGCAAAACAAAATAAAATTTGATTACTGGAGTTTATCCAAATAACTTGGTTTTGCTAATTCTATATGTTTCCCCTGAAAATCTTATCAAACATTTCCTGATAAGGAAATAATAAAAAATAAAAAAATAAATAAAGAAGAATGTAACGGTTTACAAATTCCAGATGCAAAGGAATATATTACGCAAGTTCAAAATTATAATTTCCCCAGCTTCATTATACACAAATAAATACATTTACATATACATATAGAGAGATAATAGGTAGGCTGTACCGGATAGGAGAGGAGGGATTGGAAAGAGGGGAGAGAATGGCGAATGGCGTGCATGAGTTCGATCCTCTGAGACGGCGTTGGAGGAGTGGGGCCGAGAAGTGCCGATTCGATGGTGGAGAGGAGTTGCTTTGGGGACACCATTGCTGATTCGTGTAATTGAAACCCTAGAAGACTGAGAACAAGTATGTTATGCAGTAGAGATTGAGGAGTAAAAAGGCGGGAAAAGCCCTAATGGAGGGGTTTAGAGAGAGGAGGGAGAGGGAGGGCAGGTGAGAAGAAGGTCCGGGCTTTCTTTATACCCTACGCCATGCGGAGTAAAAATTGTAAAATTAGTCCGAGTCCCTGCCTCGCCCCACCCGTATGTTGAATTTGTGATGCCTAATGGTGTATGAAACGAATGGGAGAGGCCCCAATAATTTTTGCAAGTCATAAGTTTTTCATTTCACATTTATTGAATTAAATTAATTTTTTTAAAAATATTTAAAAAGTTAAGGAGCCATCTACTGAATTAAATTGTTTTTTTAAAAAAATATGTAAAAAGTTAAGAAACTCTCCTAATAAAATAACTCTATTAAATTTTTTTTCATTAATATTTTAAGATAACAGTAAGAATAATTTTTATAAGATATGAACATATAAGTTTTATATGATGGTAGCGGATGGAAACTGGTCTGGCTAAACAAAAAATGTCTGGCTCCGGACCCGTTGGTTGTTGTCATTCTTAATTTATACAAGTAATTCATTGCCTTGTTGAGTTTGAAACACATGTTAATATATTGCTCACTTTCAGAAGAAAAAAAAAAACCCATTTTTTACCGACCCTCGAAAAGTCAATTATGAACACACCTGGCTTTATAAGGGTAGGTTCGGAATATCCTACACTATTTACATTATACAATCCTAAACATATTCAATATATAATTATTTTATAAAAAACAAAAACAAAAATCAAATATAATAATATATTTTACAAGTATAATCATAATGTTTTTATTACAAGTCCATAATATCATGAAATATAATTAAAAAATCAAAAACAAATAATAAAATATACACTTGTATATATTTTTCATAATTAAATGAGTCAAGTTCAAAGTAGAATGGGAAAGAGGGATTAAGTTGGCATCTCCAACTTTATTTACTGCGGGCCTGTTTAACAACCAGTATTGCTTCATGTTTCTTTTTTCTTTTCTTTTTTTGCTTTGGACATTGTATTGAACCGATGCAAAATGATAAAACGTGTTTAGTAATGTTTGTTACAATCTGAATGGTACTAAAGCGTTTATGAAAAAAAAAGGCCAAAATATTGATGCTTCTGGTTGCTTATGCACTGTTGCAAAGCACAAAACTCTAAAATTGCGTTTTTAACTGACATATTATTTTTCAAACTTGTAACATTTTTTTAATAGACATACTTTTATGTTTTTCCTTTAAAAAATCTTGCAACAAATATACGTTACCAAATATGTTTCTAAATATTAAACACAATTGTTTCTGTTTTGGGTCAAAGCAATTGTGGTTCCCAAACAGAACCGTAGTCTTCAGTCTCCCTGCCTGTATGATTATTTTTTAGAGGATGAGGGTAATACAAATAAGAGGCTCACTATACTTTTTCATGACCCTTACAAAAAACCAAGGATCTGTTTGGTTTATATAACTCAAAAAATATAAATTTATTTTCAGAGAATTATAAAAGACAGTTTTCTGAGAACATGTCTTTTTATAACTGAATTTTCATAAAACTGAACCAAACGCAATTTTTTTAAAACATGAAACTGTTATGAGAGCTACAAACCAAGCAAACCGCAATTTGACACTATTTAGTTTTTAATAGTTTTGGAGTTTTTTTTTTTTAATACAATACAATTTAGCTTAAAAATAACATTACAATATTACTTATCAAAATAATAATAATAATAACATTACAATATCATTATTAAATGCAATGGAAATGCCATTTGATTTTCTTATTCAAAATTATATTGATGTGGAGATTGAATATCCTCCACCGGAGGATATTTCTTTAGGCTCAGTTTGGTAGAGTGGAAATGGAAGGGAAGGTGGTGGAGGGTAATTAAAAAGTTGTGTTTGGGTAAAATGGGTGGAAGGAAATGAGAGGGAAGGCTTTGGAGGGTAAAATATAGCTTTGCACAGTAATTTGTTTATCCTCCAAAAAATGGGAGTAAATGGAAGGAAAGGGAAGGCAATGGCTGAAGCAATATTTGTGATGCCAATTTTACCCTCAAGATTATATATACATACAAGTTAGCAGCTGCAGAGAGAGTGAGAGATGACGGGCCAACGGCTGAAGCTTACGAACGGCGAACCCGAACTGGAAAAGTGGCGATGGAAATTGAAAGATATGAGTTTTGATTTTATGAACAATCTGAAATGATATATCGATAGGGGGTTTTGAACTTTTGATTCTTGCAGACAGATAGATAAACTGAAATATATGGGTTTTGAACTTCTGATTCTTGTAGTGCAGCGAGAAAGAGAGAGGGCAAGTTCAGATTGGAGAATGAGAATGGAGATGGAGGCGAGATTGGGGAGGCTGAAATGAGTTGCCCTATTTTTATTTTTTTTTCTTTTCTTGTGGGCCTGAGGAGACAATATATATATATATATTTATATTGTCTTATATATATGGAGTCGAGATTGGGGAGGCTCAAATGAGTTGCCCTAAATTTTTTATTTTTATTTTCTTGTGGGCCTGAGTAGACAATATAAATACACACACACACACATACATATATCAAAGTTGAGAACGAGAATATGGAGGCTGAAATGATTTGCCCTAAAAAAAATTTATTTTCTTTTCTTGTGGGCCTAGAGACAGTATATATATATATATATATATATATAAATATAGAAAGGTATAATGGTTAATTTATTAAAATAATCCCCTTTCTTTTCTTTCCCATTTTTTCCCAAACATGATTATTGTCCTTCCATTTCTTTTCCTTTATTAATCAACCAAACACAATACCAAATTAAAATTATCCTTCCCTTGCCTTTTCTTCCCTTTCCTTTCAAACCCACCCTACCAAACATAGCCTTAATGCTGATAACGAAGGTGGTCATGATTATTGGGTATTCAGAGAGCGGAGAAAAAAGAGAACTAATATTTTTATTTTTATTTTCTTACTTATAAAACAACCGAGGGTATTTTAGGATTATTAAAAATAAATTAAAAAAAGGGTCAAAATTGACAACTAGGGGACAATTTGTTTTTTTTTCCTTTTCTAGTGAGTACTCATACACACACGTCTCTTTTGAGACTTGAACCCTTGATCCCCTTTAGAAAGTAAGAAGCCGATACTATTAGACAATGTTGGTAAAAATAAATAAATAAATAAATTGACAGTACAAGAGTTTATTTATATACAATTAATTTTCAATAAGAGTGTTTTTTACTCATTTTTTTATACATTGGGATTATATCTTGCACTTAACTCTTCCTAAAAATATATCTATGAATAATATGCATTTTATATTTCATTTACTTTTCAAATTTTTTCTTTTATTTTAAAACTTAATTAGTTTGTTCTTCTTAAAAATGATGTTTACATGTTATTATTATATTCCTAACATTACGGTCAAGTCTTTTTTTTTTGGAATTTAAAGCAACTAATATTAATAAAAATAAGAGTTACAAGCGGGCCAATGGCCAAAACAGCCCAAGGAAAGGGAGACAAGCCCAAACAAAGAATGGCCCAAACAACGGTTCAATCTAATAACTGCAATTAACGGCTAATTAGCCGTTAATGGTAGTTGTTAGCGCTCGGTCCGGTGAAACCCTAGCAGAGGATGATGATTGATCACCATTAACTGCGATCAAATTAATCCGGCGGCCTTGGAGGAGGGCGACAGTGAGTTGGCGACATGTTCTAATCCACGAGAATCCGTCTTGAGGAAGGACTTTCTCGCAGGAAACCTAGCTTCAGGAGGGCAGTGACTGTGGAGGTGATCCTTGCAAGCACTGCTCTCTGTGATGATTTTTTTGCTTTGAAGATTCTCTCGTTTCTTTCCTCCCAAGTATGGTAAACAATGGAAGAGAAGCATACTTTGCGCAGCAAGTTCATGGGAGAGTTATTCCTCTATTGAGAGCTTATGAAGTGGATTAGGTCTTCCCAATTCGAGATTGCAGTACTAAAATTACATCTGAGTTTGATGAACCGCCAAAATGGGGAGGTGAAGCTGCAATTGAAGAAGAGATGCTGATGGGACTCTTAATTGTTGTTGCAGAGAACACAAACATTTTCATGGCGAGACACTGCTTTGCTGTCAAGAGTAGGAAGTCTGGATTGGACTGCTAGCCAGAGGTTAAATTTCATTCTAGGAATGATGGGGGATTTCCAAACTAGGTTGTGCCATTGAGCTATAAGGAAGTGGTCAGCAAGATGCCATTTTGTGGATTTGAGATTGTATAAACCATTTGGGGATGCCAACCAAACTTTTTTGTCACATCTAGAAGGACAAGGGGGGGAAGTGAGAGTAGCTCAGGGATGGCATTTGTGAGACTAATGGGGAAAGACCAAGCTGAATTCGTGATGAAGGTGCCAACTGTAACAGTGTCATTGAATCCAGCATTTGTGAGAATACTAAGAGGATACCTTGTGCTGAGGAGGCCACCAGTGATCCAATTATCCCACCTAAAAACTGTGTCTGAGCCATTTCCAATTTTGTGGTGAATGAGAAGCATTGCAGGATGCCTGAGCTGCAAGATCTTTCTCCAGCTCCAAGAACAAGGCTGAGGGATCTTGAGAGACCAGAAATTTCTTGATTTAATGAGGTATGTGTTACACCAAGTGATCCATAGTCTGTCATCTACATTAGTTTGCAAATCCCAAATTTACTTTAAAATACTTGCTTTGTTTTAGAGCTCCAAATTTGGAATGCCAAGGCCACCTTCCTATTTAGGCATGCAAACATTCACCCAAGCAACTTTTGCACTGCTGGACTTCATTTCTGGCCTTGACCAAAGGAAGGATCTAAAGATTTTGTTGAGCTCATTGATAACTGCCTTTGGGAGAATGAAAAGGCTTGACCAGTAAATTTGTGTTGAGGCCAAGACTTATTTGATGAGCTGCAGCCTACCTGCATAAGATAGAGATCTTGAAGACCAATGAGATATTCTGTTAGTGATCCTTTCAATAAGAATGTTGCAGTGCTAAGCCTTCAGGTTAGAGGATATGAGAGGGACACCAAGGTACTTGACAGGGAGTGTGCCAATGCCAATCCCAAGTAAAGAAGTGATATGAGACTGTGTGAGTGGGTTGGTTCCTGAGAAGAACACATTGCTCTTGGATAAATTAATGTCAAGCCCCGACATGCAACAGAAATGGTCAAGAGCTGACTTCAGTATAGAAACTGAAGTAATGTCCCCATGGCATAACAGGAGCAAGTCATCAGCATAGCAAAGATGTGTAATCTTTAGGGCACTACATCTCCAGTGGTATTTAAAGGTGTGAGCTCTGTTGACATACTCATTAATGATGGAAGACAATGCATTCATAACTATGACAAAGAGGAAGGGAGAGATAGGGTCTCCTTGCCTCAATCCTCTCTTACCCTTGAAGAATCCCTCAAATTCTCCATCGAGGGCAATGGTGAATGAAGAAGTGGAGATACATGCTTCAATGAGTGAGATGAATTTGGGAGGGAAGTTGTGGAGTGAGGACAACTAAGGATAAAACCCCATTTGACTGAGTCAAAAGCCTTCCTTAAATCAACCTTTATGGCACATCTAGCTGGAGAAGAGTCCTTATGGTATCCTCTGAGCAATTCATAAGCAAGTAAAATTGGGTCAGTGATCTTCCTGCCCTGAATGAAGGTTGTTTGCGACACGTCCGTGAAGCATGGGAGGGTAGACTGCAGCTTTACGGCAAGCAATATGGATGTAATGTACAATTTGAATTATGTTGCATATCATGTATTGAAAGCCCACTCTTGTGTTTTTTGTACTGTGGGCAACATGGATGTCATTAACACTCGGGGTATTCTTGTTATGTAACAAGAGGGCATTACGGTCAAGTCTTAAAACACATGGAAAATGATACTATTTGGCCGATTAGTTAGGCAGAGTCTTGTGCGACAATTTTGTTGGCAACGTTCCTTCCTCTATCCTCTCTCTCTGTCTCTATCTAGCATCCCACGCACCCCCACACAAATCCGGCGAGAAGATTCGGGTGAAGTGACGAAGGCGGCTAACATAAGCCTCATCTTCGGCACCGATCGATCCTGTAAAAATTGTTTGTTGACTTCGCCGTGAAGAAAAGGGTGTCGTGTGTTGGCTTCTTCATCATCGGATATATTATTTATTTATTTATTTATTTTATTTTATTTTTTTTCTCTCAGGTTGGTGTTGTTGCTGTGGTCTGTATTTGTGAGTTGAGACTGTTGTTCTCCTATTCGTCGCGAGTCGCCGGTTTAGTTGCAATTGATACTTGTAACTCTCGTTTTCCCCAAAAGCAGAGGAGACAAATTAGGCGAGGTTAGTAAACGCGGGTTGATCGATGACTTCGTCCATGACCAAATCGGGAAAGAACATGATCGGCGACAAGCAAGTCTGAAAGAAAGACAAGGAAAGGGGGAAGCGCTTACGACGACGAAGGCTGTTCCAGAGCTGAGACTCGAGAGCAATTATCAAAGCAATAGAGACGTCGAATAGAGAAGGGCTTGTAAAGGACGCCAGATCAGGAAGTGACATGATTGGCAACAGCAAGTGTGAAAGGGTTCAGAGCACAAATTTCACCCTCTTGTATTGTTGGGGTGGTTCTGCTTCACCCTCTTTTGAGCCTCTTTGCACTTGATCCCAGATCATTGGCGGAAAAGAGAATCGACGATCGTTGCATTGTCAATGTACCATTGTCGCCGGAATAGAATTCCGTCGCCGAGTTGTGAGTTGGATTTGCTGTTGCGGCCGCGATTTGTTTGTGCTAGCTTCGCCTAGATGTGATAGCTAGCTTCGCTGTCGTCGTTGTTGTCATGGCCTCCCAGTTGGTGAGCTGTGTTTTGTTGTCTGAAATCTGAGATTGCGAAGACGAAGAGTGTGTTTGGTTACAGGTTTTGTTCATTTATCGCTAGCGTTACTTGGGATTCTGCCTAAGAAATCGGCCAAAAGTATCAGCCTGAGTATCACGATAGCGTTACTTGGGATTCTGCCTAAGAAATCGGCCAAAAGTATCAGCCTGAGTATCACGATCCTAAAAAGTCATACAATTTTTTAAATTAAATTTAAGATGATGGGTAAAAGATACATAAATATTTATTTTTTAGAAAAAAAAGAAAAAAACAATAACAATATCTTTTAATCAACAAATCATGACCAAATTTTATGTAATCGGGTGTACTTTATACAAAAATAATTAATAAGTATATATAAAGATAATTGATAAGTATATATAAGGATTACATATTAAATCATGAAAGATAAAAGTTAAAACTTTCAATATTAGCATATCAGAGTTTCAGCGGCATAGTTTGAGAGAGAAAGTAATTTTATCTTTTAAGGAATTTAATGTTTTTTTTATTAAAATATATTAAATAAGTAAGGGTATAAATGACATTTTATATTTTTTTTGGAATGAAAATTTAAATAAAAGTTAAAATCAATACGAGTAGACAAGTATTGTCCATAATGAAGGGTAATTTCATCTTTTAAGGAATTTAATATTTTTTTTATTAAAATATATTAAATAAGTAAGGGTATAAATGACATTTTATATTTTTTTTGGAATGAAAATTTAAATAAAAGTTAAAATCAAAATATTTATCTAGCTAAGATTTGACTAACCTAAAGCCAAATGTGATCATTTATCTGTTCTGGTTAATAAAAATAGTGATCATAATTTGAATATATATATATATATATATATATATATATATAAAATTACAATTCAAATTTGTATTAGGTTCGGTTGCTACCACTTCCATCCAGACTTAATTATAATTAAATTTGTTTTGAGAATTTTTAGTTCAAATCAGTCACAATTGTAAAATAATTTTCCAAACACTTGAAACAAAAAAAGAAAAAAAATGTCTCAGCTCGAATTTGATTCCGGTTATCTGTCCAAATGCAAACAAAGCACCAAACATCATCGTTATGCCAAATGCCGTATTCATGTCTCATGTGAACCTATCTTTTACATGTCTAGTAGCATTTGGTTATTATTGAAAACGGGACGGGACACAATCAAAATAAACGAGGACGGCAATGTATTCTGGCATTTGTTTTGAGCTGAAGATAGAAGGAAAATGAGTGTTGGACGCTCAATCTCATTTATGAATTGTGAATGTTCTCTCTCCATTTTTATAAGCATACCCTAAAAATATATACGTTAAAAATCGTTACAACTATGTTAATTTTTTTTTTTTTTTTTTAATTTTAATTTTAATTTTGTATTACTAATTTGGTCCCAAATAATTTTTCCTCCTTAATTCAAAGACGGGGTAGCTGCAACTACCAAGTTTTTTTTTAAATAGTTTCTTTTTCTTGTTGTCACATGATCAAATATCATCAATTTGTTCATAAGCATCAACAAACCTGTTACATTTGTTAATCCTAAGATCCTCTTTTGTCGTCTTCTTCTAAACCTAAAAAAAATTCCTTTATGTTGACCACTGAAATTCATATGAAAAATTCAGGAATCTTAACATTATTTTTACAGTAAAATATTATTTATTTATTTAGTTATCTGGTCTATTCCTTTATTTACATATCATCCAAAACTTAAACGTGCTACTCTTATGGAATATATCGAAGCCCAATATATCATAAGGTCACCGTCAGCTAATGCTGCGTGGTCTAGCTTAATTATTTACTGGTTGATCTATAAATAAATGCCACCAATGACCAGAACATCATCTCTTCCTCTCCTTCTTCTTCCTTCTCCTCTTCACCATCTGAATTGCTAAGCTTTTACATCTAAGTGGAAGAAATTCAATGGAAGTAATGAACAAGTACATATCGATAAAGAGTCACATAGATGGTGTTCCAGAGGAATCCGATTTTGAGCTCAGGACTGAACTTCTTTCTGTGTCACTCGAGTCCGGTTCAAATGATGTTATAGTGAAAAATTTCTATGTATCTGTTGATCCTTACCAGATAAACCGCATGAAGAAATATAGCTCTTCGCAGGAAGCTTCCAGTTTTGCAGTTGCCATCACTCCTGGCCAGGTGTGTTTCTGTTGATATACTACTACTAATTTTCTTCATTAATTCCTGCATTAATTGTACGTTTATAACTTTATATTTGAGTTGGTTTGTGTGGACAGCCTATTGATGCCTTTGGTGTGGGGAGAGTTGTGGCTTCAGAAAACCCTGCATTTGAAAAGGATGACTTGGTTGCTGGGGTTACCAGTTGGGGAGATTATAGCATTGTAAGAGGTGGAAACATGTTGAATAAGTTGGACACCATGGGTTTTCCTTTGTCTTACCATCTCGGACCTCTAGGTAACTTTCATTATCACGAGTAATGCTATTAAGAGGTCCCTCGTGACAAGAGCCAAAAAATTTCCACGTTTAATTATTGGAACCCACTCATGAAATCAATCAAATTTTTGGGCATCGCTTGACATATTACAATTAATTGAAGAGAACTGCAGTTATTAATCAATAATGAAAACCAGAGAAATAAATGCAAAAAGTAGTACATTTGAGGTAATGTTATTTTGTACCAACACTGTGTATGTGTTTGTTGTTTGCTGTTACAGCATTTAGTGGGCTTACAGCCTATGGTGGGTTTTTCGAAGTGTGTAAGCCGAAGAAGGGAGAGAAAGTATTTGTATCTTCTGCTTCTGGATCGGTTGGAAATTTGGTTGGACAATACGCAAAGCTGTTTGGGTGCTATGTTGTTGGCTGTGCTGGAAGCCAAAAAAAGGTCAGCTTCTTGATTCCTTAGTTTCAATAATTCAAGATTTAAATCATATCAGGTGAACTTAGTTTAATTGCATGCCAAATCCTAGTTTTTGACTTTTTTTTTAAATATTTAATCGAATCACAAATCCTTAACCATGAGTTTATTTTTAACTTGAATTTTAGGTAGAATTGATGAAAGAAAAGCTTGGTTTTGATGATGCATTCAACTACAAAGAAGAAACTGATCTGAAATCTGCTCTCAAAAGGTTAGATTCTCTGTTTTTATGTTTAAGGATGTGCTTGCAGCTTATTTAAAAAAAAAAAACAAAATCACTCTCTGGAATGTGCTCTAAAAATCCATCTGCTAATACTGTGGTGTTAAGAATCTGGAGTTTTTAAAATGCATAGTGCAGTCCGTTCTATGTGATTAAAAAAGTGTGTCCATTTGCATTTGTTTTCATTATTGATAAAGTACAATTTAGAGACAAACAATCAGAGTCCATTATATGTTTTATATGATTAAGAGAGTGTCCACTTGCATTTATTTTTTATTTTATTATTTTTGACAGGTACTTCCCAGATGGAATTGATATATACTTTGACAATGTGGGAGCTGAGATGCTAGAAGCGGCAGTGGCAAACATGAATGCTTTCGGTAGAGTTGCAGCTTGTGGTGTAATTTCCGAATACACAGATGCTGGGAAACGAGCGGCGCCAAGCATGCTAGATGTTGTGTACAAGAGAATCACAATCAGAGGATTTTTAGCTGCTGATTTAATGAATGTTTACGCAGATTTCATTTCCACAACAGCTGATCACATCCGCACTGGCAAACTTCATGTGCTTGAAGACATTTCACTCGGTTTGGAGAGTGTCCCAACTGCTTTTATAGGCCTATTTCGTGGAGATAATGTTGGGAAAAACATGGTTAAAATAGCAGACGCTTAAAACTCATTTTGTATAAGCAAATCTGCTTGAATATGTGATGTTGACATGTTGTATTCCAGAGAGTTTTTATTTGTTTAAATCTGAGTAATTGAGAAATTTGCCATCTCTTCTTACATTTTTATTTACTCGATGTAAGGCCAGTAAAATGTCAAGGCCTATACCTTCCAAAAAAAACAAATGTCAAGGCTGGGGGGGGGGGGGGGGGGGGGGGGGGGTTAAATAGTGATTTTTCAGAGCCTTGAATGCTTATATTGATTTTTGGACGCCCTGCTTTTTAAAAGGATGACTTGCTGGGGTTGATGGTGTTGTCAATTGGATAGATTATAATTAAATTTATTTATTATTAACCATGACATAGGTTAAATATATTTTTTTATTAAAATTTAGTTTAGGCTCACTTTTCTATGTATGCAGTTTGCACTCTCATCTTAATATAAATGGTTAATTATAACTCTAATTTTATAAATAAATTATTATTATTTTTTAAATGACATAATTACCTTTTCAGATTTTTTTCTCTTTTATCTTTAATATGAACAAAAAGAGAATTCAAAAAAATTTATCTCTATTGAATAAATTATCTCTTTTGATTAGACACATTTTTATTTTTATTAAATAAATTATTTATTTCTTTTTACGAGACCCATAAAAAATTACCCAAAAAAAAAAATAAATACCACTTTTGACAAAATATAAATATGTGAAAAAAAAAATTAACTTTGTTAAATAAATTATCTTTTTCGATTGTACAAAAGAAAAAGTCGTTTTTGAATAAATTATCTACTTTGATTGCCAAAATAAAATTATCTGTATAGAATACATTATATTCTTTGAAAGGACCTTAAAAAAAAAAAAAGTAAAAAATGTAAACAAAAAAGTTAAAATTATATAAATGATAATTATTGCACTATAAAATAAGGGATGATACATTAATGGAATTAAGATTTTCTTGTCATTTCCTTTCAAAGAAAAAGATAAACAGAGTGTAGAAAAGTGAAGGCGCAAATATAGGCTCCTCTTAGTGTATTCGAAACATTGGTAGTAAAATTAATATTTAGTTAATTTGATCACCGGTGTCCAAATTAACTAAATACCCCAACTTATTAATTTATATTAAAATTATAAAATATCATAAATGTAAAATACTCATAATATCCTTCGGAGGCATATTTAGTCAATTAACTTTTCTTTTCTTTATTTTAAGAAACTTACTCTTTCATTTCACACCATTAAATATTGTTAAAGGAAAATGATAGAAGTACACAATTTATTAAAGAAACAAGAATAAAATAATTTGGTAAAAAAAAACCCTTCCCCATTATTACGGTTGGTTGTTCAACAAATTTGCAAACAACAACTAAAACCAAATAAAATTAATCAAAAGGGGTATATAAAATGGCCATTAAATAAATATTGCTTGAGAAATATTGACTATAATCAAAACACAAATTTTAAATTTGTTTAGCAACTATTTTAGAATTATGATACTACTACTGGTTTCATAAATTTTTTAGAAGGGTTCGGCAAAACAACAATTAATGTATTATATCCACTTCAGATATGGCCCAGCGGTTTACTCGCTGAATTTTGGAGCTTAACAAGCCTAAGGTTTGGCGTTCGAGTCCCGCTGGGTGTTCTTTGTGGCTAGCCTCCGCTACCCTGTAGTGACTTCCCAGCCTGAGTGGGAAGGTGCCCTTCCGAGTCTTCGGGGGTTAGTTGGGTTGTTGAGGGGTTCTAAGGGTTCGTGCCATCCCAGACGCGGCTTAATAAAAAAAAAAAATTAATATATTATTCTAATGGAGAATTATGTTCTCTATTTATTTAAAATCATTTAGGTATGTGTTTTCTGCCAGTTTGGGTTGCTGTTGGAATAGAAAAAACGTTTTTATTAATAGAGCTGTAAAAATAATGAGGTCAGTAAAAAAACATGTTAGATTTTTGTACTTTTCACAATTAAATTATTTTTAAATTTATTTGGTAACAATATTTTTTTAAACAATTCTATTATTAATTTTACAATAATATCCTTTAATATGATGTTACCATATTTGATAATAACAACTTTATATAAAAAATAAAATGGATAAAATTGTTTAATAAAAAAGAGTTACTAAAAATATTCAACTTCTACTCGGAACACAGTTTTATAAGTTCCAAATTCTAACTTCCTTTAAATGCACTGCGGAACTAAATTTGGTATTACTAAACACATTTAAACGCAAATTTTCAAAATAAAAGCGCTATTAAGCCGTAGGCAGGAATTTAGCCTTCGGTGGTAGGGATGGCAAACTCTCCATCCCTGCTAGGGCCCGTCTTACCCCGCCCCGTTTATAGCGGGGATGGGGATCCTTTTAGCTAAACGGGGATGGGGATGGGGACAAATTATGAATCCCCGCCCGGGCTGAGGCCGGGGGCGGGGATAGGGTAAACCCACGCCCGCCCCGATTAAGTGTGAAGTTACTAATATATCCTTACATATAATAATTTATTACTAAATTAGATTTATTATATATATGAAAATAAGAAAAAATGTGTTTTTTTTTTAATAAAAAAAATTATGAGGCCGGGGTCGGGGGCTTGGAGGGAACAGGGATAAGGTGGAGGGGGTGGGGGCGAGTTTGGGGATTTTGGCAAAATTTTAAGCGGGGATCGGGGCGGGGATGGGGAATGAAAAATGCATCGGGGATAGGAATAGGGAATGGAATCCCCGTCCTACCCCGTTGCCATTCCTATTCCGTGGCCTTTATTGGGACATTTTGTAATAATGGTATAGTTCAAGGAGATAACTTGCTTCAAAAAATAGTTTAGGGGTGCATTATGCAACAATAGTATAGTTTAGAGTTTTCTTGCTCTTTTGCCTTTATTCTATTGATAAAGTGTAGGAATAAACTAAAAATGATGACTTTTAATTTTTAGATTAATTTTTTTTTTTGTCTCTACTGCTTGCAAATTTGACAAAAGTAACTAAATTATTTTATTCGTATATCTTTTAAAAAATTATTTAGTTTTGTCATTCTCATGTAAGTTTCTAAAAATAAAGAAATTTTTTTTTAATTAACTAAAATTGAGTATATAATTTCTTACGTCAGGAAGTTGAACAGACTAATGCTTATATATGTATATACCCACCAAAATTTGGGGCTGCCATTTATTTTTGTTAGAATTTTTGCACTTTTACCAAAATTTTATTTCAAATTGTAATCCAAATCAAATTCCTTGTTCCCCCAATCCAAATACTCTACCAAATAAGTTGGTTCTAAACATAGTTTACTACTATTACCAGAGAGTCGGGAGTCCTCTTCCAGCAAAACGATATCCTATAAAGATATCCTCCTCCTTCCTTTCTCTCACCAAACCATTCGAGTCTCAACGAGCTTTCCAACCTGCAATGGTGCTCTCAGCGAAGGTGTGATAAAAAAGATGATGCTATCATACACATACGTCATCATATGGATTTCCATCAGCTTCGTCGTTATAGTCTACAACAAGTACATACTCGATCGAAAGATGTACAATTGGCCCTACCCAATTTCACTCACCATGATTCACATGGTGTTCTGTTCCTTCTTGGCCTTCCTTCTGGTCCGCGTCTTCAAATTGGTTGAACCCGTGGCGATGACCCGCGAGCTTTACCAGAAGTCTGTTTTGCCAATCGGAGCTCTCTACTCTCTCAGCCTCTGGTCGTCCAACACCGCCTACATATATCTGTCTGTGTCCTTCATACAGAGCTTAAAGCTCTCATGCCTGTTGTAGCCTACTCGATCGACGTATTCTCCAAAAGAAAGGCATTCAAGTCGGAGACGATGACCAACATGGTCTCGATCTCGATTGGGGTCGCAATCGCCGCCTACGGCGAAGTGAAATTCAACTCGTGGGGGGTGATGATTCAACTCTTCGCTTGGGTTGCGAGGCCACCAGATTGGTCATGATCGAAGTCTTGTTACAGTCAAAGGGTCTCAAGATGAACTCCATCAATACCATGCACTACATCTCACCCTGTTGTTTGGTTTTCCTGATGGTGCCGTGGATTTTCGTCGAATACCCATTGTTGAAGGAGGCTTTGGCTTCTTCGAGCTTTCATTTTGATTTCTTGATATTTGGGACCAATGCGGTTTGCGCTTTCGGGCTGAACCTTGCGGTGTTCTTGATTGTGGCGATGCTGTCGGCATTGACGATGAATGTAGCCGGAGTGGTGAAGGACTGGTTGTTTGATTGCTTTTTCGAGTTCGGTGATTAAGGATACGGTGACGCCGGTGAACTTGTTGGGTATCTGACTGCATTTTTTGGTGTGGCGGCTCAGAAGAAGGTGGGGGAACAAGGGGATGAGGAGGCTTGGAAGTTGTTGGAGGAGTGAGAAGGGAAAGGGCAAAGGGAAAAGGGAAGGAATAACGGGGCTTAGTTAAATGGAGGACCATTCATATTTTTGTACAGATTAGATTAGATGGAGGGTTCTGAGAATGTTTGACCAAAACCCGGTATTTTACAGTTCTTTTGTTAATTTAGTCCAGTTATTTTTTTAAAATCTTCTTTATCTTGGTTTCTGTGTTTTATTTAGATTATGAAAATTTATTAGTGTTGGGAACTTGAGGATTTAGCAGGTTAAAAGGATAATAATCCTATTTCAACCATGGATTTACTCCAATTAGAAGTTTACAACTGTTACTAGATTAGTCCATTTATGAGAAATTCACAAGTAAACTTTATAATTAATTATTTATTTGTTTTATTTATATAAAATAATTTTATTTTCACTCTTGGACTATTATCCGATTCAGTCAATCTAAATCTGAAGTTGATCTAAAAACTCGTAGTTGGTTACCTACTATTATTATTATTTTTTTTTGAATTGGTGCTAAAAACACATTTTCTTGGAAAGAGTAATGGTTTCCTCGGTCAAAAGTTCATAGTCGGCCAAAATCTAATTTTTTTTTTCTTGTCTAAATTACTTTTAGTGTGATTTATTGTGAATGATTTTTTTAAAAAAATTTAATTATATAATTTTAGTTTAATCCTATTTCAAGTAGATGTGTTAGAGCATCTCTAATAGACTCTCTAAAATCAGGCTCTCCGAATTTGTCACATAAGTATTTTTCAATAGTCACATAAACATTTCCCATAACCAGTCAGTGTTTTTGAATCTCCAAATTTTAGGTATCGCATGTATTCTAATGATGCATTTTTGCTCTCCAAAAATATTAATATTTTAATATTTTTAAAATTTAAAATAAAATTTATTTTTTAACTTTTTCTTAACGACTATATTTCTAACGGCTATATTTTTCAATTTGTCAAGGAAATCAAATAAAAAAAATTGTTTGGTTAACCAATATAGCCGTTAAGGCACTGTTTAGGTCAGCCAAACAGCGGCTATAATGTCAATAGGAACATTGAAAAATCTGAAAATGAAAAAAAATCACTTTTCTAATTTTTTAAAACTTTTTTGGCCCAAAAAAGCCTTTAAAACACTGTTTATGTCAGCCAAATAATGCCTTAACGGCTCTTTGGTTCAATTATTTTGAGGGAAAAAAGAAAAAGACCAAAGTAAGCAAAAAATCTAAATTTTAGCTTTTTTCAAGCCAAACATGCCCTTAAGAATAGTGTTCGGGCTCGTACAATGTTCTGGCCTGAATTTTAAAAATAAAAAAAAAAAACCAAATTGAGCCCAATCGCCAACCAATCTTGCTTTTTGGCTACCTCCATCAAGAGCCTAAACTTAGGGCCCACTTTTTCCATATTCCATTGGACCATTGCATCTTCAAAAATTGGGCCATTTTTGCCAACAAAAAAAAATACTAATGGAGTTGCTCTTAGTGTATTATGACAAATAAAAGAAAAAGAGTCCCATCCCATATGGAGATCTCGAATTTGAAAATATGGTAGGAGAGAGATGTAGATAGGCCGCTCAAGGCTCTATTTTCCTATCGCTTTCAGGAATCGTATAACCCTTTTGTATTGTGAAGTCAATTTGACAGCTAGTGTTGCCTTAGGTTATGTGGTAATCGAATTCATGACCCTACCTTGTTGCGTGGACGAACCCCTAGACACTTACGATTATCCTTTACCTTGAATTAGAGTCTTTTGGAGGAAAAGGCAAAGATCCTTCACGTGTTAGACCAACTCTAATGCTAAAAGTCATTTTTGCATGCTAAATTTATATTTTGACAAGTGTTACAGTATCAAAATGTTACATTTTATCAATTCTGTTCTAATGGTGCATTTCATGCAAAATGTTATTTTTTGACACAACCACCATTCTTTTTTAACTACCATTCCCACCATTCATATTTGCATCTGTAATATTAATATTAGGCACATTCCAAGTCAAGTTGTAGACATTAGAAGGAAACTAAAATTAAATCTAATTAAAAAGAAGCAAAAATCTAAAATATCTGGTCAATAATAATAATAATAATAATAATTTTTTTACCACTATTTGTGAATTAATTTTTTTATATAATTTTTTTTTTTTGAAATTTATATATATCATACACATATATATATATATTACATATATTTGATTATATTATTATTAAAAATATATATATTTTTAGGGCATAAATCATTTCAGCCTCCCCAATCGTCTCCATCTCTATTCTCGTTCTCAACTCTGAAATTGCCCCTTCTCTCTCTGTGCAACTGCAAACTACAAAATCAACAAGAATCAGAATTTTAAAACCTATATTGCAACAGACAAGGGGAGAGAGAGAAGAATCCGTTCCCAACCAAGAAAAACAAAAGTCAGGCTAGCTTCGCAAGAGAGGGTTACTAAGGACGTGAGAAGGAATGGCGACGTAGGATTGGAATAGACGAAGATCTGATCTAACGTTAAAGAATCGTCAAGATCGAGATCGAGGTCCATCAGTAACCCTCTTTTTGTCATCGATTTTCTTCCTTTGGTTCAGATCGGATGAAATATGAGTCAGTCCCTTCTTTTCTGTAGCCCCAGCCTATATAGCAATTGCTATTTCTTCTGTTACAATTAGCATAAGAAATAGCAAAATTAAAAAGTAGCAACATTGCATTGGAGAGCTCATTTTTAAGCCCACCTGCTATATTTTGAATTGACAGCTCATATGACAATCCCAGATGCTCTTATTCCAAGAAAAAAAAGAAAAAAAAAGCAATAAAAAACGTACCACGGTCAACTTTTGCATGTCTTACAACCACAGAATTAGTACAGCTTAATTCTAATTCCATATATGTCAATTTAGCGTTAATGAAATTTGTGCCAAACTGAAGCAACCCAATGACATACAAGTCGCAACTAAAGCCGAGTACCTTTTTTTTATTATTATTATTTAAATACAGTTATAAACTATTTTCAAGTCAATTTAAATGCTTACCATGAAATTTGGACCAACAGAATTAAGCAAAAACAAAAAATACAAATGGAAGGTCCAATAGAAGCAAGCAATTAAAATCCAGAAATGGACAGCACTTTACTTAAAAGTTAAGCTAATTAAGCACCTTTCTTGACTATATTCATGTCTGCTTGATTGATGTCAATAGATTCTAATTGAGAGGTGAATAATCGGTTGGTTCCTACTAAATTAGTAGGCAAATTGACGTAGGATTAGCAAAAATCATGGAAAATACGACTTCAGTACTAACAGAAAGATTCACACTTAATCCCTATCATATCATTACTTATTGAGCATTGCCCTCATTATTGTCATTTTACACACAAAACTTGTTCAAGCAAAAGTGATAACTTGGTGCATTTCTAATATTAGTATTGGATTTTGACTTGTAAGAACTTAGAGGTAAAAGGATTTGTGGGAGAATCCACCAATATCCCTAAATTAGTGGTAGCTCAATTCTCTTAGGTTACAATTTCACATGCACTACAGTTTCTCAAGTCTCTTAGGTTACAATTTCACATGCACTGTAGTTTCATAAAGGAGTCTTTAGATCAAATAATATTTTCTCCTTTTTTCTATGCGAAAGAATAAGGGTTATGCACAAGCATAGATCGAGCCCAACTCAAGTTTCGTGTTGGGGTTTCGTGCAACCTTTTTTGAGCTCTGTGGATCAAAATGATGCAGTTTTGGTGCATGTGAGAGCCCTCTAAGGGAGAGAATCTTTAGTCCTTAGCCCTTTGTAATATTAATAAAAACATGCACGATTCTTTAGAATAATTTTAATAGTACCTATTAAACTCAATCCACTCTATTCATGAAGAAAAAAAAAGACATACAAGCCAAACCTATTTTACTGTACATTAGTTGACAACAAATTAAAAGGAAACACAGTAACACATGCATGTAGCTTGAAACTTAACCAATCACTAACACTTGTCCTCTGCAATGTGCCCATTAATTATAGTCTCCATCTGCAAAGATGGTTTAGTTTTTGGTGGCTTGTACCTTAGTGTTGCACAAAAAAGATATATCACAAAGTTGATAAGGCTCAATATGGCTAGAAGTCCATAGAAACAATCAAGCCTGCTGTGGTTTATATTGTCCGCTAACCATCCTTGTCTACCATTGCTACCGGTCACCTTCTTGACAATCGAGACCAAGAAGCTGCTGACGAAGAAACCGAGTGATAGAGTTGTGAGGAAGAGACCGGTGCTCATAGTTTTCATTCCCTTAGGTGATTGGGTTATGAAGAAATCAAGCTGGCCAGTGTATATGAAGGCTTCCCCAGAACCCACCAAGAAGAATTGAGGGATCAACAAGAAGACGCTTATGGGCAGTGTCGCGGTGGTGCTACTGGTGGCTCTTGCCACTGACAGCCGTTTCCTCTCCGCTAATATTGCAGCTGACATTCCTATTACTGAGAGGATGAGGCCTATGGCAATTCTCTGTAAGTTGGTGAAACCTGTTGCATACAAAAATTTATTAAAATCTATTCTGTGCCATAACATAGCTATTCTGTTGCATGTATACACGCACCTGGTTTTCCTTTCCATTTTTTCCAAAGAGGCATGATGAGACGATCATAAACAGCTAATGTAATCAATATGGCTGCTACGAAGAAGACGGTGAGAGATCCAGCCGGGATTTGGAAATTTCCGATTGATCTATCCATGGTGGATGCTTGCTCAACCGAGAAGGTGATCATTTGTGCATATACCGTCCAAAAAACGATGGTTGTGGCCCATATTGGCAGTAGTCTGGCCATCATTTTCACTTCCTCCACCATCGTCACTGAGCATAGCTTCCATGGATTTGGAATAGAACCCCCCTCAAAATCTCCATCTGAAACAATGGCGGCCTTGTCCAAGAAACTGCCGTGTCAAAAGCATGATTAATTGCAATTAATACACAACTATTATTATGATAATCATTCTTAGACCTAATAGTCTGAGGAGTTTAGTTGAGAGTCTTATCAGGCCATTGAATTGATTAGATAAGATCGGAACTTTGATTTTTTAAACTTATTGGGTCATAAGTATCCACATATACTTCTTCTATTTATGCCCGATCGAACCACTCCCTTTCTTACTCTTTGAAAATTGGGAGGTTATACCATTGAACTAGAAGCACAATAATTTCAATAATTAGCTCACAATCTTACAAGAAATTTAAAGCTTACCGAAACTGATCCGTGTGATGGATTATTGAAGCTTCATGTGAATTTTCATACAATGAAGCAACATTATATGGAATATCCATCTTCCTCTTGCTTGTTGCAGCTACTATAACTTGGAAAACGTGGACAATTGGGCTTCCCAAGCTTTTCTTGTACCTATACCTTTTAGTCCCGGATAAGAATACCATAATGGCTATAAACATTGAGACAGAACAAATTGCATATGCGCAGCTTCGACCCACTTTATCTTGTATGTAGACTAGCACTGTGACGGCCATCAAAGTCCCTGTGCTGATGAAGAAGAAGAACCTGTTGAAGAAATAGACCATCTGGGATTTTTCCTTTTCGTCTCTGTCATCAAATTGATCAGTTCCAAATCCTGAAACACTCGATTTCAGGCCACCGGTCCCTAATGCAATGAGGTACAAAGCCATGTAAAGAATTCCCATTTGGAATCCATTGGCCCTTTTGCAATTGTCAATGCCACTAGTACTATGACAAGGTGGTGGGCGTAGCTGAGGCAACTTTGTTGAGATTGCTAATGCACCAGTACCCTGAATAATTGCCATTATTCATCAAAATCAGAGTAAGTTTTTTTTTTTAGTTAACCCGGGGTATCCGGGATGACAGGAACCCTTAGGTCTCCTCAACAACCCGACAAATCTCCGATGACCCGGAAATGCACTTCCCCATTTGGGTCGGGTAAGTCGCTGCAGGAGTAGTGGAGGCTAGCCACAAAGAATACTCAGCGGGACTCCAATCCCAGACCTTTAGTTTACTAAATTCCAAAGTCCAGTGAGTAAACCGCTGGCCATATTCGAAGTGAATAAATTAAAGTAAGTTCTTAACTTCTTTCCTTTTTTTTTTTGGGGGGTTGAATTTCAATGGTTAAATTGAATAGCAAGAGAGTTCAAATTCACTGATGAAGCGACACCATTTCATCATTCTTATGTTTATAACTCTATTTTATGAAAGCAAATTGAACTCAGTTTTAACTAAAATAAAAAATAAATTTTTTTGAACTAAGTGGTGTACCAAACTAAGAGTGTGCGAGTTAGTTTCATATATATATATATATAAAGATGTACTCACCAGTGTTTGTATCATGGCAAAGATTGCAATTGTATTGTATCTACCGAGGAAAGTGTCTGCCAGAAATCCGCCAAGCAAACATAGGAGGAAAGATGTGCCCATAAAATCCGTTACTATATTGGCTGAAGCAGCACTAGGCAGATGCATGGTTCCACCCAAGTAGGTCATGAGGTTTACTGCTATTCCCATTGTGGAAAGCCTCTCGCATATTTCGATCCCTGTAGAATTTTTAGATCAAAGCCATAAATAAATAAATAATAATAATAATAATAATAATAATAATAATAATAATAAAACAACTTTAGCAGGAGTAATTAATTTCTTCCCTTTAAATTTTTAATTTCATTGTGGCTTACACGTGGACGGATAAGATCAAAGTTTCTTAATTATCATGAGATGTTGATTGTAGATGAAGGGTGAAATAATCGTGTCATGTGAAAGTTTGGCATTAAGTTTCGGTGTAAGGAAACAGAACATAACTAATTAGGGGGGTGAATCCTCTTAAGTGAGATTTTCATGCGGTCCCTTGTAGTGTGTTGAGTGAGATTTTTATGTGGTCCCTCCCTATAGTGTGTTGTAAGTGGTCTATATTTGACCACATGTTTTTTTATTTAAAAGATACCGAGACTGTGTTTGACAATTACACTACAATTTATAAGTAACATCATAAGAGTTTAAAAAGTAACACCACCATTTATAAGAAGGTAACATCATCATTTAAAATAGCAATGGTTGACAGCCAAATACCTCATAAAGTGAAAATCATCTTCATCCTCAAAAATTCAAAATAAGGTATGCACATAATGCAGACTAAGTAATATCACATATAAACATAACTCAATTCAACATATCATTTATGTTATTATTTGAAATTAAAGTATTTTAAAAACACTTTAACATGTTACTTTAAAGAATTTAAACCAATAATTAAAGTCACTTGAATTAATTTTAGACAATAAACAAAACACTTAATGTTTCCAAAAGTAATGAAAAGAGTCGCATCTTTTTTTCTTTTTTTTTTCAAATATTAAAAAAAACATACACTTAGGTATAAATTATTTTACATATCTTTTAAATTTTTTTGGCAAAGTTTAATATTAATTGCCACACTCACCACCTTCACCATCAAAAGAAAAAATTTGGCAAAAGTTTAATATTAATTGCCACCACTCACCGCCTTCACTATCAAGAAAAGGTATTCACGTAGTACTAAAAAACTAATAGTCATACATAAATGTAACTCAATTCAACATATTATTTATATATTTTTTAAGTTAAATTTTATAATAAAAAATAAAACATCCAAAAAAATAGTAACATGTTAATTTAAAGAGGATTTTGAAGGTGATTATGGGATATTTGGCTGTTAATAACTTTTACTTTTTAAGTGGTGATGTTACTTTTTAAAACTCCTATAATATTAATTATAAATGGTGGTAAAATGTTACTTATAAAAGGTGGTGCAATTGCCAATTAGGTCTCAAGAGCTATTAAATAAAGGAGCCGTGGTCAAATATAAATCACTCAAAAGCTCACTGCAAGAGAACGCATGACAACTCACTTCACAGGATTCGCTCCCACTAAGGAGTTTAGCTCAGTAATAATGATTGCATAGTACTTGTTTAATTGAGTAATTGATGTATGCAAAACCGTGCACTATATCATTCCATCAAAGTGTCTTAAGTGGGTTTTATATCTATATGTATCTTCATAGTTATCATGAATGACCAAGACACAGCTTTTTTTTCAATTTTTTATTTTTGAGTTGGCATAGCATACACATATTTTTATTCAGCTTTTAAAAATTCTTTCAAATATAAAGATCTAATGTTAGGCATTAGTAAAAATGTAATTATCAAATTCAATTTATGCAAGAGAAGTAGTAAGTTCCATTACACGAGGTCATAATAAAACTCACACAATTGCCTTACTTCGATGAAAAATTTTGAATTCTTAAATTTTTTACACAAAGATGAAGAACTAGCACTTAGACTAAAAACTTTGATAGTAATTATATATGATTTAATTAGTTAACTTTCTTTTATACTTCATTTCAAATAATTAAGGGAAGGTAGGAGAGATAAAGAAGGTATCTCTAGGAAAAAGAAAGGATCTTTAATACCATGCTCTTCCATGGAAAAAAAAATTAAGAATAGTAAAGTCGTTCAGAATTTCATGATTATATATATCTTTAGATTTTAATTTTTAAGAGGTAAGGTATGTGGTTAAGGGGAAGGGAGGAAACACTTCCCTCCTTTACCCCCAGTTTTTGAAGGCAGAAATATGTAAGTTGTGCCGAAGGAAAGGGCCTTTCCTCCCTTCTCTCCTTCTCCTATATATTTCTCTCCTAGTTAGTCCATGGTGAACCCCCTCCCTCTAACCACTATTCCTTCCGCTGCTTGATCTTAATTCCTTCCACCAAACAGACTATAAATTATAAAACATTGACTTAATAATTCAATTTGTGAGTCAGGTGTATTTGGTGCTTGCTTAAGAGATTTCAATAAAACTGTCGTAAGAAATTAAGATTGAGAACAAAAGATGATGAATATATATAGTCTCGAACAAGAAAATTGATACCGGAATTAATCAAATAATATATTAAACAAGAACTAATATATGTATATATGGTCAAGTAAGTTGGGTGGCCAAAGTCTCAATATTATTTACTTAGATGATCGTTAGAGCAATAACTTAATTAGTATTCAAGTACTTTAGCTCCAGTAAACTCCAGGAAAGTCGACGATGCAGGGAAAGTAATAAATGAAGTTTTTATATATATATTTTTTAGAGAAATAAGAAGAAAAACAGACCTAGAATAAGAGCTGCTGGCACCCAACCACCAGTTTTGGACCTTTGAGCTGGGAGACCCTTGTAATCCATCGCATCAGCAACTGTCCAAGTCATCTTCCCCTCTTCCTGAGAGACCAAAGAAAAATGTTCACAAGTCAAGAATAATCAATTTCAACTGTCATTCACGTACTCAAACAGAGATACTAAATAAGTAAATATAAAGTTTGATATACCAACCATTTTTCAAAAGTACTGTATAAAAAGGAAAAAGAGCTTAATTGGAAGGCTGAATAGAAAGCTAGGAAACTATATGATCCTCTTCGATCTCTTCTAAAGTACAACTTATTACATGTGTTAATGAGGAGCTTGCATTGTCCTTTTATAGGCAAAAGGCTCACCATCTAGATAGGCCTGGCCTTGTCGACCCTTCATTATCAACTAGAGACAGATCATCACTAGTGCCTCTTGGTGTTGATAAAGTTAAGGGATTAGGCCTATCGCATTTTGGATTGAATTAATTTTTGATTGCTTAGCTGCAGATTCTTTTTAGATATATAATTATAAATAAGAAAATTTAAAGTTGATGTGGATGTGGATTTGTGGAAGTGGAGTCCGGTAAGTTGGAAAATTTGGACTGCTGAACATGCAATATATGCCATATGCAGCTTCGTTCTCACCTCTCTTTTGTATGGTATATATAGATAGGTTTTGGTTATGGAGGCAATTGTGAACCACAGTTCACAGGCCTGTTCAGTTCCCAAGTGCTTTTTCTGTCCCACAAAATATAAAAAGCTAGCTAGCTAGCTTCTACTTTTGTGTTTTTCCTCCAATGTCTCTGAGGAATATATATATATATATTGGCATAAAATGGAAATTAAGAAAAGGAAAATGCATGATTTACTGATTATTATAGCTAGTGAACCTTTTCACATCAAAGTTATCATAATGTTATAACAGTGCCCATGCAACTACTAAATATTTTTAACATCCAATAGATAGGATTCCCTGATATCATGCACCGTCGTTTTGGGATATTAAGTAGGGTGATTTTTGGTTAGTAGATGCATTGCTAATGAACAAGTGTCATAGCTAGCTAATTGCCAAGTTATAAGTGTATAATACACACACACCATATATAAAATTGAACATTCCAAGACTGTCTATGGCAAAGTCGAGCATGGGTTGGCGCGGCTATTATTATCCAGGGAAACCTGAAATGAAAGTGGCGGAGAGTACATATCAAACATTCAGTCCCTGGAAGGTGTTCTATTTACTTTAGGTACAGATTCAGTGAGTCATGCATGTTTTGTGCTTTGCATCAAGTTCATGAATGTGTGAATTGCATGCATCAATAGTAGATAAAGGTTTGGGTTTGACTCAAATACTTACCATATGACAGCCGCTCTTTGGCCCATTGTTGGGTAGATACTACACGCCCAAGACCTTCTTTTTTTTTTTTTTCAGTGGAATTCGATGTGGGATAATTTCTTTTTTTTTTGTTTTTTTTTTGTTGTTAGTGGTGTGATTAAAGTTACAGTAAAATTTTAAAAAGATATAGATCTTAGACAACCCAATCCAATTCCAAGCCTCACACAATTAACCTGAGTTTAAAAAGATATTCCACGTGGTTTAGGGCTTGGGCTATTGAGCTGGATTAAGCACGGACTTACAATAAAGACTTTATATCTCGAACAGAACAGGCTTGGGTTGAGCCATCAATCCGACCAAGTTGTATATTTCTATTCGTGAATTAAGTGTGCCGAATTTGACAGGAATTAGGGATGCCTACCAGCTAGCACTAGTGCAACATAGAACATGAAATGAAACGGTGCCCACTTCACACAGAAGAGAACCCACTGTGTGCGTCTTTTTGTTCTCCATTGTTGCCGACTTTCCTTTGACTCTCACCATATCAAATCTAAATTACAGATACCATCATTTATTTTAGGAAAAATTACACCAACTGCTCCTAAGGCTTGTCAAATTATATCGATAGATTATTTAGAGTTTATTATTTTGACATCCACAAAATTTAGAGGAGGTTAAAGTAATATATGATAAATAATCTAATTATACAAAATTTATCCAAACCTCAAAAAAGGTGGATATAATTTATCATTTATGATTAGGATGTTATGCTCCTCTCTCTCTCTCTCCCTCTCTTTAAGTGTCAACTTGTGGGGGTCCAATTGTAAAGCAAATTTATCTTTGAAAATAAGAACTGTATAATTAAGATATTTTCACTACTAGTACATCACAAATATATATATATATATATATTTATATAGATGAATAGGCTTTTAATTTTTCATACTTTTCTCATCCTTGGTACAGTCTCTCATCATTGTAAAATGCAACAGTGAGCTCTCATGGTGTTTGTAAAGCAAATTTATCTTTGAAAATAAGAACTGTATAATAATTAAGATATTTTCACTACTAGTAGTACATCACAAATATATATATATATATATATATATAAGAACTGTATAATAATTAAGATATTTTCACTACTAGTACATCACAAATATATATATAAGAACTGTATAATAATTAAGATATTTTCACTACTAGTAGTGCATCACAAATATATATATATATATATATATATATAGATGAATAGGCTCTTAATTTTTCATATTTTTCGCTTCCTTGGTACTAGTTTCTCATCATTGTAAAATGCAACAGTGAGCTCTCATGATGTTTATGTTTCTATAATATAGTTTTCACTCACGTGACTACTGATCTCTAACAATAATAGTACCGACAATAAAACCTCTACTTTGAAATTTAATTTCCCACTATTCTGTTATGTAATTTGTATGCTGGACTAGTATGACTTTGGTGGTTACTAAAAGATGGTGGCAAGCAAGAAAACAAATTAATTAAATATGCTATAAAATATTATAATGCTAGTCTCAAAACCATTAAAACCCATATAGAAGATATGGTTGCCGATCTGGAACAAAAAAAACAATGTACATGCAGTAAAGCTTGTTTATATTATGTGGGATGACAGGAAATTATTAAAAAAAAAAAAAAAAAGAAAGTTTAAAGACGTAGCATTCAAATTGAGAGTCCGGATAATCAGGGTTGGAGAGAGAATAATCAATTTGGGGGCCAAACAAGTAATATAAAATTAAAATTTAAAAATAAAATAAAATAAAATAAAATAAAATAATTGTATTAATTCTTTTAAAATGCAATTTTTTAAATGTATTTTTCTTATAATATGTGACGTCTATAAATATATGGGAGATAAAAAAAAAAAAAAAAAAAAAAAAAAGATGATAAGTGTTGAATATGCTTCTTCTTCTTATTCATAACAAATAACGTGTGTGTGTGTGTGTATATATATATATATATATTGTAGCTAGTAATGATCACAATAATAATTAACATGTTTTTTTTTTTACTATATTTAATTTTTAAAAGAAAGACAAAAAAGGATCATTTTAAACCACCTTTAATAATCATTAATAGGTAACCATAAAAATATTATTTTTTAAAAAAAATAAAAAATTAAGGGGCAGCTTTAATTTTTTTTTTTATACAAAATCACCATTAATAATAATAAATAAATAATACCAATAGTGTTTTTAGGGGGAATAGCCCACCCCTCATCCGCAGGTTTTTTCTTATCATGGTTAAAAAGAATAAGGATTTGAATTCTCTTAAAAAATATATAAAAATTTGAGTAAATTATACCGACGAAGTTTGGACAAATTATACAAATAAAGTATTTGACATTTATTACTTTGACATTTCTAAAAGTGTGAAATGTCTTTCATATTCTTATATAATTTAATAAAAAAATATGTCAAACAAAAATACTCTATTACACTTTTTTCCCAACTTGTAAACATTATATTACCCTTCCTATTTTTATTTTTTATTTTTTAAACCATAAAAAGAAGCCTAATCAAATGTCATTAACATAAAATATATATATATATATATATATATATATATTTGTAAAATATAATAATATGAAATTTGTATGAAAATTAATATTTTACATTTCAATGGAATTTCATGTTATTTTTGTCATTTCATGTCAAAATAAAAGGTTATTGAGGTCTTTTAACAAAAGAAAATGATAATTTAGTTATTTTTAAAATTTTCATTAATGACAGAAGCTTCGTTGATTATACGCGTCAAAAAATCTCTATACAAATCCACTATAATGATAAATGTTTAATTTTTCGTCCTTTTCTTTGATCCAAGCTTGATGGTAGAGTGACTAGAGTCCCCTTGCCTTCAAGATTCACCCATATGACCTTTATGAAATTCTCTCAAGTCATTGTTTGTTAGAACAAGAGATGAACTAAAGAACCCTAACTAAATCATTGTGGAGATGAACTAAGTATATATGTCGGTACTACACTTCGTCACTTTCTCCACGTGATATCTCTACAACACCTCCTTTATATATTGGCTTCTTGGAGGTAAATAACACTTCTTACAACCAATTTGGAGTGATTGTATCATCAACTTTTAACACTTGAAGTGCCCTATCATCCACCACATATCATGATCATCTGTCCTTCCTCTTCTCATGGGCTTGGATCCGTAATTTGGGTTATGGGTGAGGATATTTTTGTTCATTTTTTTTCTATGACTTCAATGGACTAGTAATTTTTTTCCAAGTAATTGAACCGGTCAACCACTTTTATCCCAATTTAATAAGTCCATTAATTAATTGAAGTACTACTATATAGAATTAATTACTCTCCATTTAAAATAGTGATTTTCACAAAATGACCCATCTATGCTTAATTTAGTTGTTGGATAATTATAGGCAAGAATTGCTTAATCTACTTATTTCGATTCCTTTATTATTTCTTACTGGATCACATAAAGCATTTTATTTGATACAGTAATATATTTAATAAAAAATATACATAAAAGCATTTTATCAAAGACATGGAGGCCCCAAATTTCTCATTATCAAATTGATCAAGTCAAAATAATTACGATAGTACCGATGTAAATGTTGAGAATGTCTTCACAAAAAATTATTAATTATACTCTAATAGTAATCGAAAGTATTGACCCTACGGACTCCGCCGAATAAATCAAAGCAACTATGAATCAATAGTCTATACATTTCTTATACTGGAGAGATTCCACCAATAAATCGAAGCAACAATGAATTAATACAACAATCCATATTCCTTTCATGCTTAAGAGGCATTCGTCATGATGGTGATAAGGAGCAAATTGCTACGATGACTCTCATAATTTGCTTACCTTATTCTAGATCCAGAACTCCAAGGAGATAGCTTAGAGGCAAAGACTCTCGCCTCAAATCTTAAAAGTCGAGAGTTCGAATCCCCTTCAGGCCACCCCTATGAAATTTTTTTAGTAATTACTTGATGCATGTGGGACAGGGGAGCTGTAATCAATTATAAACCATTTATGATAAATTAATTTTCGCAATTTATATATCCCAGATATGAACGCTCACTTGCATGGTTAAATAGGCACTTCGATTCAAAACACCATCAACACATATCATTCACCAGTTACATATAAATCATCTAATAAACTACAAATTTATATATGGAACAATAAATATATTATACAATTCATTAAGTTTGCTACGCTGGGGCGTACAAAACCAATAATACCATGCCATCACTTTGTTTTGTAATGTATACCTTTAGATTTGAAAATTTTACAGAGCAATATGCCAATAGGAAATTAACTAGTTTTTGGTTTCTCACACAAAGGGTCTATCATTTAATAAACCAATAATACCTTGCCATCACTTTTTTTTTCGAGAAATAAGCCAGCTTGCCTAGACAGCAATAATATCTGCCCAGTGGACGCTCATGAATCAGGGGTGAGTTAGATTCAAACTGAGATAGAAATGCATGGAACTGGGCTCAATCCTTTCTGTACCTATAACACATGGATGAAAAAGAATGGTAGCTAAGGGCTGCAAATAGTTAACTCAATGGTTTTGAGTGAACGATTCCTGGAGCTCCCTTTCTTGTCTGGTAGGGTGTTGGGTTATGCAGGAGGCAGAAAGGGTGATTGGTCAACTCCAAAAGGGGTATATCTATCTGTAGCTCTGTATTCTGTTTCGAAAAGCTGGCTTGGAGACGAATGAGCAGGAGTATACTGATAAATTGATGGAGACGGAGACCAGTCAGGTCCTTCTGTGTTGATGTCAAACTTATATATACTGAAAAGGGAGAGAGAGAAAAAAGGCGGCAACAATGAAGAGTGGGATGATAGTGCAGAAAGAAATAGGATTTACTCGGACAGATGCCACCGAAGGCAACTGCTCCTGTGGCATTCCTAGGATCAGGAATGAAAATTATGGAGGGAGGGAGGGAGGGAGGGGGAGAGAGAGAGAGAGAGAGTCACTTAGTATATCTGGCAGCTGAAGGTTCAACCTTCCCAATATGGTGACGGTTACAAAGATGTGTTGCCCACCTTGATTTGAATGCAAAAACATACTATTTTAAATGATGCTATTTCAAATTAACATGGATGGATCTACTATTTTTTTTTTAATTTTTTTTTTTCGATAAGTAAGAATTTTATAAAAAAACACTCAAAGGGGAGCGAAACCCATGGAAACAAGATGAAAAAAAACCACAAAGAGCCTCAAGCCTTCTAATTTTAGATCTACTAAAATTAGAGTTGATAATTTCACTTGACATTATCCAAAAGGGATATTGAGCCCTGTTGCAGCCAGTCATGACTTCACATTATAGGAAAGCATATCTAATCAATCAAAAGAGCTATGACATACATTACTACTGAAAAACAGGACCAATAAGCACACTGCTAACCATAATGAAGTTATAAATTAGTTCAAAGCATCATTCATCATGGCTTCTCAAGATATAACTCCATAATATTATCTCAGCACGTTGCATAAAAACATCATGAGAGAGATTTTGATACCAAAAAAATACATAAATAAAAATAAAACCTCCCTCTTCCCTAGTTGAACAACTTCATCCCTCAAAACCTCCAAACTCTTCTAAAGAGGCCCACCATACTACAAACGCATTCTGTACTTTTTCAGATCAAAAGCTTCTCAATGGCATCCTGCATTTGGCAAGCATAAATTCAGAATGCAAGATAAAATTGAAGGTACAAAGTAACAACAAATATTGCAAGCATAAGATATCAGATGGTAAGGTACCTTGAGTTGTTGTATTGAGGTTTTTAATTGACTTCCCTCATTGCTTGTCACAGAACAAGCAATCACGGGTCTTGTGACTCCGCATGCTCGGCCAAGTGCTTGCTTTGAAGGGACAAAAACATAGGGCACATTCTGCCAAATTCAAGCATAAGATCGCAACTTCAATTTTCAGACAGACTGATATGGAAGCATAATAAACCTTATAATCCAATACTACCCTAGCAATTATATTTTACAACTCAATTCTTAAATTTGATTGTAAAATTGCCTCTTCTGGGCTTTTAACAAATTGAAGAATAAAAAGTAAAAATATATAAATAAATACAACCACAAGGTAAGAGAATTGAAATACTAACAAATCATCTAAATAAAAATTAGATGCCCAAATAAAAATTAGATCACTCCCTGAATCTCAAATAGAAATCCTACTTGATAGATTTAACATGTAAGGACATAGTGCCCAGATTCTCCTGTATGAATGTTGTCGCTTACCAGAGCCTTTGCCTTCTGCTCAAAATCTGTAAGCTATATCAGGTCTTATCTCTCAATATTTCAGTGCCTTATCTTACCAAGGAAAGGGGTAAATAATAGAGGAAAACTACAAATGCAGTAAATTTCGATGCATGACCCAGCTAAGAGAGACCTGAACATTTTATGGAATCACTAGCGGCCTCCACTAACAGATTATTTTGCCTGCCTGCCCGCCTTCACTTAATCACTCTCCTTGAAATATAACCTATATATAACTTACAACAAGGGATACTACAAGGCACAAACAGGCAAAAAACAGAAGTTAGTCCTGTTTTTTTAGACTATTTCTACTTCCTCACATTCAAATTGTTTGGTTCTACTAATTCTAATTTAGTGTACAAAACATTTTAAAGTTTAGAATTGAACATAAGCCAAGGACTCAGAGATGACATTATAGTCTGATTAACACACAGGCCAATTGGCATAATGTATTCAAAGCAAAGACCCAGCCAAGGAAGTTCAGCATTCATATTGTCCTAAAGGCTAACTCAATCTCATGGTAATTATCCATTACACAGAAAAGATATGGTACATTCCTAGCAGTCCTTGGCTAGCCAATGGCTACTGGCTATATTATATCAATAGAAAACTTTAAAATTACCAACAAATAGTAATGATAATAACAAAAAGAAGACACAATAAAATAGGAAGGAGCGAAGAAGATAATACAGCATATTCACGTTCCTCATCCTAAATCATTGAAATTTGACTTGTTCAATCTACTTTGCCATTGAACTTAAGCCAGTATGAGTCCTAATTTCAGAGTACGAGCCACTTCTAGCAATGCTATGCTATCATTTTTGGGGCTCAAAAACTTCAACGACTTTCAAGCCTCAAAAGAAATTCCAGTTACATTTAATAAAGTCAATATAATCAAGTACAGGGGTCCAGTGCCACAATAGTAACTAAATTCAAATCAAATTACAGAGAATTCTGCAAATAAAGACAATTCTGCTGCTCAAACTTTTTTAAAGCAATATTTATAAAATACCATATTTTATAGATTTAAATAAACAAAAATATATATAGTTGCACAATACATGCACATGTGCAAATATACAAATTAATACATGCAGTTTTCTCAGTGTTACCTTATCTTCTGCAAGTAATGGAAGATGGAGAAGGATTTCGAGTGGCTCAGTATCAGCTGCCATCACAACAAACTCAGAAATACCCCTGTTCAATGTTTTGGTGGCTGAATTTGAAGACAAAAACACAAATTAAAGAATTTTAAAAGGGTCTGACGCAATAGATAAAAGTATCTCTGCCATATATATTTATACACAATTGTCTGTATATATATATAAGTAAATGGTGAAGTAAACCTTCATTAGCTCCTTTCTTGAGCTGTTTGTAATTAGCAGCTTGTTGAACTAGGTCTAGTATGGTTATTGTGAGCTGAGCATCAGCAAGTGGGTATGCTTTTGGATTCACTGCTTCGCCTGTCTGTAAATATACACAAGATATATAACATCAGGTAAGCATATATATATATATATCGAAAATCATTCATCTGAATGTACTTAAAATACAAAAATATATGCACAGGTGAGAGAGAAGAGAGTACCATTATTTGCTGTTTGGGGAGGCGAAAAGAGTTGCTAGGGTTTTTTCCCCCAAACGCTATACAAAACGAGAGTTTTAAGAGAAAGGACAAACGTTCGGGAGGTCAAGTAGAGTTTTTTTTATAAATTGCCGTGATCCCCGTTAATATTTGTCATAATTACATAGTCTTCTTATTTGCAAACCATTCTTATATACCGACATAATTTATTAACAAATCTGGCCAACAATAGTCACCTTTGGGAATTTAAATTTATAAAATTTCAATTTTACTCTTAAATTATTTTATTAAATAAAAAAATAAATTCAGTAATTGGTCAAAATTATCTCACCTTTGCAATTTTTAACACTCTTGAATTATTTTATTATATTACTGTCCTGGTTTAATCATTAACGATAATTAAATCCATGAATAAAGATATAGCACAAGCACTTCTACACAAGACTTTCACACGGTATAATGAAAGGGAAAATTTTGCATGAATTATAATAGAATTAACTTATGAATTATTGCACATTTATAAATAAAATTAACAAGTTAAGAGTTGCAATTAGACAATAAAATGTGCTCTAAAAATTACTAAATTGTCTTTAAAATTAATTGCATAAAACAATTCTAATGCATAAAGAATTTACACCTCATCTTGGTCAAACATGGACTAATTTGCAAATTTTTAATTGGGAAATACTTTTGCAAAAAGATAATTTGAAAATTTCAATATTATTATTTATTTTGCTAAAAATATACTACTTTTTGTCCCACAAATATAACTTTTTTAATATAGAGTATTTTTTGTTATAATGATAGGGAATGAATTTTTAAGTATACTCATATTAAAAAAATATTAAAATTTGAATTTAACAATTATTTTGTGATAGCAAAAATAGTATGTGTATTGCTTTTTGTAGGAGGAATGTCGTATATATTATTTAATAATAATATTATTATTATCGATGAGCTGTTTATGAGGATTGTATATGCAATTAAACCCCTGTTGACTTCACTCCCGTCCGTGCAGTTGAAAATAGGTAGTGAGGTTGTGCGTTGAGGAGCGGAGGAGAGAGAAATGGGGTGGATTGGAGAAACGATGGAGTCCATCAAATCTCTGCAGATCAGACAAGTCTTATCACAAGCAGTTAGTCTCGGTTCGTAAGATCTTCCGTACTCTCTCTATTCTCTTTTTCGATTTTTCTTATACACATGCACCAATGGATTCATGTGTTGATCATGAAATGCCTTTGATCCGTTCTTCAAAAATTTGATTCATTTGAGAGACACATTGTATTATATTTGTAAAATCCAATTCGATGTTTCTTTATCTCCTCACGGGGTTTGAATTAGAACGTCATTATAAGAATCATTAAACCTATATATATATATATATATATATATATATATATATATATATGTACACACTCACACATGTATGTAAACAGGTATGTCATATATGAATGGATGTATTAATAGTTTGTTCAAGGCTTGTTGCGAATCAAATGGCTATCTTTGACAAAATTTGAGTCGAACATCCTCATTTTGGCAACAAATTATTCCCCCCTGAATTTGGCAACAAATTACTAAATTCATGCTGTTTATCAACTGTTCTATAAAATAGCGTGCCTTCTAGGCATCTTGGACAGTTTCCTCTGTAGATTGATCAGCATTCGATGATCACAGATGCTCTTTTCATCTTTGGATCTATTTCTTGCTCACATAAGCAAATAAAACAACAATTTTGTGAACAATTTGGTCCCTGTTTCGGTTGCATCTTTGGGTACATTTCTTGCTCATAAATGTGAAGAGAGACAAGGATTAAGTGTTCATTTCTTTTGGAAAGGAAGCTGTCTTGCTCATGCGTTTTAAAAGAATGCCTTTAACTATATGCAAATAAATGAAGAAAATTATTTTGCTTTTTCCTCGAGTAGACACCCTTGCCATGTTCTTATTACAGGGAAAGAAAAACATAAACTAAAGTTTCACCTTGTGTGCCGTATTGCATCCTTAACTACTGTAACGGTGGTAATGCCACTGTGTTACTTAAGGTTTATCTCACAAATAAATGGTATAAACTCAACTCCAATGCATCAATTGAAATAGGAAATGGAACAACTTCCTCTAATATGGCTACCTACATTGGTCCAGTACTAACTCAACCACTTGACAGCCACTTCAATCACCTCCATTTTTGTCAGGGTCCCCACTATTACCTCTCCTCCATTTCAACTATCACACCAAGTGCCACCTTCTTCATATTGCCATTCTTGCCCCATCACTGCTATTGCCAACAGTCTTACTATATACTTAATTTTTGTTTTTTATGTGAACACGTCATCTTTTTTCTTGGAAAATATTGCCAAGGTAATTTTTTATTTTTTATTTTTTTTTATATATATATTTAAAGGGTAAATAAATATAGGTGTGAAGAATATAAATTTTCCTCTTTCAAATTTAGGAAAAATTCAGAATTTTCAACTTATAATATTCAGTGTCATGCCAATAAAAATTTTTGTTCTTTAATTTTTTATTATATTAGTATTTGAGTTCACCAACATGCATTCTGGCACTCGTTTGCAAATTTAAATAATAAAAAGAAAAACATGAATTCTACTTGCATGTTTAAAATGCAGTTGGAAAGCGTAATAGAAAATATTTAACCTCCTCAGGCAGCAATGGATGTTGTAATGCAAAATATTATTCCTGTTATTAGTTCAGAAAAGTGATGTTGAGTTTTCGAACGAAATTATTATAATAGTACATGTCATATATATTTTTTGTTCTCCTTGTTAATAATTGTTCATACCAGTGTCCAAACATTTTACATGTCTCTTATTAATGGTAAAAGTAAATAAGTTCCCCCCCCCCAATCTATTTCAGGTATGATCATTACATCGGCACTGATAATATGGAAAGGATTAATGTGTATAACTGGTAGTGAATCGCCTGTTGTTGTTGTGCTTACTGGAAGCATGGAACCTGGCTTCAAAAGGGTGAGTCCTTTAGTGATAAGCTCTCAGATGGTTTCTTCCTCTACAACTTGATATCAATGAGGTGTCAGGATTTCCAGTCTGAAACTGCTTATCTGATTTAACGGGTTATTTTTTTAGCAGTTTATTTAAAATAGGTAATTCAGATAAATGTTTACTCACTATCATACTTGTGATTGCTTCAAAAAAAATTTCTTGTTTCCTGATCGATAATCTACAGACTCTAGCTGTGTGACTTTGAAGGATGCATTCTTTATTCGCCCATAGTATATATTTTAAGTTTGACATAAAGCTTGCACTTTACATTATTACAAGCCAGCGCGAGTTTTTGAGTTTTGACGTTCAAATAGAAGTTGTGTTTGATGAATTGCTTGTTTATATGATGATCTTATTTCTTTTACTTAGTATTTTGAGCACTTCTCTATTTGCATAAAAGGTAAGTGGCTCTACAGAAGATTCATTAAAGATGTCCAGGTCTCTTGGGAGATAGTGTGCCATCTAATTTAATTACATGATCATAGTTAAAATATATGAGTAAATACCTATTCATTTGTTAGTCATTAGTATGCTGACTATTTTTCTTTACAACATTTATTAGTCTCAAATAACAGTTTGTTTCACATGTAAACGTTCTGTCTACAATTTCGAAACTTTTTAAAATTTTGAACTTCTACCCATTACGTTTCCATTTCCTGGCAATGCGACAGAAATTAACAATCCATACCAAATTAAGTTTGAGGAAACTAAGTGCATAATTGGTGTCATTGTTGTGGTATATGTTGATTGCATGTTGCATGCAAAGTTGTATAGTTATACCAAATGCTGAATTTTCTTTTTAAACTAATAAATGTTTTCTAATTTTATTATGCCACACGTTGATGTCGAATCATCGCATCCCAGTTTTTTGTCCCCATTATTTTGAGTAATGCCTATTTTAACACCTTTTCATTGTCTAGTTGTTAAATGCTGTTTTATTAGAGGCACTTGAATTTGCTTTGCCAGTTAATTTTAGCTTTGGTTATTTGATGTTAAGTTCATATATATAAAACTTAGTAATGATTTATCTGAATAACATTATACTTCTTTTGCAGGGTGACATTTTGTTCTTGCATATGAGCAAGGATCCAATCCGTGCAGGAGAAATTGTTGTGTTTAATGTTGATGTGAGTTCATTTTCACTGGGTGCTGTCTTCCCCTTTACTGTTATTTAATAGCACTTAGTTATTCCAAACTTTCTGTTCTTCTTTTCTTTTTGCCCTTTTTGTGGGAGTGGTGTGGTTAAGTTGTTGTGGCTTTTAAAATGAAGTTGTCTTTTCTTATTAGAATTATTTTTCGACTTATTTAACTTTCTTTCACGGATGCGAAAAAAATCTGAAAATTCAGTTTTGTTTTTAAATTTTTATTATTTTTAGAAAGGATATTTTGAGGCTGTGTTATCTCTTGTGAGATGGAAAGTACTTGCTTTGGTAAACATGCAACTGCTATAAATTTCACTAGTCTTCAATTTGTGCTTTATGTTGACTACTAGCATGTACCACGAGGTTTCTAAGACACCTTTAAGCAATATTTACACATCACCCTTCTGAAAGTTACTCAAATTGAATAGAAGCAAATTGCAATATGTTATTCCAAATGTAATCTGTTAATAAGTAAGCTTCATTGCTAACTAAAAGTCCTACCCACCTGAAGGCAAAGTTATTTAATAAATGAATCTTCTAGCTACTTAACCTGTGTTCATGTTCAGTTTTGCTTATGTGAACTTAAATTGCCTATTTTCTTAACTAACGAGAAATCACGTTGTATTGTTGACAAAGATGGGAGATATTTTATTGTAGCCGTGTAGTGACAATCTAACCTTGAAGAAACTCAATAAATTATATTATGTTCATTAGTTATATTTTTTCTCTCCTCAATATTTTAAAAGATACATGCTAGGTGGAGTTTAATAGCTTACTGTTCCCGATGCTGTCCTCCCATTTATCATGAAGTATGGAACTGTATTCCTCTTTTTAGTGATTATTTTACTCATGAATGGCCTATGTATGTGGATTGTGTTTGAATCGTTATTCTTATTTGTTGGTATATATATTCATCATGTAAACATCTCTATTTCTAATATTTTCTTACGATTTTTTTGTTTTTGTGTAGGGACGTGAAATTCCAATTGTGCATCGAGTAATTCAGGTAAAGCAGTTTTGGGACAATTATTATTTGATCTTTTATCTGCCACTTTCTTTGATCCAACAATATTTAAGAAATTTTTAGATTTCAGCTCTATCTGTAATTTAGAGATGGTCATCAACCAAAATGGTTGGTGCCTCCCTCAATGTATGGTGGGAACTGAGGATTGCGGTGGTATGGTCGTGGAAGCAGTGGAATGATGAACATGTTTTCCTTTGTGTTGGTAAACCTAAGAAATCGGTGCCTTGGATGTTTAGATGTCAGCTCTATCTATAAAAATGGTGTGGATATTTTAAGCAGTTGGTATTGATAAAATATCTATAGAATAAATTAGATTGTGGCTAGGATTTTAACACATGTAGATATAGAATTAAACTCTAAGATATTGTATGACCAAGAGGATGGAGTTACTAGTGCATGGCTAAGACATATTTTTGAGATCTTTAATTTGACCTCATGTGTAACAACCCACTTCACCACATGGTATGATATTGTCCGCTTTGGGCTCGAGCCCACACGGTTTTGCTTTTGGACGTTACCCCAAAAGGTTTCATTCCAATTGGAGTGACACACCTAGATATATAGTACTTATCCTTTCCACACCCAGGCAATGTGGGATTGTGCACCTGTAGGTCGCCCAGTGTGGTAGCCTGGTCGCCACAATCACCCCCACCCCCCCCCCCCCACCCCACCCTGGGCTAACATCCCTGTTGGCCACACTTCCGGCTGGTCAGGCTTTGATACCATTTGTAACGATCCACTCCACCACATGGTATGATATTATCCGCTCTGAGTACGAGTCCGCACGGTTTTGCTCTTGAACTTTAACCCAAAATCCCGCATACTAATTGAAGTGACACACCTACATATATAGCATTTCTCCTTTCCACACCCAGGCGATGTGAGATTGTGCACCTATATCTCGCCCAGTGTCGTAGTCTGCCAGTGCCTCTTGCAACCGCCCACAAGGTCACCACATTATGAAACCTAAAGAGAATTTGCCACTAAAAATATTTTTACGCACAAATTTTCAACTTAAAAGACCCTACTCATTTTTGACAAATTTAATTCCGGTTGCCTGTAAGGCATGGACTGAATTATAAAATGGCTGACTACCTCAAATCCCTTTCTTCATTTTATTTCTTGCCTGGCTGCTCCTGACATCTTTCCAGCAGCAAATGAGGAGCCAATTTGGGCAAAATTTCCGGAAACTAAGAAGAGAAAACTATGGCCATAGGTCCCAAGCTTCTCTCTCTCTCTTTCTTTGCGCTGGGGGCAATGTAAAAAATAAGTGTTCCATGAAATGTCTATTTTCATGCTTTGTCCGTAGAAATTCCAAGCAGAGTACCCATGTGGCAGTTAAGTCGTATATCACTTTCTCCTGTCTCAGAACTTCAACCTTGAAATCTGGTTTATGATCAAAGGATAAGTTAAAGTTGCTTTTGCTTTTGCAAAACCAGTCAAGCTTGCTTTTTCCTTGTTTTTGTTTTTTCTTTGCCCTCCTATTTTGGTCATCTTTTACGATGATGCGTCAATTTCTTTTTGTAGGTTCACGAGCGTCAAGATACTGGAGCAGTTGATGTCCTTACAAAAGGTAGTACATTCTTTTATCCAGGGTTTTTAGATACAAATTGTGGAGCAGCAACATTTCGTACTTGTATAACTGCTATGAACATCACTATGAAGTATGAACCTATAGAGAATGAACAACAAAGAGAACCTCAAAGGTCGCTTTAAAATGTCATATAAGTTCCACTGTTCATGGTCACTAAGTTCGTGTTTTTCAGGTTTTTGGCTGGCTTCTATTCTGGCCTTATTTCGAACAATTTTGGTTTTATGCTTGTTTAATATTTTAACAAGTCATCTTCCAAGGTATGCTAATTGCTTCCTTCCTATTGGTTGATTTTTCAGGAGATAACAATTTTGGGGATGACAGAGTTCTGTATAATCACGGTCAGCTCTGGCTGCATCAAGATCATATCATGGGAAGAGCTGTTGGGTAAGTTGACATTATGAACTATTATCCTGATGTTTGTGTTATAAACACCCAGATTTGATTTGGGAGTGATATTTAGTTGGTAAAATTTAGATTTGTGGAGCTTATAATCTACAATATTCACAAGGGGAAGGTCTGAAAAACACCCATGTGATTTTAAATTTGTGCGACTTACACCCTTTTAGTTAGATTTATTTATATAAATCCCTACCAGATATAAAAATATGCAATTAAGCCACACCGGTGACTATTCCGGTGAGAATTGGACGCCAGTTGGTCATGTGCCATGCACATGACCATTTTAAACCCTTTATTCCGGAATTGCCCTTTTAATATTCCATTACTACCCCCTCACCATATATATATATGTGTATATATGGGTTTTGAACTTTCTGATTGTTGTAAATTTTGTAATTTGCAGTTACATAGAGAGAGAGAGGGGGGGTAACAAATTAAGCCACCACCTTGATTAGTTGATTTAGAAAAAAAAAATTAAAACCAAACCCATACATACAAGCAGTTGCAGAGAGAGAGGGGGGCAAGCTTGAGAGTTGAGAGAGAATGACGGCTGTCAAAGGACAAGGAGCAAGGTGTGCGCAGAGGATTTTCCCCCGTAGCTCCTTGTGTCGAGGGGGTTCCATTAACCAAACATATGCTCTGATCCAATCACGTCAGAAACAAAGCTCTCAGGTCAAAAATAGGCAAGGAGCGGCGCGATCCCTATTTTGATCCCGAACGGCGAACGGCGAACCCGAACTGGAACAGTGGGCGATGGAAAATGAAAGATATGAGTTTTGATTTTTTGAACAATCTAAAATGGAAACTGAAAGATATGGGTTTTGATTTTTGGAACAATCTGAAATGGAAACTGAAAGATATGGATTTTGATTTTTGGAACAATCTGAAATGGAAACTGAAAGATATGGGTTTTGATTTTTTGAACAATCTGAAATGGAAACTGAAAGATATGGGTTTTGATTTTTTGAACAATCTGAAATGGAAACTGAAAGATACGGGTTTTGATTTTTTTGAACAATCTGAAATGGAAACTGAAAGATATGGGTTTTAATTTTTTGAACAATCTGAAATGATATGTCGATATATGGGTTTTGATAGGTAATAGGTTTTGAACTTTTTTTTCCTAGTTGATTTTGAACTTTTGATTCTTGCCATATGGGTTTTGAACTTCTAATTCTTGTATAGTTTTGTAGTTTGCAGTTGCAGAGAGGGAGGGGGCAAGATCAGTGTCGAGAATGAGAATAAAGATGGAGAGGGCTATTTTAGTCTTTTCACATTTTATGTTATATTATTAGTTTTTTTAAATCATAAATAGAGGGTTATTTTAGTCTTTTTGTAGCTCCGGTACCGGTCAATAGCGATCAACACCCAAAATGCACTAATTCGCACCATTTTTAAAGTATAAGGGAGGTAAACAATAATAGGGGGTTATACGCACTATCTCGATATCACATGGGTGTAAAGCGCACGCGACCCTATTCATAATACATGGTATTTTTGCATTGCATTTTCAACTTCTTTTTCTTTTCTGACAGGCAATAAAATTAGGGATAATTACACTTACCTTCCCTGTAGATTGCCTAAATAAGGGACTTACCTTTCCTCCCAATGTTGACTTTGACCCGAATGTATTAAATGATTATTATACCCATTGTACTTTTATTAGTTCAACATGTGCACAAAATAGCATTTTTATGCTTTCTAAGTGCATTCTTGGGTTTTAAGTAAATTTTGAGCGTGACGTCAGCAGACGAGTGTTAGATTTTGAAAAGGGAGGTCAGTCTCAGACCTGAACCAGGGGGGTTCAGTATTATATTTGAAACTAAAGGGAGGTCCCTGTAATTATCCCTAAATTGGATCATTCATAATTGCCGCTGAGTTAGCAAGTTGCCAGTTCATAGTATTTTCATTTATTTGATTGACTATGTGAACATTTAAGCATAGTGTAATAAAGAGGCTCAGTTTGTCCAGCTCCTTGAGAGTATAGATTTGTCAAAACTCAAATGTTTCCCATGAGATGATCATTGGTGTTGTCCCTCTGATACTGATTGATTCTTGCATACTGATCTATTTCCATACCTTGTTTTTTAATTCACAAAGAGAGAATAATAGTTGTTTACTTAATTATAACAAATAATACATCAGATTTGGACTTATTTCTCCCAAATCTTCTGCAGGTTCTTACCTTACGTTGGTTGGGTGACTATTATCATGACTGAAAAGCCAATTATTAAGGTTTGATATTTTTTTAAATTTTAAGCTTTGGCAATGATTTATTCTGATGGATGTTCTAAATTGATGCTCAAAATTGTTCTTAATCATGCATTTTCGTCTTTAACTTTAATATATGGGAGGAGAGGGCGCTCTCTATTATATATATATATATATATATTCCTTCTCTCTCACTAGTGACCTGGCCAAATTATTAAATTCTAATTCCTGTTGTCCTCTTGCAGTATATACTAATTGGTGCGCTGGGAATTCTGGTCATAACTTCAAAGGAGTAGTGAATTTCGTACAAGTCAATCTGAACGGCAATCCTTCGAGCTGATCTATCTGTCTCCATTTTTTTAACTGGGACTTAGCGGGAAAGAAAATATATTTCTCATTGAACAAGATGTTGCTGTGTGTGTGTCTTTTTTTCTCATTGAACAAGAATCGTTCTCATTCGCATGTGGGGAGCTGTTGAGACATCAATTGCCTCGGTAGCCATTAGGCAAGGCCCCTTCTTCTCTAGCTGGTGATTGTTGAAACAACAATAGATCTTTGAATCTTGATCAATGGGTTATTAGTCTAAAGCTATAACCTCTCCCCCATCAAAAGAGAGAGGTGAGGAGTTCAAGCACAAGTGCCAATATGAGCAATTTGTGAAAAGCGTGTGAGTACTTTTACTTAACCAAAAATATATAAAAAATTCCTTGGACGTCCCTTTGGGGGAGAATCAAAATCCCCTCCATTGCACTTTCTTTTTTATCCAGTATTTTTTAAAATTTTACTACTGTAAATAAATGGTGAATACTGCCACTAGGAACGTCACGAATTGAAATGGTGAATTTCACTTCTATTGGTGGGTAATGATTGGTGAAATTTTATTTATAGTAGTGAAATTTCAAAGTACATGTAACAAAGTTGCAAGTGAGAAATTAAGGTTTCTTTGGAGACTGGCAGCTGGATACACTGAGGCAATCAATCGGTTGAGTGTCCAATGACTCTCTCTCATTTTATTCCTCGCGGGCGTAGTGGGTTTGAATCTCTTCGGCTACTCAAGCTATGAGCTGGTACGTGTGAATAGTCATCAGAAGACCTTTTAGATAAAATTAAAAAATAAATAAATAAAAAGGTAAATTATATGACACCCCTTCAGCTTGGGTTAAACACACCTGTTTATAACTTAAGCACATTTTGGATAATAATATTTCTTAGTTGGGTAAAGTGGACAAATTTTTTTATAGATAAAAGTACATTCTTGGCATTTGACTTTTGATTGACCCATATGAATAATTATATTACCTTTATAATCTTCTTTTAATGGACCAAAATGACCCTAAATGAAAAAACAAATAAAAGCCACTTCACAACCCATCACACCTGTCGCCGCCGCCGCCGCCGCCTCACAACCCCACTACAGCCACTCCATAGCCCCCACCACCACCACTTCACAGCCCTACCAATTCGTATTCTTGCATCTATATATATATATATATTATGTATATCTATATATATGTATGTGTGTCTCAATTTTACAAACCCACAATAAAGAGAGTAAGGAGGAAGCCGCTGGCGACGAGCAAGGAGGAGAAAAGGCCGGCGGGAGGCGGTGAGCTCGGATCATAGCAGTGGCGAGACCAATTCAGTCCTAGACATACCCACCACTGCTCACCCACCATACACAAACAACCATCACCAATTACAAACCCAAACCCTTGCCACCAGACAAAATCATATCGATTCACATTTGCCCAAATCAGCGTTCCTCTATCGTTGATAACTCCGGTCCGACACTCGCCGACGTACTCTATCGTTAACAACTCCGGTCCGGCACTCGCCGATGTACTCGTTAGGTCCTGGAGATTTCACCGCCACCACCCCTAGTAGAAGTTGTTGTTGGCGTACCGTTTCTGGCTATGCCCATGCTTCCGATCACACGATTCAAACCCCACCACACTCACCACCACTTCACACCCAAAATCATAGCCGCACGATTCAAACCCCACCGCTAACGATCTCGCTGGTAAGTCCCGTCGGCATCGTCCTCGAACATCACCAGCATTGCCGCCGTGTTCTACAGTCGCCAAGAGATTTACAGTCGCTATTTGATTCTTGGTTATTGGTCAGGGTTTCGCCGTTTACTAGTCTTGCTTCGCCGTCGGTTCACTGTCTCCGTGCAACAGAGTCGGTGGGAAAGGCCTAGCCGTTTGTTTACTAGTTTGCCATTAATTATATAATTATCTTTCAGACCTTAATAAATGGTTGAGGAGGACCGATAGCCAACCAACCTCAACCAATTGAAGATTTGAAATTTTGCATCATCTTACATCAAATCTAGAAAGCCTCAGAGTATTATTGAGGGAAGTGTGACGAGGAACTTGAAAGAGATCTTTGTGTGTTGCTAAAGTTTCTATAAACAGTAACGAATAGATAGCATATTTGTAGGAAGACACAAAAGATGAAAAAAGGGTAACCCTCATGCTGTTACCCCTCGCTACCACAAAGCAAGGTACCATCAAAGTATTCTTACAAACATTCTATATTGTCAATTCAAAGCGGAAAAGAGAGAATTGAATTATGACTTTTGCTCTAACCAACAAAATGAAATGCCCTGCCAAAGTGTGATACCAAGCATAACTGCACGGGAGCCTCCGAGAAGAGCAGACTTCACAGATGACAATTAAGTAGGACTATCATCAAGAAACCTAATAAGATGAACCCAGTGTGCGTATTATAAAATGTAAATGTAATCAACTCAAATACATAAAAGCTAGAGGTCATCAAACAGAATACGGTATAAAACAGAATCGGTAGCCTTGTAATATAAACTATATTACAGAATTGTTATGGTTATGCTGAATTCATCAACGGTTGTGCAAATTGCAGTGCACAATGGAAAAAATCAAGGCTGCCAGAAGTTCGTAGTACCAGCATCCAAACTAACTAGTACCATGTAAAAGAAGAGATCCATATTCAGTGGAAGCAAATCCACAATCAAAACTATCGACATCCATTTCTTCAATGCATACTCTTAAACAGCAGGTTGATAGAATTTGATACAGTGATCAGGCAATCTGCAATAGAAAAACAATAGACACACTAACGCACGGATAGTTGAAAAGGAAATTACTCAAAAAAAAAAAAAAAAAAAAAAAAAAGTTGCTTATAAAGAGAGTTAAGAAGGGAAATCATATCACATGCAATTGAAAGACCAATTAAAAAGATTAATTAGATTTACTCAAAGGTAAGACCTCTGCCATACACAATATCGAAACAAGTAGTTTACTATTTGTAATGTCAGACATGAACCACTATTTTAAAGGCCTAAAATCAACCTGTTGGCATCCTCAAAGTCACGAGATATGTATGAAATCTAATGCTAATGTTATTTAACGGGATAATTTAAAAAATAGTAAGTATTGGGGACACTATTTAAAAGACAATAAATACGACAAAATAATTAAGTGTAAAGCAACTTAACAAAAGTAAAGGAATTATACACATATAGTCTAAAATGCCCTCAACTCTTTAAACATTGACATCCATCTCCTTTTCTTCCATCTCACCCCCTTTACTCACTCTCTCTCTCTCTATCCACAGCCACCGCCCTTAACTCACTATCCGCATACAAGCGGCCACCGCCGTCACAACCACCAACATCGCCACCCACAACCACCATAGCCAGATCCCTCATTCCCTCCCCACCACCACCACCTCCTCCTCTCCACCACTAACTCTCGGCCACCACCACCAACATCGGTGGTGACACGCATTCACAAACCAATTTTAAAATCCAACACACAGATTGATGAGCAGAGACAGAAATTGAAAATGAACAAAAAAATCAGACCATTGATAGACCATTTCTTCCTTGCAGAGACCAACAGATAAAGGGAAAAAAAACAGAAATTTCTCTCAGTACAAGCAGCTATCACCTACAACTACCAGAAATCACCCTCACCTTTGCATAAAACCCGGATCAAAACAAACCCAGAAAATCCGATCTCTCCCATACCTAAATTCATCACCTCACCAATAGCAACCTTTGTTGGAAAATCAAACCTTGAACCCGCCGCAGCCGCAGTATCACTCCACTCTTTCACGGCATTATCAGCCACTCTCGGAGTCGACGTCGCTGGAGTCTCTCTGCATTGATCCGATAACAGTGCGGCAAAGTAGTTTGATCGTTGGAGGACATCCGAGTGGAAATAGATCTGGACATCGGACTGGTCGACAGAATCGAAGGTGGATCTAGACTCGGCCTCGTCGGATTCGAAGGATGAAGGTTTGTTGATGTAGAGGCGGAGGATGACGTCAGCAGCCTGACGGTTTTTGGTAGTTGGATGCCTCTTTTAGGGTTCCGTCGGGACAGGCGGAGTCGATGACGCCGACAGTGGAGGAGAGGCAGCTATTGCTTCCGACCCACTATCTCTTCTTCGGCCCACCACTAGATATCATTTCCACGAGAATATAAGAGAGAAAGGGTGTACTTGTGTGACGATTGTAGAACTTATGAACCTCTCTCTCTACAAATATATATACATACAGAATTTCTCCGATTAATCAATTAACTGATAAATGGGTATGGCTTTTGGGTGTTAATTTTCAGGTGGGATGGTGTTGAAAGAGAGAGTGGTGGTTGGTGGTGGTGGTCCGGTAATGGTGGTGGTGGTGAATATATAGAGAAAAAGAGAGAGAAGGGAGAAGAGAGAGGAGGATTCTAGGGTGGTGGTCGTCCAGTGGTGGTGTATATATGTGTGGATGTATAGATTAAGAGTTAATGGGGAATTCTTAAAGAGATAGGGGTAATTTTGTCTTAATAGTATAAATACTTATCAAATATGAAAGTACGGTGTATAAATTATCCTATTTGTAATTACTTTTCATAGATATTTTTTCGTATTTATGGTATTATCCCTTATTTAAAAGAAGTTTATGTTAACCTTGCTGTCACAAATCACTTTGACCAGTGAACACAACTCTAACCCAAAAACAAGGTTGAATGAATCATAAAATAGTACAATTGGAAATTCAATTACCATTCAATCGGTAAATTTCCCAACTTTTTATTTTTATTTTTCAGTACCTTTGTTATATTTCCCCTAAATTTGTAATTTTACGTTAGATATTAAGAGACCATTGGTAGACCTTATTTGGTATTTCAATTACACCACCTCTTCGTCATACGTGTTCATAACATAGAGACTAGGGAATGTTCTCTCCGACATGTTTTATTTGAACAACTTTTATTCAAAACAAATGTCTAAGTTCATTGGCGGTGATAAAAGTAGTCAAAATGAGTAAGCCTTCTTTATTACTGCAACTGTTATTTTTCAGTATAATATTCATTACCATAATTTATCTTTAAAAGTTTAACAAAATTCATTAAAAATATTAAAAACAAAAATACATGGAACTTTAGGATTAAACTACACTACTGCTCTAAAATATGCATGCATCCATTACATTACGTCTCCCCTACTGTCCTACATCATGCATCCATTATATTGTAACTGCCAACATTATGATAGACATTATCATTACTTAGAACCATATGAAGGAGTGTGTTCAAACGTCAAGAAAATATAAATTCAAAATAAAGGTCATTACCGTTAGTCCCCTCCATGTGGGTTGCTACAGGGTGTGGAATGGATATAAAATTAGAGCTTTCAAATTGTTCATAAGAAGTGGATGCGCTCAAATTCAAACCTATGATCACACTAGTTTCAACCTGTTCTTTGTAAAAGTTGAAATCTTAACCCACTTCTCTCTTTTTGATGACATCCAAGCACTTGAACTACTATACTGAAACGGCTTTGGCTAAAACTTGAATTCAATTGACCAATACAACAAACATATACTTATATATATATATATATATATATAAACAAACATTTCCTAATAAATTTACAGCACGATTTCTCCATTCAGAATAAGTTGCCATATTGTTTCAATGTGCTAAACAAAAATCACGCAGGGAATGTGCCCATCAAGCAGCTTTTATTTCCCTGCCCATCAAGCAGCTTTTATTTTAAGAAGTGATAATTTATGTCGCTAATGATAAGGTAATGGTTTTAAATAATAAATATCTATAGATCTACCACTATATACCAACTTGCTCCTGTTTGAAGTAAGATCAACAATCTAACTGAGAACAAGACACCACTCAAACAAAACCACAACCAAGCAATTCCTTTTAGACACCACTCAAACAGGAAAACTGACAGACATTTGACAATGCATATACCTAGAACAAAATGCCTAATCATTACGGAATAAAAATTATACCAACTGCAATCGTAAAGTTTATCCAGGAAACACTCATTATGAATTTGGTGAGCCAATAATTCCAAATTGAAAATAAAATGTTGCACTTTAAATTTTCACATGAACAATTGAAAATATATATTGAAGTACAAAAGAAAGGATAGTAAGACGAACAAAACCTTGAATTGATTCATCAAGCCACCTTTTCAAACCGCTTCAACATGTCACAATAAGGTGTTTCCCGTGTGAAGCCCCATTGGAGACGCTGCAACTCAAGCCGACAATTTTGTGAAATGAGTGAATAATAGTCTTTCTCAACTCGCTCTTCAATTGCCACACGTTCAGGACTGTTAGGAGGGTAGTCCTGCTCAAACTTAGTCGTCTTCACATAAAAATTAACACCCTTTTGTGTGGTAAACCGATGTTCGTATGGATATGTCCGTGAGAGAGTATAAATGGGATCAGATGATGGCAAGAAGTTCACTAGCAGAATCAGAAGCACTGGAAGTAACTGAATTAGAGCCCGGACATTGAACCCACCAGACCCTTGGTCACCCATTCTTGCACCCACACCAGGTCCAAAGTTAAACCCGCGAAACTGTGTAGTCGCTGCCGGATTCATTCCTCCAAAGAAGAAATTCCTAAAAATCTCATCGGCATCAAATTCTGCTTCATAAAACCCATTAAACCCTTGCGCTGCACGCCTAGTGGTGTGCCTCTCATAAACAGGTTCATCTGAGCCAACAAGATCATATTTTTTTCTACTCTCCTCAACACTCAAACATTGAAATGCCTTGGACACCGCCTTAAAGGCCTCCTCGGCCCCAGGTGCATTGTTCTTATCAGGATGAACCTTCAACGACAGTTTTCGATATGCTTTCCTAACATCCTCAACACTACAACTCTTCTCTAACCCTAATATCTCATAATAGTCTTTTTTTCTCTTAATCTCTCTCACGATTGAGATTTGCTCCTCAGTGTATGCCACCGACGTGGTTGACGACGATCCAGCAGATGACCCAGTTGCCGAAGCCCTACGCCGAGTACCAGAATTACTATTATTGATATCGGCCATCTTTGATGAATCCGATGACGATTCATTGGTAGGTCCATTCGACGAAGGATCGCCGGATTTACCTTCAAGCTTCGATAATAGATCCTCTATAGGGAGAGACGGGTCAAGCCGACGCGCTTTGTTGATGAATTTCAGGGCACGGGTTCGATCCCCGGCTTCGAGTGCATCGCGGCTGATTTTCAAGCATTTCAAGGCGTCGTCTTTGTTCCCATCCATCTTACAAATACCCAAATAGAAACAATGAATCCCTAGAAATACAGGGATATAGTATATGTATATATAATATTTGTGTGTGTTTATGGTAGAAAATTTAGAGATATCAATCGGAGAGTGCTTATACAACTATGTATTGCTCATATAAACCCTAGGGAAGAACAGAATTATCAAACTGTGAACAATTATGATTAAAAAAAAATACAAATATAGCAAAATGAGATGATTCGAGCTTACAGATCGGTCGATTAGGGTTTGCAATCACGGATCAATTGAAGCCCCTTCTTCTACTCCAAGAGCGAATAGAGATGGCTCCTGGTCAAGATTGTAATTAAAAAAAAAAAGGAATTTAATTTGTAATAGGACTCTTCTTTCTTTTCATGGTTTGTGGCTTCGTTCGTCTTTGTCCCCAAACCAAACATATAGTTGTTTGGTGTCTGTTTGGCTAGCAATATATCAATACTCCGGTTTATAAACTACCTACCTTTTGCTTTCCAAAACTAGTTTAAAACCAAATAGCTTAATGAACAAGTCCAGCAATTGGTTGGATCCTTTCTTCTGTTTTACTACAATTTTAATAGGATTTGTTTACTTCATAAGAAATTAAAATTATGTAATTTAACTTGAACAAAAATTGTCTATTGTATGTTTGACCGCTTGAAAAAAAAAAAACGAAAAAAAATTGAGAGAATTTTAAAAATTTAGGGGGCATAAAATACAAATATCTATATATATGTAAAAATAATTAAAAAAACCAGTGTATATAATATGGGACGGATGGGGGCATGTGGCCCCCTAGACATATGCCGGCTCCGCCCTCACAACTCAGTGTTCTCTACCTATGCCGGCTCCGCCCTCACAACTCAGTGTTCTCTACCGTAACATATCTAAGGATAACAAATTTTCCATTCCCAACGGGGGACTCTTTTATGCAAACAAGGGTGGGGATGGGTAATTAATGAAAACCCAATGTAGAGTGTAGATTTACTAAAATATCATTATATATTATGATATATTACTAAATTATATTAAATAAGAAAAATTATTTGTTAAAAAAATTATGGTGTATATTAAATGGGATGGGGATTGCAAGGCGGGGATGGGAAATGGAGGGCGGGGGGCGGATACGGGGATTGAAGTGAAATTTTAAACGGGGATGAGGATGAAAAAAATTACCGAGATGGGGATGGGGAAAGAGATCCCTGCCCCGCCCCATTGCCATCTCTAATTACATATCTATCTTTATCTGCATAGAATTGGATGAATTGCATGTTTTTTTTATTATTATTTTTTATTTATTTATTATCCTAAAAGGACTATTGATAGATTTGTCCCACATCGAATAGATATAAATAAGTTGGGTGTTAACTCCATCTAATTAAGCTTTTGGGTCATATATTAATCATGAGTTTTTGGTGAATAAAAAGATTGATAATTTAAATGTTAAATTTTATGTTGAGTTTTTACCGCATAATTTAAATTATTTTGAAATAAAACAAAAAATATAGTAATTCAGATCATGATTTAGTGAGTACTTTTTTATTTTACTTTAATTTTAACTTTCTTTCAGTGAAAACTTAAGTTGCTTGGGAATATATATTGAAATTCAAATTAATCGTTAACAAAAAATTGTTTTCATTTGAAGTCAAAGTTTAAAATTAAACAAATTTATTTAATTTTCTCCTACCGTAAAGAAGTTGTTACGGGTATTTTTTATTTTTGCAAAATTGTAATATAAACCAATTGCTATACATAAACCACTGAGCAAATTGCAAAAAACTCCTTGACTATTTAAAATTGGCACAAAACCCCTTTGACTTAAAATTTGTCGTAACACTCCCCTTGACTACCTTATTGTTGCATATTTTAGTCCATAATCAGATTGTTGTTGACAAACTAAAGTTTGATCAAGCATGACATCAGCCAATTTCATACCCAAAATGCCCTAATAAATTTTATAATAAAAATAAATTTGACGGTGGCACTGTGTTCATGATTAAGCAAGATCATCAGCCAATTTATGATAAAAATGAAAATGCCCTTTTACGGAGCACTTCATTTTCAATTATTGCACTTCAATTTATTTATTTATTTATTATTTTTTTTTTCAAAGGCACAATTCTTTGCAGTTGCATGGCATTGCGTTCAATTCCTTTACGATAAATAATTGGACAATACTTAAATCCTTGTCAATGAGGATGTATATTATTCTGACCGATGATGTGAACCAATAATAAATGAGCGCGTCCTCTTTTAATTACCAAATCAGATTTAGTAATTAACCACCATATCTAACTTGATAAATGAATGGATATCCCAACATTTTTTATTTGGTAATTAAAGATGACGTGCTCATATGCTATTGGTCCAAATCAGTAGTTAGAATGGTGTACATCCTCACTAGTGAGGATATAAGTATATCTCTAAATCATTTATTTGATTAAATAGAGTTCATCACGGAATTTGTTGGGGATAATTAACTGCTTACAATTCACTCAGCGGTCAGTTATTGTTTAGAGTTAAATTTCTTATTCATCACATCACATCAATACAAACATATCAGATGTCAAAACCCCTGCGAGGACCGGTGTCCTTTTTCAATTTTCTCGTGTATATATATATATATATATATATATATATATATATATATATATATATTTATTTATTTATTTATTTATTTATTTTATTTCCTTTTCGTCTTTGAGTCGTGTGGGCCCAGGCTGGATGAAGTGTTCGGGAATAGTTCTCAACACTTCATTTATTCCATTGGGGCATATTTTATCTTTATGACATTGTGGGGTTTATTTTACCCTTGTATGTGATTATATTTCTATTTGGGGTATTTAGGTGATTTATTTTTTAAGATATTTTCATTTTGGACATTTATGAGATTATCTTTTGAGAAATTTTTATGTGGGGACTTTTGTACAATTTGTGAAAGTTGTGTGACATATGGGGTTGGATGAGTCAGAAGTGGATGGTGGATTTGAGTACGTGTGTGAGATGTATTGCTAGTATAGGTGTATTGTGATATTTTACCAAATATCTTCCTATTTCTAACATTTTATATACTTCATCTTATTCATCTCTCTCGCTAATGCTCTATTCGGTAGGAAGAAAGGAATAGGTGTGGAGAGAAAATAGGAGGAATGAACCAACTTCCTTTATTCGATAGAAATGAAAAAAGGAAATAAAAGAGAACACTCCTTTACAAATTTTCATCCGCCCAAAAATGGGCGGAAGAAAGGAAGGAATACAAGTGAACTATTATAGAAGTTTTAAATTAAATATTATCATAAATTATACAAGTTTTAAATTACAATATTATAAATATTATTGGATATAATGGTAAAAATAATTAAAACTTTATCTTTCCTTCTCTTTTAACGAACATATCATTCTCTATTAACGAACATAGTAAATTATGAGCTTATTCTCTTATCTTCTATAACCAACCAAAAAGAATGAAATAAATAATCTCTTCCATAAGGATGTCTCATCCATCCCTTATTCTCCCTCTTTCATCCCTTTTCTTTTCTTTTCTTTTCTTTTCTTTTTTTTTTTTTTTTTTTTTCACTTACTGAATAGAGCATAAGGCTTTGACCGTTGTTGCTTTAAACCATAGCTTAATTTCTCTCACCTTCCATTGATTTTCTTGATAAGCAGTAGAAGAGAGAAAAGTCAGGAACACCAAGGGAAGCAAAACCCTTGTTTTTGTTTTGAGTTCGGAGCATTTTGAGATTATGGGGGTGAGTTCGGGTTTAGAATTTGAGGCAGCCGTAGAAGACTTATCATTCCCCTCGTTAGCTTCTTCAGCCCTCCAATGTACTGGAGCATTTTTCATTTTATGTTTTTGAGATTTTCATCTCAAATGAGGTAAAGGGTGTGTACGTTGCGTATGTAAAACTCTAATTCTCTTGAGTTTTATGAGTTTAGGGTGTGTATGCATGCTTATGTGTGTGTATGTGTATATTTAGAATGTTATAATTGGGTCAATGTGACTTAAATATGATAATGCTAATATGATGTTTTAGCTTTTGGTTTCTATGCATAATATGTTAATTGATAGCATTGCTTATAGTTGATAGCCAATGTGTAGATTGAATTGATTTATTGTGATTACATATGCATACCTTTATGAGTATTCATTACATTGAGTATAATTTTAGAAATGGTGTTTGGTTGTTTTGGTGGGATTATTGAAAAAGATGGCCAAGTGGATGGTATCGTTAGACTTGGTTTCAAAAGTATGTAATTATGATTACTTATGTTGCCTCGTAGGTCTTATATTCGATAAAATGCTTACGTGAAGAACTTGACATTGTTATAATGGTATACTATACCTAAGTTGTCATCATTGCATTATTGAGTATGCCATGATGGTAATTAGACCTTCGGGTATGATTAGTGTGGATTTAATTGCCTATGTGCGCTTGTGAGGTGCAAATTGATTATATATCGATATGTGATATATGTGAAATTGGATAATGATTTTGGGATATACTTGAGACTTTTTGATAATTGAGATTGCTAGGGCTTGGCGATAGCGGGTGAAACCAAGGTTTCCCCAACTTTATAATGGCCATTAGGTTTGTTTCATGCGGTTTAGTAGACCAAAAAATACTTTTTACCGGTGCATGCAGTAGGTATGTCCGGGGTTTGGGTGTGTCCGAGTTATTCGTTTTTGTTTATTTCAAATCTTATTTTCAAGTTGACATCCATGTGTAGTTGCGACTTAGTTTATTGTTTATATATCCAATTTCCTATTTTGTTTCAAGTTAGCATCCATGTGTAGTTGCTACTTGAGTACTTGTTTATTTCACTTGCTATGTATATGTCTACTAGAAATGACATGGATGTTGTATACTTATTTTGATACTCATATAATGTAATGGATATGTCTATGTGCACTTGGTAGCTTTAGATGATGCCTTTTGGACTTCCCTGAAATTAGACGTTAGGGAGCATATCCCTTTGCATTGTTAACATGGGTTACTCTTGTGAGGTCAAAGGAATATAGTATGTGTATGTACATAACATATTTCCTTATTGAGCATTGTAAGCTCACCCCATGTCAATTCCTCTTTCAGGTTGAGGCAAGGTCCTTGAGGACAACATTCTTCATATTTGTTTTTAAAAGATGTAATTGATGCATTTGTATATTTGTTGTCATGTTGTAGCTAATTTGGATATTATAATTCGAGTTGAGGTGAATGTTGATATAAGTGTAAACTCATTTGTAATGTATAGTTCATTTTGGATAAATGATGTAACGAGGCCATAAGGCCATTCACTTTCAATGCACACTATTTCCTTCTCATCTTGTATACTTTTGATTGCATCTTTTCACACACTTTTGGTATTCGCCATGTTTATGCCATGATTTATGTTTACATAATGTCAGGATGGACCTTAGACTTAGTTCATAATCAT